CACACACACACACACACACTCCATCCTCCCATCTCCTCTGCTGTATCGCTCGCGCTCATGTAAGAAGATTGTAACCATAAAAAGATTTCGCGTTTATCAGTATATCTGATCCGCGGAAACTGATCTCACCACAATGTTGCCCATTGTGGGAAAGAAGTAACGCGCGTTCACTTGGCGTTTATCGAAAATATGTGTCATGCTGTTTTATCCTTCATTTTTAGCACGGGTCCTTTGGACGATTCGATAAAGCGCGATTTATCGCGACGCGTGATGATTCCATGAAACGCAGAGCGGAGAACAATGAATCGCGATGATCCGACTTCAAAAAAATCCCGTGCGCGCCGCTCCAAACGTACGTGCGTGCGCAAATTACAGCCAGGCCGAATCGGATATCCCGAATTAAATGCCCGTAACACGCTCCTGGTTAAATCGCGATGCGAAGGTAGGAATTGCCCGGTTAGTTGGCTGGTTGTTTAGCTGCTTTGTCAGTTAGTTAGCAACACCGTAGGCCGGGAAGATGATTTTAGTTTGAGAATGCCGATAATTACACACGTTCGAACACGCTCGCTATAACTGCGAGAGATTGAAGGACAAAATAGGATTACGGCCAACAGACGCGCGCGCGCGCACGTGTTAACGGCTCAGTAGTAAATCCAGATATTCCGCCGACGTAGGAAAATTCCGCGCTCGATGGAGACCGAGCAAAAATTGGTTTCGCGTCTCTACCGCCCCGATAAAGAAATATTGCTTGGAATCCCGCAAAAGGAAGACAGCGGCCGCGCAAGAGAACAATTATCGAGCTGGTAATTGGAACTTTAAAATCGCCTTGATAACCCGAAATGATAATTCACGGATATTCACCGGGAGGGAAGATTCATACGTGCCAAAGATTATGGCACGATCACGATCAATTGTTATGCAAAATACTTGATTTATACGATTTTTTCTCGCGCCTTCCTGACGTAGGATCGATCGTCCGATAATCTTGTCTATTAATAATTTCGCTACGATGCGCGTGAGCGCGCGCGCGCGCGCGCGTATGCAGACCCGTTCGATAAGATTTATCGGATTAAGTGGGAAGCCATTCGGTTTAACGAGTTGTTGAGTAAAGAGATGGCTCAATAAGTAAGTAGATTCCAGCGCACGCGCGCGCGAGCACGTATCGTTGTAGTCGCGAGCACAGGGCTGTTTTACTTTGATTATTTGCCGCGCAGTGTAAATCGCGTTCAAATCGACCGCCAAGAGAGAAGATCCAAGTCCTCTCGAAGTTGCTTGACTCTACTTATAAAACTTGGCTCAAAGTAAGGTCAAAGAATTTCCATTCAATTTACCCCACAATACCGCGAGCGCTGAAATGATCGTGCAAATTAGAACGGAAGAGTGACTTGTCTCACGGGACGCAAGACGTTTTTAATAATAACTACAGCTTAATAATAACGTCAATCACAAAAGGACAAGGCGAGGAGAAGAGCAAAAATACGTTTTGCATTTAACGGATCGTAGGCCCGCCGCCCATCGTGTCGTCGTAACACGAACATGGGAATTACCATGGGACGCGGGACACGAGATCCGCGAATTTGACGATTAACTCGTCGTGATACTCGATCACGTACAAAATTCGTTTTTATCATCGGCGCAACACGAACCGCGCCCTTTGCAACCACCATTCTCCGCTCGCGACTTTATCGCTCATAGCGTAAGTTTAACGGAGCAAAAAAAAAAGGTAAAAGGCGACGCCCTGCGTCCTTGGCTAGGAGTATCGATAAATGTCACAGTAGCTCTCAAACCTACTCAAATAAAACTCGAAACTGGGTTAGCTTCTTGCAGCTTTCAACCTCGATGAGACTGCTCATTTAGTTTGACTCTAATTAAAAACTTGCGATAACATCGCGGAATAATATACACTTGGAAACGTAATGTGCGCTTATTAAGCCGATTGGTATCTTCAAGTTAGCGAGAGTTGTTGTTTCGCTCGACAATACAATTTCTTTTTATAGACATCAGATACGTAAATCATCTCATAATTATACAATTCCTCCTTATTAATGTTGCGCATTCTCACTCCCTCTGTTAATACTTTCTTTTTTAAAGTCGTTATTAAACGTCGCAGCGCTTCAACATCAATTTCCGAATGACGGAATGTCCGTCCGACACGTCTTCATTTATTTATCGACAAATTATCTTTTTTTTTCTTTTTGTTTTACGATAAACAAATGTTGACGCGCCGAGCTTCTCGCAGATCGTACATCCGACTCTTGTGTACTCAATTTCCCGCGGATCACCCCTCGAATCCCCAGGCCGAGTTTCGTCGAAATCCTCAAGTTTGACGCCGGCAATACCCAACTATTCGACTGTCGTTAGCATCGCTCGTTCCGGGCAACAGCAGCGTCAATTTGACTGTCAATTAATAACGGTCAACGACGCGAACAAATCGCGCGGTGATACGAAACGTCGTCGCACGTGACCATTAATCGCGCGGAAAACTGTTGATTAAATCGAACATGCTGCGGCATAAGCCACGAAGCCGCTCCTACCGCATCTCATCGAGCTCACTCGGCTATTCGCCATCCCGGACGGATCCTACAAGATGAAGCACAAATTCCGCCGCCAAATGAATTTTCCCGGCGAAGTGGGGGCGAGAGCGGACGCTTGTTCGCGGTTGATAGACCTAATATCTATGCAGATTCGGCCGAGCGAACGCGCATTGCATGTCTGAAAAGTTGAGCGACTTTTTGCCACTTTCAGGTTAGGTGAACTTTCCTATCGCATTGTGCGCCACACGAGCGTGTCGCGTCGCCGCGATGCCTCTCGTTGTCTCTAATTGTTCTCGTTTAGACACCGAACGTCGTCCGGCTTTTAATTGGTTCGTGCTTTAGAGAGTGAGAGAGAGAGAGAGAGAGAGAGAGAGAGAGAGAGAGACGAAATAAAATTAACCGCACGCAAACCATCACTTCTTTATCTCGATGCATTTTACGTTGCGATAATTTCACGCTTCTGTCTGTCTGTATTGTATATATTTATCTACAGTGTCGTTTTGACAGGCACTATGCTTCATGCATATTCCACCCAGCTGATCTTCTATGTCACGACGAATATATTTATAAAAACAAATGTTCCAAGCGCTCCTGTGTATGTACTTCCCGGGCGACGACGAACATGACGACTCGCGATTTTGCATACTTCACACAATTTTAATGATTTCGAGTTAGCGCGTGTCGAGCGCGTCGCGTCCGTCAGTTATGTCTATTTAATTACAATTGATTTTATAGACGGTGGCACACACTAGCTGCGCGAGGATAATTGAATTGCATTCCGTCCGATAAATATGGTCCACATATCGGGAAGCTCCTCCTCCTCCTCCTCCTCCTCCTCCCCCCCTTCCCTCACCCTCCCTCCCTCCCTCCCTCTCTCTCTCTCTCTCTCTCTCTCTCTCTCTCTCTCTCTCTCTATCTCTTCTTTAATGAAATTGGACGTTGTCTAAACTCAATTCTTTAATATTGTCTCCTTCGCGAGACGTACACACACACACACACACACATACATACTTATATAGATGTAGGTAGCGCATTCTCGAAAGGAGCACTCGATTACGTGAGATCCATTCTACATTGCGCGTAGTTTATTTAACGGTTTCATCTCGCCGTGGTAGCTTCGATCACAGTTGCTGGAAGCGAGTCTTTCGCTTCTCTCCTTGCGATCGCCCGTGTAGTTCTTGCGTCTCACCAGGAGCAAAAGAAACGGAGAAGAAAGAGGGGGGAAGAGAAAAAGAGAACGTGTCTTTATATGGCGCTAATGCTAATGTTAACCTGAGAGCTTCGGATAATTTTTTCAAAGAGATTTTGCTGGAGAGACACGGCCTAAGTACGCGCAATCTCAACGAAAGGAATTCCGTGAATAGCAATCAGCGGAGCACGGTTAATTGCATTAAAGACTATCGATTCGTCTGCGCCATCGACAGAGAGGCAGAAAGGGACGGAAGGAGAAAGAGAGACGGAGGAGAGGAGAGCAAGCACGATTCGATGTAGGCGTCGCGTCGCATGCGATCGTAATTAGTCAATTTGCGAAATGCGCGTCTTCTGCGGCGGACTCTTTATTCCTCTGCCGACGATACGACGACACTGACACGTTTCGCCGGGCTTTAATTTTCGTTTGAATGAGATTCATTCGCGATCGCGGAGCCGAAAGCGGCCGGGCTGGACAGCTCCGAACGTATATGCCCGATTAATTAACAGCGGCTTTCCTTTTGTGATGCCAGCGGCGAGATTATTTCCCATTATCACGACCGTTGACTGTGAAACGATGGGAAAGCGTGACAAGGGAACTCGGTCAGCGATCCGTTTAACGTTTTAATCTGCCAAATATTGCTAATAATCCTACATATCTCATGTTCGCGCGCTGAGCCTATAATAAAGATTTAATAAAGACGCGATCAAACGTACGTCGAATTTTGCACCCCGTCAATTGCAGATCTTCTCTACGACACACAGACAATATTTCAGAGAGGAAGTAACGAAGCATTAAACCCTTTGCGCTCGGAATGCCAGCACAGCTGACATGAACATTTATTCCGGCAACTCGGAACGCCAGCTGTGCTGGCATGAAAAACACTTAAAGATAAAGAGCAATAAAACAATAAAAAGCGGCGACAACGATAAACACACTTCAAAAACTATAAGATGTGACATTTTATCTATAAATTTATGTACAAATGATAAATTTTAATGTTTCCTCAGCCTAAGAAGTAATCGTGAATTTTTCACGACAAATTATATTTGTAATTATCGAATTGGTAGAAGGAAATGTGGAAATATTTCTCGAATGCAAAGGGTTAAGAAAGATTTCACGCCGCGTTTGCGTGCCGATATCAGCTGATTTCGTTGATAATATTCCGTTCAAACGATAACGCGTCTGATTCTGATCCGACGATTGTCCGAGGATCGCTTCTTCTCCTCGGAGCGACTCAATTAATCGCGTGTCTTTCTTACCGTTCGCCGTTTCAGGACATCGATTACGAGGGCTTCCGCAAGTTTCTCAACTCGTATCTGGAGATCGACACGCCCGATGACCTGTGCCGGCACCTCTTCCTCTCGTTCGTCAGGAAGTCCTCGCGCGGGGTGGACAGCAAGGCTTTCAAGGTGCGTATCGCCATTTCCAGCTGATACAAAAGTCTCGCGGGCCGCCTGTAGCGTCTATTAGCGCGGCGATAAGCAGTTGATAAAGCAGGCGATAAATTGAGGCCGCGGGGAGGCGGGCGGGCGGGTGTTATGATTCGCCGGCGCGAAGCGAGGCGCGCGCGGAGAAAAGAGGTGCGGTTTTTCGGGCGGCTTCAAAAGCCGACGAAGAATGAAAGATATACCCGAGCAGAACATCGTCCCACGGTATGAAACCCCGGCTTCCAAATTTCAAATAGAGCCCGGATAACTTTATCGGATCCGGCACGTAATAAGGAAATGAAACGCACTGCTGCATAACAGCACCTGATAAAATTGAGCCTGAAATCGAGAAACCTGATCAGAAATATCCATCAGGACCAAATCAGGCATCCAAATAATGACGTCATCGCTGGTCAGGGTACAATCCGGAAAATATTGCAAGACAATTGCCACATTCCGACCGGATAAGGACCACTCGTGATGCCTTCTTATGGTTTGCCTAGTCATGCCGTATCAGGCATAAAAAATTGCCGTATTTGATTTAGGATTGCTCGAGGATGAGGCAAACGAGCGCGCGCGGCCGGCGAGAGATTAACGGCCGCGCTATTATTCGCATTTGTTCGTTTCCCAGGAGATGGCCGCGCTCTCCTCGACAACCGCCTGCGCCGCAATTACATCGCACACGACTTCCAGCAGTAACGTTAATAGCACCGGCGGCGCCGCCGCCGCCGCCGCCGCCGAGAGCTACAGCGGTGGTGGGTCCTCGTTGGCCGACAAAATTCACGGGATTACGGAAAAATTGCAAGCGCTCAGCCACCACAGATCGGAGAGCGAAGCCTCCAGGACGCGAGCAGGTAAAAGGAAGGGGATGAGGGAGGGAAGGGGGAAAAAGAGAAACGTATGTCGCCGATGCGACCGCGCGAGATATAAATCGATCGACCAACGGTATTTCATTGATGCCCCTCATTAAAGCACGCTTCATTCAACTTCTCGCGTTCTCGCGCATCTCAGGCTGTGTTTTTCCGCGATGGGCGAATAAAGAGATCCTCCCGCGCGAGATCGATTAAAACGGGTCGGAGCAGGTGCGAAGGGAAAATGACAATTCCGATCGCTCGTCGCGCGTGTTTTTTTTTCTCGTCTTTCTCTCCACCCCCCCCTCTCTCTCTCTTTCACTCTCTTTCTCTCTTTCTTTCTTCTTTTTGCCCTGTATCACACATCGACGAATACCATTGTCTGCTGTGGAAATGGCGGACGGGTAACAATCGATCCAATCCGAAGGAACTGCAGCTTTGAATGAAGACGTAAGCGCCGACAGCGCGGGGGTTCGTTAAAAGTACGTTTGTCTCGACTGTAAATATCGACTGGGCGATGTTTCAGAGTGGCGATTCGCACGTTACGTAAATCACGCGCCACCCCGCACCCGCTCGGCCAGGTGGAAACCTCGGGAAATTTCGCACGAGCGATCGTGCGCACGCTGCTGCCTTCGTTGCGCGAACGAGGCTATCTCGCTGGGAGGAAAATTACTTTCGCGATTTAGTCCCGATCGGAAACATAGCAGCAACGTAGCGTAGGGGTGGCGGGGAGGGGGGGGGGAATCTAGGGCAAGCACCAACCCTCGTGCAAACGGTTATATCCCTCGGAAGACACCGCGTGGTCTTCTTGGGCGCATTAAATACGCACGAACCGCGAGGGTGATGAATATTTAACCGGGGTGTGAATCTTTCATCGCGTAAACACGCCGATGCATCTCGACGACGCGTGCACAGAGTGTTTGGTTTCGGCCGGCCAGCCGCTCGTGCGCGGCTGGAACTCGCTCAAGCGCAAGTAGGAAAATCCTCTGCGATCTTGCAAACTACCGCGGAGCAATTATCGGGGATATTAATCGAAAGGGCATTGTGGTCAATCACAGTGCGATGCGCGATGCGCGGGGCGAGCGCTCTTTAGGCGCAGTTTCATCGGGCATGTATCCGAATATATCGACAATCTATCGGCAACGGCGAGAATTATGCGTAATATTGGACAATGGAGGCATGCGCGCTGCAGCCTCGCAGCATTGTCAACAGATTCAGAGGAGCCTCGGACCTCGAGAACCTCTCGAGGCCTAAAGAGCTCGTCCCGTCGCACTCAGGCAGTTCGCCAATTTTCTCTCGTTAACAACTCTGTAATTACCGTTGTAGTTTTACAGAATGCTAGAGGATTTTCCTACTCGGTTTAACGAGTTTTACCTGCACACGACATGCTGGCCGGACACCTAAATCCAGACACCCTGTGTAGACGTAAGATCAACTCTTTCTCTCTCTCTCTCTCTCTCTTCCCCCCCTCTCTCCCCCTATCTATCAATCTTTATCTCTATCTCTCTTTCGCTCGCTCGCTCGCTCGCTCGCTCATTCTCTTTCTCGCGCGGACACGTATACACGATCGATCGATCATGCTGTTTGTTTTTCTTGTGTTTCACGCAACGTCACGTGGACGATTCAGGAAGCGTGCATCCGATGTTAACAGTCACCCACACGTCGTACAGCTACCACGACGTGATGGAGAAGAAGAGCACAGACACCAGCCCGAGCCACAGTCAAATGTCGCGAAATTCATCCAGGAAGTCGAACAATTCTCTCCTCGTCAATAACGGGAAATTGGAAGGTAGGTAGCCACGGGCGATTGTCGAGTCCTCCAATACAGACCGCGATACGATCGAACGACAGCGCGCTGGCGGGCAGTTACTCGCGATTGTTCGAATTCGCGCGCGGCAAGTTACTACGGCGCGCGTCTCTCCGCGCGGAAATCCTCCCGGCCATCTTTTACCACCGGCGGCGGTAACCAGCCGAGAATTCTTCCCCTTTCGCTGCGCGGCCTCATCTTCCACGTCCATTAACCCGGAAATTATTCCTTTGCTCGCAAGACCAAGACCAAGTTCTCTCTGCCTTCTTAACGAATTCTCGCTCGCCTCCTCGACAGAAAGTACCACGTCCGTCCGTACCGCTCGCGCGTTTTTCACCTCGCAGACGTTCGAGACTCTTCTTTTGCACGCGCACGAGTTCCTCAGATAGACGGGAGGAAGCGAGATCGAGAGGCGGATGAGATAGAGAGAGAGATAGAGATAGAGAGAGAGAGAGAGAGAGAGAGAGAGAGAGAGAGAGAGAGAGAGAGAGAGAGAGAGAGACCGCGCGTTAAAAATTTCTCAAGAGCGAGAGCTTCCCGTGTGAACATCGAGCCGGTTCGGCGGGATCTCGCTCGAGGGAGATTTTTCCTGCCGGTGTAGGTGGAGGCCACGTATCCGTGAAATTCGGTGCACGGTGCTGCGGAATTCATTTTTGCCAGGCGCGGGGGAGGGGGTGGGAGAAAGGAGAAGGGAGATCGCGCATTACGGCGGCATGACAAAAGGTCCATTTCAGTCACCATCGATCTTACGCGTTGTCGCGCGTTGCTCTCAAACAAAGCTTGAGGTCGTAAACGCCGGCCGTGAATTACGCGGCTCACAGGGACACGACGTCCTTTTCAGAAGCGCGCTCGCTCCGCCATATCGGCGACGGTGGCAGTGACAGTCTCTCGTCGTGATCGAGGAAAAATACGATCGCGCGATATACGTCGACGTGGAACATAAAGCGTTCCGCGCACCTTTGTGCAAGTCGCATTTCACGATGCAATCTTGTCTTTCTCCCCCCCCCCTCGCCCCTCTCTCTTTCTCTCTTTGCTTCATTACGCGTTTCCGCTAAATCCCCTCGTGACGTTTCGTCTAGGACGTTCTCCTTCTCCCGATGCTTACATCCTTAACTCAACGCTCCCTCCTTAACAGCGAATGACTTTATTCACGAGGAAGACGCGATAAGTGTTTTTACGAGCGTTTACGACATCGACGTAGAAGAGACAACGGAGTCGTGCGACACAATTCAGTCGGTGAAATCCCTGAAAAGCCAGTCTCTAGGCAGCCTCAGCGACGACGACGACGACGACGACGACGATGACGACAACGATTGCGCGTCCGTCAATTTTCCGCCGCGTGACGTGTAGGAGTCTCCGATCGATTCGAATTACTCGCGCGAGACATCAACACGCGGTGTTTATGTCTGCTCCAAATGAAGACGCGCGCCGGCAAGTGATAGAAATAATATGCTTACGCTATGGATTTAAAGGAAATGTTTATTCACGTCTGCGGCGGCGGCGGGCGATCGATCGCGCATATAAACCTCGCGGCTTGCCCGCGGCGACGCGCGTACAGGAAATAGATATCGCTATTTGAAATTTCGGTCCTGCATGACAGACGACGACTCCTTCCCCCGCGCTGTCGCCGCGCAGCAGGCAGACGGAGTTGATGATCGTGAAATGTCATGGCGCGCGACGTGGGGCGTACGCGCGCGTACACGACCGAGAAACAAGCCGAGATCCCGGCTATTTCCGGGTCTGTTTGAAGAACCGAGTCCGATCTTATCGTCTCGCCCCGCGCGTAGCACGTGCGCGCTTCCGCGTCGAACACGTCGCCGGAGGTGATGAAAAGGCCGGCGTCGAGTGCGCGCGTTCGCTTCTTGGTACATGTGAGCTACGCAAAAGGGGAAAAATGATAGGAAAACATCAAATATGATCCGAGAATAGCAAGTTCCGACGAATCAGAGACTTCCAATTGCGCTCGAGCATCCTCGAGACCTCCCTTCCCGCCTCCCCCGCGCGCCCCGCTCCGGCTTTTCAGGGAGAGACTCTTGCCTCTTATAAGTCGGCTAGCTACGGCAAACGGATAGTCACGTCTGAGCGTTCACTGCGCGAATCGGGAGGATTGTAGAGCAGTGTCAGAACTACGAGCAGCAAACGCGAGAGAAAATGTCCCTGGTGAAAAGTTGCTTCGCCGGTGGCGCAGGGGAATGTTCGATCCGCCTGAGTAACGGTCGAGCAGTCCGTATCGCCTGTGCTAGATCCCAAAATCGTAAGCTCGTCTCTGTTTTAATTGAGCGCTACTTTCCATCTGAACTCGTCGAACCACCTCTCTTCTCGTTTTGCCAGTTATGTTTCTGCGCTTTCGCACGATCGCTAAATGTGCCGTTCGTCGTGCTCGCCTCCGGTAGAAACAGCGCGCGAACGCTGAAGCTTAACCCTTCTTTCACTGTTAGTGGCAAGTATACTTCCCACCTTTCCTTGATTCAATTTTGCGCTGTTGATCACATAATTTTGAAGAACCATCGGATATAATCGGAGATTTGAGTTTTCCAGATAACTGAACTAGCTGTTCAACATACTCCAATAGGTTTTTATACCCAATTATTCATTTGTGATTATTTATAACAAATCAAAGTTGAAAGAAATGCTTTTTTTAGGGAAAAATCGATTCCTCGGAGAGGTATTGAATGTAGAGGTCTGAAATTTTCACCAAATATTTTTCTAATGTTGTACAAAAACATATTTTTTTCAATATCTTTTTGCAGATTAGATTTCTTTTTATAAACAAATATTTCTACAAAAACGACCGAAATTTCAGCTCTATTTTCCTAGTTTTATCATTCTGTATCTTCATCTTATCCGTACTACCAATATTATTTTACTCAAAAGATTCGTAATCAGCGATTCGAAAAATCCATCCGTCATATCATCAATAATAATCGGAATTTTTATCAATTTCTTACATTATGGTCGTCATATTGAATCCGCCGTTTTGAATTTTGCGAATCTCACTTCAGCATCGCAATCAGCGACCCGAAAAACGTAGGACCACCAAATATTTTAATAATTTTCTCAAGGGAAGTTAATTCAGCAGTGAAAGGGTTAACGTGATAGATCGAACGGACGTAACGTCATTTAGCGTTTCTTCAGTTAATGAACCATATATTTATCGATCGAGAATAGCGCGTAGAGACAGAGAAAGAGGGAAAGAGAGAAAGAGAGGAAGAATGGAGGGAGAGACCAAGTACAAGCTTCGAATTATTCGCGCGAGCGCATACACGCGCATCGTACGCGTAAACGGCCGCCACCGAAATAGCTGTATCTCCGGTATCATCTGGTAGAAATGACGTCACGAGCAAGCGAGGGAATGATAGCAGCTTCCCGACGGAGGTTCCACCACGGTGCTCTCAGTGCCTCTCGAGTCGCACGGGGAGCAACAAGTGCCTTTTACTAAGCTAAATCATTAATCGTACTTCGACGTCTGTCTGTCGCGATGACCGTCGTTGTATCACGTCGCGATTCCGCTTAAAGGAGGCATTCCGCGGAGGCACAAAGAGAGAGCATTAGGCCGCCCGATTCGGTGAAACGCGAACGCTCGCGACCTCCCGCTCTCCTGACATGATGTTTGTAGAGAACAAAGCGGCCCTTTTGTCGAACGTATCGGGAGTGATGCTGAAGGAAGGTGAGATAACCGTAAAATTTCACGAGCCTCGACAAGCTGCCGCGTAAGATCGTGCTGCAGCCGCGCCGTAATAACTCGGCCCGTTGAGTATACCGGTGGAAAGATTTTGAATAGAGTACACACACACACACACACACACACACACGCTTGCACGTACTGGTTTTTAGGTACACACACGGGGGACGCGTTAAGTGAATAGAACGTTAATGGAGAGAGAAGTAATTTTTCATCGTCGTGACTACTCGTCCACTACTCGTGATCGACTCGTGAAAAAGTCTGCGGGAAATGCGGGAAAAAGCAAGCAAAATTTTTCGCGAGTATAACGATTAGCCTGGATATCAGCCTTCGACGAATCATTCGAACAACCAGTTTTGGTGGCCTGATTGTGTGACGAGATAGGATCCATTGTGACTGAACTCGTAGCAGAAATTCACGCCCGCGATCCCTTTTTGAACCACATTATTACACGGTAAACACCTGCCGCACGAAATCAACTAAATCGCATAATCAACGTTACCACTCGTAAATGATAATTAGTTCAATTTACTGAACTCGCTCGTCCCTCGTAATTGTCGGGGACTTTCGTTAACAGGAAATAAAGCCAAATGGCAACTGTACATACACTGTACGAATTGTGTGATTATCCTCAATAAACGTCGATAAAATTATTTGTCCGTACTAATACTAAGAGGAAAGGAATATATGAGCGAATGCGAGAGCTTCGCGCTTGCAGCTTTTGCAAAATATCACGGGGACATAGGGATCAGACGGGAATATTTGTCCGAGAAATTATACATGGAAGAAGAGAGAGAGAGAGAGAGAGAGAGAGAGAGAGAGAGAGGGAGAGAGAGAAAGAGAGATAATAATCCGGTGGATTTACTCGCAGTTTCGACATATGTTGTACGTCACGAAGATTAATCACAATATTCACAGTCGATCAGCATGTCATGTTTCCTCGTCGCCGAATGATTTATATTTTTTTCGCGCGTTCGGGCGCCGTTACCGACGCTCTTTCGCGGCCCTCGTTCGGAACAAATTGGATTGGCCGAGCGTGAAAAAATGCACGGTCTCGCATGGACAAAGCGCGCGTGGCCGCGTTAGTTTAGCGGGACGCGAGTCGTCTCGTGCGGAATTTTATTTTTAACTTGTCGTGCAAAATCAGTTCTCTGATCGCGGAGACGCGCCGCACCGGCCAGAAATAAGAACGGGGAAGTCAAATCGTCGCGATTAAACGACGATTATTCCGATGGGATGTTCGAGCCGAGGTAAGTTCGAATCGAGCCGAAAACCCGCGGATACGATATTTTTGCACAAACAAGATTACGTTAAATCGGGAGTCCCCCCGGTCGTTAGTGAATTATATTCCCGCGGCAAAATTAAAACGGAGCCCGAAACTCGTAATTTCCGTAAATTCGAAATTACGTGCTGCGAACACGCAAGACGCGTGCACTTTGTGTATTAATTGGCATGTTTATCGTTACGAATAAGCGCGAGGATTGCTTTCCCCCTGTGTTTCCACCTGTTTTTCCGATAGAAAGCTCAAGCCATGCGAGATAAGTTCTCGTTTTCCGGACAATCGCAATTTCACCTGAAACGTCCACGCGACAGCGCGCATTCGGCCGCGAGAACAAATGTTACCGACGGCAATCCGATCGATGCAGTGTCGCGTTGATCCGCAAGTAAAAAAGTACGCGGTTTGAATATAAATAGGCGGTCCAAAAATATCAGCCAAGCGTCGTCGACCTGTCTGGAGCCCGCCGTCGTTGCTAACAATTTATATTGTCATAACTCGGATTCTCCGTCGACTATACACACACATACACACACATGTATATATATGTATATATTATATATATATATATATATATATATGTATGTATGTATATATATATGTCCTTAATCGCGCCGCTTCGGTAAAAAAAGCAACAGGTTCTTCAGGCTTTTCGGGCGCAATTACAGAAATCTGCGCGCGGACATTCATTAAGAAATGTGTCCCGATCGTCGCCGAAATCGCCGCGGATTTTCGTTCACTTTGTGGATATCGTCGAGTCTGGTGATTTTCATTTTGCCCGTGGCGCTTTCTCGTACGAAAATACCGCGAATTTCTCGAGAAATACAACGTCAAAGAGGTCCCGGCTGAAGTCGCATCTTCGTCCGAATCGAACGCGAGAAAGCGACACAACGCGCCACGATATACGATTCGCTACGAGCGACTCACGATAATACTCTTACACGAATGGAAAGCTTCGTATTCCCAAAGCTCGGCGAACATAGGTAGATCGGAATAAACGCACGTATCGGAGATACTTGAGTCTCCGAGTCCCCGAGTAGCGAATAATTGCGCTGATTTGCGCTGATTTGCGCGTCGCGTATACGAAAAAAAGATGTTCGTTTGTGTGACTGATAGAGCGGGTGAGAACCAGAGGAAAACTCGGGCGAGACGAGTAATAACATCTCCTGATCTCCTTCAAAAATGTCCATCACATAATCCGATGGTTATCGCGGCTGATAACACTCGTCCGAATATTCGGCTACGTTGAAACTCGAATGAGATTACTGAGAACGAGAATGATTGAGAATAGAAACCTTCTACTAGGAATCTGTCCGTCCCCACGACCGAACTTTCATCTGGTTCTCAGATAACGGGAAGATCAATTAGACGAGCCGAGCCGAGTTTCTTTGCCCACGCAGACACGGTAAGTGTAACTTGTCCACTGTGACATCTTATCTAATTGAAAATGGCTTTCTGTTTGCAGAGATGAGACACCTCGTCAGAAAGCAGAGCACGATAGATGTCCACTCCGTTAAAGTCAGCCTGAAAGATATCGTCTGTTACTTGTCCCTACTGGAGGCCGGCAGACCGGAAGACAAACTCGAATGTACGTATTTGCCGCGAGGCCGGCAACGAGCACCTTGAAATTTGCGAAGACAATTTTCGTCTTGAACCGTTCGTTCACTGACGAGCCGACGATTCGACGGAGATTCGCGCTGGTCCCGACAGACCGACCGACGATGTAACGGTTGCGCGATTCTGTTTCTTGCTGAACAATCAGGAGCACGTCCGTGTATAAATCACGGCGGCGAAATCCCGTGCCGCGTTTCACGAAGAACTTCGCTCGGGCGGTATTTCACGCGTACGTTAAATACGTAGCGAAAAATTATTTCGCGAAGTATGCGGTATCGTTGCGAAATCTCTACCCCTCTCCTTCTCTCTCTCTCTCTCTCTCTCTCTCCTCTCGAAACTTGCGGCGGCGCGTAACTTCCTCGCAAAAATTGCGCACCTGCTCTCTCACGCGGAATTTATCAAACTTTGAAAGTAATAAGCGTCGAAAGAGAGCAGCGCGAGAATTCTTTCGTAAAAATCAAGAGAGAAAAAGATATTTTCTCTTCACTTTTGGAAACATCCTTTTTTCTTCCCCTCTCCCTGACGTGTGGAACATTTCCGAGCGATGTACTTACCGCTCCTCCTTACTTACCGAACCCACTTCGCCCCTCGAAATCGGCCGTCGCGAGACGCGCGAGAAACGAAAGGAGGATGGCAGACGCGCGGAATTTATGAGCGAACTCGCGTGTCGGCCGGCAGTCATTCTCGATTTTCTGCCACAGTTGTTACAAGTTCATCGTGCCAGGACTTGCAACGCGACTGCAACTTGTTGCGCAAGCGGTTTCGACTCGCGTTGACTCGATAATCGTCTCTTTTTTCAGTCATGTTCCGGCTATACGACACGGATGGGAACGGCGTCCTTGATACAAACGTGAGTCAAACATGAGCGTTATCAGTCCGCGCGGATAATCGCGCGGTGCGTCGCGTGCATGCAGCACGATAACAATTCGAAACGTCTGTCTCCTATCGACTGGCAAAATTCTTGATTGCTTCATATCGCAAGCAACACGGGTTAGCTGGTGAGACCGCGTTAGAGAATTGACGTCTTCACGTGGTATTAAGATAATTGTGAATGACACACGCGCAAGTGAAGCGCGACGAAGGTATCGTCGTCCGCTAAAGCATGAAATGATACTGACTACTCTAATTTGGATCGACGACGGGCTACCTTTTCCTCGGTGGAAAAAAATAGTACAAAAATAGTAGCTTTGTCCCCCCTCCCCCCTAATGCCCCCGAACAGTGAGAATGATATAGAATAGCTTCATTCGATGGTGGACAAGACGAATACTTATTCTATGTTGTTGACCGCGCTCGGAATAACCACGTCAATTGACATGCACCCTCTGCGATTCGTTACAACGCGAATTACGCGGACCGAGTGCAATTTCCGCTTCTGTAATAGCGACGCGTATCATTGACCTCCCGGCGGATTGAGAGAAGCCAGAAAGCTGTGTGGACGAGTTGGCTAGGATATCGCCACATACACGTGTATGTACATATGTGTACGCGTTAATAATTCATTCTAAGTGCGAACGTTCCTTTACCGCATTGAAAGTACATTTTAATACGTTTTATACGATAAACTTTTCCAAAATATAACTCTCACGCGCAAACGGCTAATGTTGCAATGTAAAAGTTCTTTAGTTTCTTTGAACGATGCCCCGAGTAAAAGAAAATCATATTCCATGTTAACCTTAACAATTACCATCGAACTTGCAGGACGAATGAAGAATATCGAGACGTAATATTATTGTACAGGTTATCCTCTTACCTTGATGCTACAAAATATTACTAATCGTCGTTTTTCCCATGTTGAGAAATCTCGAAGAAATACTCCGGGATTTCTAAGAATTATTTAATATTCGATTATTTTCGTATTTTACCTGCACTTTGTTCTTAATTTCAGTCAGCAATATTATTATTTTTATATGACTCCGTTGCAAATATATAAATGAATTAATAAAGATTAATGGGTAAATAAGTAAAGAGAAAGAGCTCTTTTTCTTTGGGCGTTTCGATGAGATTTGAAGCTCTTGAGAGAGCTAATTAAAAAGTTGTAAAGAAAAGGATGACAAAGTTATGTGGCCAATAATGCCGTTTGACAGTTTTAAGAGATTTAAATTTTGATTTCGTACAATAACAAGTTTAAACAGAAATGAAAAGAAAGCAGATATGAAAAAGATCGAGCTCGCGGCCTGCAGCATTATAGACGTAAAAGTCAATACTTGTGAGATTTACATTCATTCTAAGGTCGGTGCTTAAGGTTATAAATTATTCACGATTTTTGATTGACAACCTTGACAAAATTAATTAAAAATTCATATCCATCTTCGATTCAATATAATTTTTGTCGTATGAAACAAATACAGGTTAACACATTAAATGCTACGCTGATTTTGGCCGACTTTTCGCTCAGGCGGCACGTGAACATACAAAGTATAAACAAGAGATAACGAGATGCAGGATGGGAAAATTCCGGCTCGCTGGGTCGACTAACGAACCGTCAGTTAGACAGTAGCCATAGTAAAGTTACGTTTTATAAAGCATATCTATCTATCGATTATTTTGAAAAGCCCGATTTGTTGCCCGTAAAACTAATTCGAAAGCATTTGGTCGAAAAGTGGCGAAAAATTTAATGAAGAAAGTTATAACTTTTTGTAATGCTTGCAAAAGAAAACCGTATCTTTGTTTAAACTATTTTAATAAAACCCATTAATGAATGATAAGATATTATTTTCTAAATTTGATGCCGTTATATAAACTGAGCAAGGCCCTTAAGATCAAACATTTCCTACCTCATAAATAATTTGACACATCTTGAAAATATGATGTACCTCCGCGCCTCGATGTCCCGTGTCTCGCGTGTCCTCTGTCCTGGCTTCCCGATCGAACATCCTGGCTCCCTGCTGATCCATCGTGGCACTCTGGACACTCACACATCCTGACACACTGACACTCGCGTAACTACGACGATTCGATCGAAGAAATGTATTAAGCAACACGATGCCGACATTCAATGATCCAGTCATAGGTAAACGCGCGCTGCGCGCGCGTACCAAAACAATGGACAAAAAAGGCTACGTCATCCCCGCCGATCACTTGCTGTGTATGCGAACGGTCGAGCGATCACAACAATCAACACTCTCCAAATATTTTAGACTTCAGAGATCTTTCGAAGTACCATATATCACGTACCCCAGTCAGCATATGTACACGTGTATGTGTATAGGTGATAAAATAGATTTCGTCGTCTCTTAAAAGATTTAATTAGGCCGGCATCGTGTTAATTAACACGCGTTTGTCCGATTGAATCCTCGTACCTACGCAAATGTCAATGTCACAAATCAGTATCCTAAATGTCACGACGGAGCAATGGGGAACAGGAAGCTGAATTGGGAAGCTGACGGAAGGGACGTAGGATGTCGAGAAGCGGACGACGATACATCATATATTTCCAGATGTGTCGAAACATTTATCATACAGAAACTTTCCGATTTGACATAGATTTGACAAACTTACCTGTAACAGAGAGAGAGAGAGAGAGACACCCAAGGAAAATTTTAGACCATTCGTATTAAAAAATAGCTTCATAAATCTTTATAAGAAATAAGCTTCATGTAAAAATAAAAAATAGCTTTATGTATAAATTAAAAAATAGCTTCACAAATCTGTGATTATTCGTCGCAGTTATATCTGCGATTATTTCGTACAAAGAATATTGGCCACGACAGTTGAACGGAAGTCCGTGAATACGAATTTGTAATTAATTTTGCTCTTCAAAGGAAATATTCCACGCCAATAAAAGAAAAAAAAATAATGGGAGAATTGCGAATAAAGGTTTATGATTTTACTCACCCATTAATCCTATCATTCAGTCCTATGAACTATTTAATATTTATAATTTTTATATATGTATTTGTAGTTAAATAATTTATATAATTAATATAAATTATTTCTTATTGAAATTAAGAACAGAAACGCACCTTGTTACTGATTCCTTCAATATTGAATGTTAAATATTATTCAATACTATGTAATAATTTTGATATAAGTATTTCTTTAAGACCCGACATGAAAGAAAAACAACGATAAGTAAATATTTGTAGCATCGAAGTAGAACAGTAGTTAGTACAATGTAATAACATTACATTTCGAAATCCTCTCTTCAGTGGTCTTTCAAGCTCGGTGAGATCCGCAGAGTTAATACAGAACCACCATTTCGGTTCATCATAACATATCAAAATAAATAAATAAATATACGGGATATATATTTTCAGTTATGAACCGATGGATTAATTTAGTGAATATAATTGAAATATGTTTTCGGTCAAATAACTGATGGTTATTACGGAGCCGTCTGGCTTTCAGTCAGGATCTCGTCCGAGATATTTACGAAATGTTCTCGAAATTTGTTCCACACGCGCGTGAATACCGTAATGCAATTTCGAGGACAAGCAAAGCGAGCGTGTGAAATCACTCGCAATATCGAGTGCTTAGGTGCCCGACACATCCGTTAATTCGCGTCACACGGGCGCAACGGTTTAGACATACACGTGCATATTCATGCTTATAAGGCGACGTTTCGCGCGTCGACGTGAAATCACGAGCGAGGAGGACGCCGGGAAAACACGCGGCATCGACACATAATGAGTTCCGCGTTGAATAAATCATTAATATCGTTACGTACGAATTCGCGCTGCTTGCCGATAAATATTCACGATCGCGCGGGAAAAAATTCAGGAAAAAGCGGACGCAAATAGAAGCGCGCGGATGGGCGGGCGAAACCGTGTCGCTGTTTTCATCCGACCCGCTCGGCGATGGTAAAACGTGGCGAATGAGGCCGAGAGGGATATGCGTTTTTAATGAAATATATATTAGAGCAGTATGTGCGGTCGGGTCTCGGGACAATATTTCAATATATCGCTCCCCATTCGACTCGGAGTTTAACGGGCGATGTATCACACACATTAACATAAGCGCGTCATCGAATGATACCGCGCTATCAATGTGCATAACGGCCCTCTATCTTTGTTACTAATGTCATTATCGCGTGTATCCAGGAGATGGACTGCATCGTGAATCAGATGATGAATGTCGCGGAGTATCTCGGCTGGGACGTTACGGAATTGAAGCCGGTAGGTGGGCACCGTTAAGCATCGCTTCCCGCGCACACACTCGCGAGAAGTCTTAATTAATCCCTCGCGTTGGGCTGTTTCATCAACGCTCACACCGCGGAACGGATTTATTTAAGCTGATGCTCGGAGAGAGTATCACCAAGGCGAGAGTATCACCTGGTCTCAATACGGCTTGATCGTCTTCTTCTGTCGATGCAGCTTGGCGAACGCGCAGCCGAGGGCCTGATGAAAATAACTTCTGGGAATTGATCAAACGCGAATCCTTTCATTGGACTGTCGGCTGCATCGCGCGCGAGCTGTATCAAGGAAGAACCTCCGAACTGCCGCAGTGGAACCAAGTGTACTTTACATTACGTTACGTGCCTGAAACGTTTTGGCTTCGGAAAACAGGACGTTTGGGAGACGCGATTCCGTCGCGAGGGATTACAGATTACGGACTCTTCCGGCTTTTCCGTCTGCGATACGACGCAGATAGATTTGCACGATTCGCCGCTACGAGATGCTGCGAGAGGAATTCACGGCTAATTCCTCGCGCGACCGCGCCAAGTGGTCGGCCATGATCCGGCAGGTGCGATTTGATTTCAGATCCTGCAGGACATGATGCTGGAGATCGATTACGACGCGGACGGTACGGTCTCGTTGGAGGAGTGGAAGAGAGGCGGCCTCACGACAATCCCCCTGTTGGTTCTTTTGGGTCTGGATTCCCACGTGAAGGAGGATGGCAACCATCTGTGGAGGTTGAAGCACTTCAGTAAACCCGCGTACTGCAACCTCTGTCTGAACATGTTGGTCGGCCTCGGCAAGAAAGGGCTTTGTTGCGTTTGTGAGTAAGAAATCCTCGATATTCCCATCTGCGTGTCGCGACCCTTAAAGCAGCCCTTAAAGTTAAATCGAGTCGCGGCCGCGCGTGTTATGCGATTACGAGAAAACGATCGAGTGAAATTGAAACGCGGAAACGAGCGTTCTCTCGTTCGGGCGTGTTTATCCGAGAAATCGAGCGAAAAGAGAGATGCGCGTGATTAGCGTCGGTGAAATCTATCCTTTCCTTTCTCTAATCAGTTTGCAAGTACACGGTGCACGAGAGGTGCGTGCAGAGAGCGCCGCCCTCCTGCATAGCGACTTACGTGAAGAGCAAGAAAACGTCCCAGACGATGGTTCATCACTGGGTCGAAGGTAATTGCCACGGGAAATGTTCCAAGTGCAGAAAGACGATCAAGAGTTACAACGGCATCACCGGCCTGCATTGCAGATGGTGCCAGATCACCGTGAGTAATCCACTTTGCTCCACGAAAGCGGAAGGCAGCGTGACTCTCGTTCTGTCTCGATCTCGCTCAGTTTGCTCGGTACACTCGTTAAAACGACGTCTATTTAATATAAAGCGCCGAGTGTATTTGTACAGAGGGACATACAATATGCAATTCGAGAGAGTGTACAATTGGAAAACTCGTCGATCAAACGACCGTCCCACGACGCGAGGCGCGTCCTTTAATCGTCGGACGTTTGTCCGACGGAGCGTGAATGCGAAATCAGCGATACATCTCGTCGACCGTCGTCGGCAAACAACGCAGACGGAAATATTGCAATTTGTGCTAATTGCGCGTGAAGTCGAAACACCGAGTTTACGTTTGGAAAAAAAGGAGGAACAGGAATCGCGCCGAGTTAAAACAGCGCGTGCGCACACAATCACGCGAACCTTCCTCACTCAGACGATAATTTGAGGCGCACTCGCAACAGTCGGTGAGCATTTTTCATGGGAATGTTGCAGCTACATAATAGATGCGTGTCGCAAGTACGAGCGGAATGTACACTCGGCGAGCATGCGCTTCATATCCTTCCACCTACGGCGATTTGCCCCGTTGTTCTGGACAGACAGAGATCGTTCTCAAAGGACAAACGAGGTAGCAAGTACGGCCAGGACTCCTCGTCCGTTAGTTCCGTACGTACGACGCGGTGATTTGCGTTAATCATTCCTCCCATCATGAAAAATGTCCCGTCTCACAGATAAACGCATGATAACTGTATATAGAAAAAAAGGCTTGTGCATCAGGTTTACGCATCTTTTACCCTTGAATTGTAAGCTCCGTTATAAAATTGCGAATTGACCTTTGACGCAATTCAACGGAGTTTACAATTCGTCGAATATGTATGTGTGAAGACCATTTCGAGAGAGAGAGAGAGAGAGAGAGAGAGAGAGAGAGAGAGAGAGAGAGAGAGAGAGAGAGAGAGAAAAAGAGAGACAGAGTAATTGTCCCGGAAATTGTCTTGTGGTTGTCTTGAGAGGGCAACGATGCCTGCATTCAGTGTCGGGACAGTAACGAATCATCGCGCGTGTGCGCAACGTAATGGATAAATGTCGAATTTAACAGAGTGGTTACCTGCCGTGTGGCAGCTCGTCAAGTCCGCAACCAGCGATGTCCTTCCAAATCACACCGCCGTCCGGCACGATGCCGCTCTTGGTATTCATAAATCCGAAGTCGGGCGGCCGACAAGGCGAGCGGATGTTGCGAAAATTTCAATATATCCTGAACCCCCGGCAGGTTCATAATCTAGCGATCGGCGGACCCATGCAGGGCCTGCAGATGTTCAAGGACGTGGAGAACTTCAAGGTGATTTGTTGCGGTGGCGACGGCACGGTCGGCTGGGTCTTGGAAACCATGGGTGTGTATCGCGTTGAAAGCTCGAGCGGAGCTCACGACAATCGCGATCAAGATCGTTTCATTGACTTTGTCGTGAGGCGAGCCGGGAAAAGTCAAACAGGGATCGTGATAACATGTGCAACGACGGCGCTCGACGGTGCTTTGCGATCGATTAGCGACATCATCGCGTGAAATTCGCGTCCATTAAATATACAGGGTGGCTAATTTAAATTTTACTTGTTGATCTTTGGAAATTTCAAAAACATCAAATTAACAAAAGTTAGGGCATTATATAAGAGACATGTAACAAGAGACCAAATAAAATAAAAATGTCTATAATATCATACTTTTTTTTTCGACGAATAATTAGCGAAATATCGTAAGCTGGATATTGAAAAAGTTATTAAGTTTTCTTTAAATATCTCAAAAAATATCAGACAAATAGAAATATATTTCAGAAAGAAGTTGTTCAAATTAATTGGTAGAAAAAGATGATGTAATAAAAAATTGGGGTTTCCATTTAAGAAAAGTGATGATCAGTGAACAAGAAAGTGATGCCATTTGTAAACAAAATGATATTGCTATCTTGTGTCCTCCTTCAAACTGAACAACTTTTGTCTGAAACGCTTTTCCGTACCTTCTATATTTCTCGAGATATTTAGATGGATAAATTAAAATGAGCCACCCTGTATATACGTGGGATATTAATCGGAAACTGAACTGCAAATCGTAAATTCTGCCTGAATTCTGATGGACCTGTGTCGATTAGTCGATCACATGTATTATGAACTCCTAGTTTTGAAATTGGCCCGCTGGGAATTAATGACGATTTCATATTTGATAACACGCTGCTAAAAATTGCGCAACTGTTTAATCTAGATCGTGTGCAATTCGAGCACCAACCTGCCGTAGGCGTTATTCCTCTCGGTACAGGCAACGACCTTGCCAGGTGCTTACGTTGGGGAGGTGGCTACGAAGGGGAAGCGGTGCACAAGGTTCTTAAGGTAAGGCAAACTATATGCTTAGCCTGATGATAAACAATTATTCTTGTTTCTGTATGTGTTTGTGAAATCTTGAACAGATGTTACGCTATTTACTGCGATTTATACATCGTTCATATTGATTACGTATAGAAACATAAATTTACACTACAAATATAAATCTTATTATACAGGATATTGTACCAGAAAGATGGATACCCCGGATTAACCTGAAGGGATGATAGGTTCTTGAAAAAGAAATGTTAAATACAAAAGTTTTATGGCTTGAAAATGAGCATCTAATAGTTGTGAAATAGTTTTCAATACTATACTCTTTGAGATCAAATAGAATAAAAAAGTCTAGTATCAGTCTTTTTCTCCCGACAAATAGACAAATATCGGGATATCGTAAGTTAAATATTGAAAAAGTTATCAGATTTTCCTTAAAAATCTTAAAAAAATATTAGGCAAATAAAAAAATGTTGTAGACAAAAGTTGTTCAAATTAATTGGTAGAAAAAGAAGATATAATAAAAATAGGGATTTCTATTTACGATTTTGAAATTGATTTTGTTTTGACCTCTAAATTTGATGCTTAGATCAAGTTCAAGTTCACCACTAGATGCCCATTTCTAACCCATAAACTTTTGTATTTAACACTTTTTTTCAAAAACGTCATCTTTTTAGATTAATCCGGGACATCTATCTTTCTGGTATACCCTGTATATATAGTATATTATATATATTATATATAATGATTTATATTATATACTTATATAAGAAAATATATGTTTTTTCTTCTATGCGTTTTCACGCATGTGTGCACCAACTGCTAGAAAAGTTCGCTATGTGAAGCCCAAATTATCAACTTATTTGTGTAACTTGCAGAAAATAGAGAAGGCAACGCCGGTAATGATGGATCGTTGGCAAATAGAGGTTCTAGATCAAAAGGACGAGAAGAAACCAAATCAAGACAGTATACCGTACAATATCATTAATAATTACTTCTCGGTGGGCGTGGACGCCGCCATTTGCGTGAAGTTTCACATGGAAAGGGAGAAGAATCCCGAGAAGTTCAACAGCAGAATGAAAAATAAGCTGTGGTATTTCGAGTACGCCACCACAGAGCAATTCGCCGCGAGTTGTAAAAATCTTCACGAGGATCTCGAGATAATCGTGAGTAGCCAGCGGCTTGAAGAGTTCTCTCTTTCACGTTAGCTGATAGTTTCAGTAATATTCAGATATCGGATATATAGACGATGTCGAGCGCGAGTCGAGAATCAATCAGCCAGATACGCTCGAGCCCCGGACCTGAATACGTGCATTTGGATCCGCGTTCAAACAATGGGATTCCTCACGTTACATACATTTGTCCAATTACAGTGCGACGGTACGCCTTTGGACCTGGCGCACGGGCCATCTCTGCAAGGGGTCGCATTATTAAACATTCCTTTCACTCATGGGGGCTCGAACCTCTGGGGTGAACATCACACACGTTATCGTCTCGGTAAACGAAAAAAGCGACCTGACAAGGAACTTAGTACGAGTAGCTTCAATTCCGTGGACCTCACAGCCGCTATTCAGGGTGAGTGATCGCAGGTATACATACACATTTCTACCCGAACTGCCGCGCTCCCTTCCTCTCTCTCTTTCTCTGACAATATTGTGGGGACTCACCCTACCGTAGACATCGGCGACAATCTCATAGAAGTAATCGGCTTGGAGAACTGCTTACACATGGGTCAAGTGAAGACCGGCCTTCGGCATTCCGGCAGGAGGCTCGCCCAATGCAGCAGCATCACCATAATCACGAGTAAACGATTCCCCATGCAGATCGACGGGGAACCTTGGATGCAAGGCCCTTGCACGGTGAGCTGGAAAATGAAACAGTAAACTCTGTTTTACTGAGTCGATGATACGTGCGGGACGTAATGTGATACAGAATTATCTTCGACAAGAATATTTCACACCCCGCACACTAAAGTACAGAGAAAACATAAAGAACATATCTCTCACGGTTGGTTTTAAAGTTCGTTTGAAAGACTACGCAAACACACACTGTGTTACTAATGTGTGATAATATTAAAATTCCAGCATTGTAAATTTATTAAAAAAAAAAAAAAATTAAAACTATTTCTCCGACGCAGATTCGCATCACACACAAGAATCAAGTACCAATGCTGATGGCACCACCGCCGGATAAGGGCAAGGGCTTCTTTCGGTTCTTAAAGAGGTAAACTGAAACGGCAGTTTTACGCTTTCACAAGAGGAGGATGGATACTATATTAGGGGTAAAAAAAAAAAAACAAATCAATTCCGCCTATCTCTCTATCCAGTCTTGTCATCGTCCACGTTTGTTCCTTATTATTACGGCGGGAGTGTAATCGGCTCTCCGTCGTACATAGTCGCAGCTTCGATACTCGTCTAAACGCGAAGAGCGAGTGTCAACGCGCGGCTTAGGTATTTTTGTGTACAGTATTTTTCAAAATAAACGGAACTTTGTGTCCTAGCGTTAGGTATACTCCAAAGCGGTAGGCTCTCGGCCGTTTTACGTTAGAGTTTCTCGATCATCTTCCATTTTCGTTTTTACCCTCAGCTGGTGAAGTGAGGACACCGAGCGAGAAGTATATCGGGATCCGTCGTATGATATCGCATGTCGCTTAACTCAACCTGTACGTTACTTTTTCAGCTGCGAGGCGAGATAGAACTCCGTTCGCGAATTCGCACTTGAGGTATCCTGTTTGCAAAGACGTCGTCTTTCCAGTTAAGGGTCAAATCACTTCGCGCAAGCACCGGTCGCACAGCGGGCGCTTCCGTGTGTTTCGACTTTTGAGTCTGCCGCTTCTTACGCGCACAGTGTCGACTAACACATGTATATCCTACACGCGACAAACAGTCACGCTGACACGGCGAATTGTGCGGCGTCGTGCAAACGAGAGAAAGAGAGTGGAGTTGTGACGGCCGACTTCGACTATATCGTTAGTGGATGTGTATGTGTGAATTCTCTTCGAGATCTATCGCCGAACTATTACACTCTTAGCGTAGAAAGGACGAGCGAAGACGGGTGGTGGTCCGGACTGGTCGATATATGTTTGTGTGATAACGTGATATATTCCTAATTCTGGTTCTCCTTTGCACGAGTCCGTCCGTCAATCACGAGTCACATATTTTCCTCTCTTAATTCTAGGTTTTTTGTACCAAAGAGAAAAAGGAAAAAGAGAGAAAAGAAACGGAAGCTTAGTTGTATAAAGCGCGCTTAGATCTATAACACAATCGCGACTTATTTATCTCTTATTTATTCGACGATGTGTATTTATTTATTTATTTATTCTTCTCGTATATTTTGTAAGTCAGAGCAATATATCAGAGGCATATCAGCGAGAGCGAGTGCGATTGCGTGGCGCGTTGTAACATTCAGTTGTTGATACTTGCGAGATCGTGAGTCGTGTAGTATCGCTGAAGAAGCGTCACGGCTTCGTCCCGCGCAATGTATAACCGTCGACATTGAATATGTAATTTGCGTCTTCACGCTGTGTTTATTACATTCGGTGATTGCGATTGTTACTTTCTTTTTTCCTATTTCTTTTTTTTTTTTTAACGTACATTCACACACTTTGAGTACCTGCATTTCGTGTTGACGAACAATCACAGCTAGCTAACTAACTACATATAATTGTGACTCTGTCTCTCCCTCTAACTTTCTTGTGAATCCATCGACATGTTCTTCTCTTGTATTAAACGTATATACAAATGGCTGTATTCTACACACTGCTGTGATGGCCCTACGCTGATTTACATAACGCATGCTTCGGAGGAAACGCTTCCTTTCTTTCTCGGCGATCGTTGGCATTCCCTGACTTAAACTTTATACGTGAACGAAACGTCGATCGTATCCGCATCGTTTCTCAGGATTTTCCGCGAACACTAACACACGATGAAGTAGCCCGCGTAGCCGTTAAGAGAAAACGTATACGTCGTCCATTGTATCGTATTGAATTCTATTTCCGAGCACTCGTTAGACTCACATTTCGTTGATACGCGGTCGATGAATGAACCGAGATATCAATTTCCAATCGAACTATAGTAGAGATGAAAAACTTTATGCTTTTGTATAATTAATATATACGCAGCCGAGGAAAAGTATAATATATTACGAATACAATTTAAAATCCCGCAGGGACCATCTCGAGATATAACGCATCTAACGATAAAGATGAAATCTTAAATTTTTCATATCTCCGTGACACAGACCGATAATCTTTTATCCTTTTGAATCGTCATTTTAGCGACACGTCGCGGCTGCACGTTTCATTGCCGCGCAAAATAGATGGATGAGCGCGACGCGACGCGATAGTTGATTGATTTTAGAGAGAGAAAGAAAAAGAATGAAAAATATTATAAGTGGGATTTAGCATAGTTTACGCGATATTTATGATAATTCAGGATACAACATTACCTCCACCGGATAGACGGTTTAGCTTGTCTTTCTCTCTCTCTCTCTCTCTCTCTCTCTCTCTCTCTCTCTCTCTCTCTCTCTCTCTCTCTCTCTCTCTCTCTCTCTCTCTCTCTCTCCTCTCTCTCTCTCTCTCGCCCTCTCTCTCTCTCTCTCTCTCTCTCTCTCTCTCTCTCTCTTCTCCCACGCACCACCGGTCGCTCATGATCGTCATTGTTTTTGTACTGCAATTGCGCATCAATTTCCGTAACGATTGACGCGGTCGATTAGCTGATAGAGGGATCGAAATACTACGCTTAAAAGATACAACTTGTAATCGATCAAGTCTTGACTCTTAAGTCACTACCTACTAGAGATCGAGTCTAGTTCCGGAAGAACGAGAAACGACGAGACGGTGAGAGATCGCCGCGAGGACACGAGCCCCAGACGGTGGTCTGTCCTCGCGGCACCTCGTCGTCCCTCACGATCTGTGAATATTAAAACGGCACAATAACGACGATATTGTTTTTCTATTGGATTGGCGCAGTGTCTCAGTGTGCTTTGTCATTGTGTAACATTACGATGTGAGAAAGACCCAAAAATTGCTCGTTATGCGGCAGTACGAAGAAACACACGACGCAATCGGTCGGATCGTGGCGAAGGCCTCTCTGGAAGATCGAACGCACGACGAATTATCTATCGCGGCCATTAACAACTACCACGCGTAAGCGCGATGTGCATAAGCGACATCGATTAGCGTCGGTCTCGAGAGAAAAGCTGTGAGCAAACGAGAAAAAAAAAGAGAGTGTCGTGCGCCGGCGATGTTCCAAAGAGGACCTCGTGAATATTTCACCTCAAGAAAACACATAGTTCTTCGTCGTAAGGGAAACACGCGCAATCGCGAAGCATGAATTGGATGTAACGTTGTCGAAGCAAAATTTCATTATAGGATTACTGTGTAACATTACGATGCGAGAAGGACCCGAAAATTACTCGTTATGCGGCGGCAGTACGACACGAAAGTCGATCGAGTGGCGAAGGCTCTCTGGAAGATCGAGTGCACGACGAATTCTCGCGGCTGTTAACAACCACCGCGCGTAAACCACGCGATGTCTCGCATGAGCGAGACGACATCGATTAGCGTCAGTTTCGGGGAGAAAAGCCGAGGAAATGAGAAGAGAGCGTCGTGCGCCGGCGATGTTCCAAAGAGAACCTCGTGAATGTTTCACCTCGAGAGAAAACATAGCTTCTTCGTCGTAATAAGGGAAACACGCGCAGTCGCGAAGCATGAATTGGATGTAACGTTGTCAAAGCAAAATTCTATTATAGGATCCTTATCGACCCCTGTGTACTGTCCTGGAGCGGAATGGAAATAAATGGACTGACCTTGCGCGAGCCGCGTGAATTCGCGGGGAACGAGGTACGCAACAGGTCGTGTATATACACAATGACACGATCGCGTGAATAAATCGCAGAGGGTACACTCAATGGGAATTATTTTACAAAGGAGAACGTTGCGTGCAGAATCGAGATATTGCGAAAATACACCGCTACAAGAGCAGTCTCTCGGGGCCGGTAACGAGTTTCAAAGTATGTTCGCTCTTATAATTTGAAAGAAAAACTTTTTTCAGTGTCTCAATTACCTACATGTTGCACACACTTCTATGCTCTTCTAACTGTTAACTGTTAACAAATGAGAATCGCTGTATGAAACGTACATTTGATTTCGTTGAATGAATTTCTGCCATTTTCTCTCGATCCATCTATTTTTTTTCCTCTCTCGCACAACCGGAAGGAAACAGTAACCGTTTTGCAAAGAAAAAAAATAACCTATCTTCGGTCTTCTTTACCGTTAACCAAAATTACGCGGCAGAGTTATACACAATTTATTACAGTCCGATTTATCTTTTCTCCTCGTTTTCGATGGGTATATGTGATCTGTAACGATGTTCGGCATACGAAACGTACGCGCGTTATAGTCGTTAAGCACTACTTACGAGTATCCGACTTTTAGCTGAATTTACTGCCACCTTTTTTGGGTCTACGTACGTTTGAGCACTACTGCCATTTTCCAAAGGACAGACACGTACGTGAATGAAAAGCCTGTCTATAGTGTAATATAATATAAGAAATAAAGTGTAAATTTATCGCGCACATGTCCTTTCCCCCTTATTAACGTATCTCTCCATGATACATCTTCTCATAAGCTTCAAGCTCGATCGAGCAAGTCTCGGTAGTCGATCGTGTCGCATGTACATACGTACATATCGCGCGAAACGAATGGTTTTCATTCAAGAATCGAGATGTGCAAATTTCAAATTCACGAAAACATTGTACAGTACAGTTTTGATATTTTCAAGATAATAAGGTGATAAAATTACAGCCGATTTCGTATGTATTGCAAGAAAAAAGTGAACAGATATTTCAAATTTCTGCCGCGCATCTTGCTAACCTTTTTAACACGAAACGATCAACCGAGTTGGCCCCACAGACATCTATATTAATAACACAGATGTCTGTGGATGGTCGCTCAATACTCGAAATCGACTGATTTTTCATGATTCTACATGTTACGAACCTAAGTGCAATCCTTCGGCGTGCAAATATAAGTCGAGAAGAAAATCAGCAGGAACTTCGGTAAGAGCAGCTTGCACTTCACGGCGCGACATACAAAACTGTGAACCGTACGCGTGAAAATTATCGACGTATGGTAAAAACGCGCGAGAAATATTTCGCGCGACGTTCCTCGTAACGGCACCGGTGTACTTCCGGTCCCCTTACTGACAAGTGGGTGATGGCCGCCTGACGTATCACCTTCGTTAGGATCCACCGAGCTGCTTTGCGTGTATATTAAACACTCTGACAGCGTGAAGATACCGGTGATGAGAACGCGATTATTCGCCAATTGATCCATTTGTCTTGACGAGTGACACAACGGAAAACGGCGGTCATTTATGCGCGTGAGGTGAGGAAAAAAATTGCAAAGAGCGATCTTGTAATACGCACTGATGCGAGAGCTCATGATCGCGCGTGCCACCGGCTGGGGTTAGGAATCGTCTGGGGCAACCCAGGCACGGTAACGTATGAGATTCCGTAATTTTATCGTGTTGCAGGGACGTTGATAGCAATATGATTAAGACCAGTGAGAATAATTTGAGACACCTCCACTATGAACAGACAGTGTAAGTTTTATCGCAAAATCAAACCGCACTAAAAAGTAACTTTAGGTTACACTAACTGCAATATATTTTTCTATTATAGTACGCTAATCTAAATTGATGCTTTCTTATGTTTTACAAAACTGATGGTATAAAAACTTATCGTCTGTAATAGAAATGTGATCTTTTTATATAAAAATAATAAATATAACATTTTCTTTATATAGGGACTTTGCAGGACAGGAAGATCATAATTCGGTAGAATTATGTAGTACGAATGTGGTCATTGTCCCATCACCAGGTGGTCATGACCATGGTAGTTCAAAAGTAAAGTTAAAAAATATTGTTGATTTTACATGGGAGCATCATCTTTATACCGGTCAGTTGCTGGCTGTTCATGTATCTGGAAAATATTTAGCCTATGGTATTAAAGGTAACCTTCATAACATTGCTTATTATTCGCTGTTTTCCATGTTGTAACTATAACAAAAACATCTCGCTTATATTTTTTTAGTTGGTACTGGTGGTGGACTAGTACGAGTTGTACACAAGGAATTAGAACATAGAGTCCTATTGCGTGGAATGCGTGGTGCTATCCAGGATCTTGCATTTGCTCATGTTTCAAATGTAGTTCTTGCATGTATTGATCATTCAGGATCTCTATTTATATACACGATTGAACCAACACAGTCAGAACTATTATGTAGTTTAGTAATACAAGTTGACGCAGAAGATGTTCCTTCGATTAGCCATCGAGTGATTTGGTGCCCATATATCCCAGAGGATGATGCCTCTGACGGAGACGAAGTATCAAAATTGTTAGTTTTAACTCGTGGTTCTAAAGTCGAGTTGTGGTCAATTGCAACAGTGGCATCAAAATTTAGATCGATAGATGTGAGTACCATGACACAATACATTGTAACCATATTCGCGGAGTTTATGCCCCACAGAATTGTCACAAATATGAAAATCATAAATAATATAGAAACGAGAAACATATGTAGTTCGATATGAACTACATATTTAAGTACCAATTTAAGTACCAATTCCTATATATATATATATATATATCTTTCTTAAATTAGGCAACGAATGCAGCTGCCAAAGACTGTGGAGGTATGATAGAAATTGAACAACACTCAGGTACGATCGTCGAAGCGACATTTAGCCCAGACGGCACTGCACTGGCCACAGCCAGTACAGATGGAGAAGTAAAGTTCTTCCAAGTTTTCCTACATAATAATTCTCACAATGGACAACCGCAACCACGTTGTTTGCATCAGTGGAGGCCTCATGCAGGACGACCTATTTCCTGCTTATTCTTCCTTGACGATCATAAGAACTACCATCCCGAGTGAGTATTCCTCAAGACATTTGTTGACACGCGCGAATTAAATAAATTTATAATTTATTTTCTATGTATATATATACACACATATGTATATGGGTATACACATATTTTTAATTATAAATATATTGAAACACGAAATATCTGCTTCTCAGTGTTCAGTTTTGGAGGTTTGCTGTGACGGGATGTGACAATAATTCGGAATTGAAAGTATGGTCGTGCGAAGTATGGAGTTGCTTGCAAACGATCAAATTTGCTCCAACTCCTACCACTGGAAAATTGCCGGTACTAAAAGCAGGCTTAGACCTTAGTGCTGGATATCTTTTGCTATCGGATATATACAATAAGGTTTTATATATACTAAGTCTTTCAAAAGACAGAGGTGAAGCTTTAGCATGCGTAAGCACAGTGTCGGAGTTTCTCTTGCCGTATCCGATTTTGAGCTTCGGAATTGTCGACGCCGGCCAGTGTAAAATACGGCCGAGCGGTGAGTCGTTGGAGGATCTCTGTCCGATAAGCGACGAAGAGATCGAGGATCAGCTGATCATCCGCATGTATCTAGTCCAACCGAAATCACTGCAAGAATGCCACATTGCGTTTAAACCTGCCGCACAAGTGAGTGGCAACTGCCTTCTCGACACGCTTATACACGATTCGATAGATTATTCCGAAGATCTGCCAGATATGGGGACTACCAATCACAATGGCATTCCCGGTAAGAACTGCGATGAAGAGCGCTCCTTATCCGCGACGATTGAAGCGGCTATCAATCATAACACCGGTGGCTTAAATCTCATGACACCTGACGCGTTCAGTTCACCTTCGAAGAAAGAGAATAATGAATTGGAGTCTAACACCGCGAGTCCAGAACTAGGGAAGGTTTTATCCAGCAGTCCGTCTCTTGCACAAGCAGTACAAGCATTAAACGCATCTGACCCACCGCTTGCGACAAGTGAGATGGAAGAACAAGCTCCTGCTAGTTCAGGTAGTAGTCCATCGAGAGAAGTTAGAGAAATTTTGTCTTGTACCAAACCCGATGAGGAAACCGAGACCGATTGCAAGCCAGAAGCGAAAACGAACGCTGACGAAGATTGGTCTAATATTCCAATGGTTTTACTCAAAGACGTCAGTGTTCACGCGATGCAAGAGGAAGATGCGGAGGAATTTCCTGAGGACGACGAGAATAATGTACAAAGAAAAAAGAAGGACGAGCCGAAGACTACGTCTCTTTCAACCGACAATACCGGCATGTCGTGGCCAGCTCACGACGACATCAATAATCTCGAATTGAAATTGGCACCAATCTTGGAGATAATCCAAAATCAGAATCAAGAATTAAAGGGACTGCGCGCGGAGGTGAGCAGATTACAACAAGAATCGCCGGTGTTCACGCGAGTAGAGTCCACATTGGCGAGGATGGCTCAGCAGCAGAATGCCACCCTAGAGCAGTCTCTGTACAGCCAAATGGCTCATCAACGCGAATTCCTGAATACATTCGAGACAACGATTAAGGATAAGATTGAAACTACCTTGCCATGTGTAGTCAAAGAGGCTGTGGAGCCTTTAAAGCATCAGATACAATTAGACGTGAATTTAATGAACAACCTCCTCAAGAAAGATGTAACTGAATTGATAAACGGTGCACATTTAAAAGATAGCTTAGCTTTGGCAGCTGCTAATGCAGCCAAACCAGCTTTGGATGCCGCTTTTAAAGAAGCATTCGCGACTGTCGTTCTACCTAGTATAGAAAAGACTTGTCAAGCCATGTTCAAACAAATCCAGGATACCTTTGTCATAGGTACTCGTGAATGTAAGTAATTTATGTTGGTTATCATCAGAATTACATTTCATTTTAAGTTAAAGTTAAAACGTACATTCGCTCAATCTGTTGCGCGACATCTTTATAGATCTACAGAGTATCGACAGCATCATCGATAAGCAGTGTCAACGACGCAACGAACAGCTGAGCGAAGCGTTGTCAATGTTAGTGCGCGAAGAATTGCAGACTGAATTGAATCGAAATTTTAGAACAATGCAAGACGGCACTATCCGAGTGATCCGTGAATCCATACGTGAGAATCTCAGTCAACAGCTCACGGATATCTCCAGCGCACGGTGAGCTCCGTAACACAATTTCGACGTTTGACGTATCAGCCGGACGTAAATAAATTTCATGGAATTGTTTTGCAAATTCTGCAGGTCAAGAGCTACAACACCTGCTATACCAGTGGCTGCTATAGCTGATACCCAAGCACGTATAATGGCTCATCTTCAGAAAGGCCAATATAATGCCGCATTTCAGCAGGCTCTAAGCGCAAGTGATTTAGGGTTGGTAGTATTAGTATGCGAGCGAACGGAACCTTCGACAGTGTTCTCGTGTGCAGGAGCTCAGGGTTCCAGGTGCATCTTACAACAACCCGTGATACTCTCGCTCGTTCAACAGTTGTCCGCTGATTTAGGACACCGTACAGAACTAAAGCACAGGTAATTGTTTTCGTTTGATTTGTATCACATGATAGTAGATTATGTATGTAAGAGAGATCCAGTTGTGTTCCATTCGTCACCGTCAACACACGTAATTTAAAGAAAATTTCTTTTTCATACACATATAGATGGCTGGAGGAAGCGATATTGAATTTAGATGTGAACGATCCTGTGACACGAGAGCACATTGGCACTGTGTTAATGACGTTGCAAAATCAATTGAGCACCTTCTTAGCGAGTAATCCAAATCATCGATCGGCACGCCGTATGAAAATGCTGGCTATGGCTGCACGTTCGCTACTAAGTCAACATCCTTGACCGCCACGCTTATGAGCTCGCTCAAATATACGACATAAGATTTTATACGTTCTGTTTAAAGACTACTTTTGTCAAAAAGCAATATTCGTAGAAGTCATGTTAATGAAGTTGACAGTGATTTATATAAAATATGGAACAACTCTGTACTGTAAGGATTCATTGGCACTCGCAGTTGTTTTATCATACATTCAGAGATTTCGTTTGATTTCGTTTATACTCTGTGTACACATATATCTCAATATACGTGATGCAGTAAATTGTCATTCATTGTTTACAGAAGCTTAGATAATTCGATAAAATTTTATTTTAATAACTCTTGTGTAAATCACTCGATTTGATATTCTAGACGCGTATTAAAAGAAAAATATTTTAGGATACATATAATTTTGTCCTCTTGACGATAAATTTGTACTAGCAAATATTCAATACTAACACATAAATTGAAGATATGTTTATTCTGTCATGCATTGTTAAACTCTACACAATAACAGAGTATTGAGCTTATGCATTCAGCGTGCAAATATTAATTTTCATTTTTAAGTTGACAATGAGTTTAACATGTTATGTTCCATTAATTTTTAATTTACATTAAATATTGACTGTGCTTCATGGTGTACTATCATATTTAATAGATCATATAGCAGATTGCTGTTGTAAAAATTTTTAGTTAAATCGTAACCTCAAAGGTCTTGCTTAATAGCCATTTAGGAATACAATTTTTTGACTGAAAAAGATTTTATATTTTTATGACTAACAATTTACGAACTAGAAAAAGTTTACATTGGAATTAATAATACCACATAATGATCATAATAGTTAACCAATAAAACCAAAAATTGTTTTACACGCATGATTTAGTTTGAATATTTGATGTTTGACAAAAAAGTCAACATTGTTTAACAATGATTATCCCATATATGTATACATACGATAATATAGTATTAAACATTATCTGAAAGTCCTTAAACAAAGGCTGTAAATAGTACTGTGCCACCTACATCGAAAAGATTATTTTCCAACGTTTCTATGCTTTCTACATGTGGATGTTCCTAATTCCAGATTTACGTGTTCAAATATATGTTTAGATATTACGCTAATAAGATAGCGTGTATACCCGAAGGATATTGTACATTTTTCTCCGAAAAGGAATTGATAATTTTATTTACTTATTTTTCTCATATATAGTATTATTGTACTTTCAGGATATTTGAACAATAATGATCTTGGATTACCTTAGAATAGAGCTCATTGCCATAACTTGATAAAATCAAACTATAAACTATCTTCATTAAATGAGTAAACATCTCGATCGTTCGTAACAAATGTTTCATCGATATCAGCATTTATAGCAAAATAAACCAATTCATAAACGCCACGGACTATAAATGCATTTCACATCCGACATGAGAAACATGACATTTCAAGAAATGTATGTATCCAGATCTTTAAGATTCATTGTAAAACTTCCGTACATATATGTAGCCAATTATGTTGAAATATTCATTAACATTTTCTGTATGAATAAATGAACAAATAATAGAATATATGTTCTAGTTTAGAGAAGAATAGGCAGATTTAAATAAATACTTTATTCTTCTTAAATCAACAAAAGGTATTGTAATCTATAAACACAAAACAGATTTCATCTTCATTTCCATATTACAACAATTCTGCACCTTATCTATACCTCTTCATTATTTCTTAGTTCTGCCATTAGAGCTTCTTTAATATGTGGTGCTATTTTAATCTTCTTTCTTTTTTTAACTTTATTAGATTTTGTACTGGTTTTATTCAGCACTGTTGGTTTTATCTTTTTCTTCTTCTTCAAACAACTAAGTGGATTCGGTCCTCCTTTTTTCTTCTTTCTTTTTCGTTTATTCTCTTCTTCCACTATTCCTGCTTGCTTTTTTAATGTCTTTATATTTTCCTTCTCCCACATACTCATACCTAAACCTTTCTGCATAGCTTCAGCATATTTATGGCTTGCTTCTGAAGGAGATTCCAGTGTAGGTGCTTTTCCATGTAAATAAATTATAGGAACTCCTGGAATTATTCTCAGTTTATCTTGGAGCTCACGATCTTGTGTGGCAACAATATATCTATGATAAACAAATGCAGTTTGTTACAAACAGCTTCTTAAAAATATTCTCAATATATATGTTTTACATATATAATTGCAACATTTTTAATTATGATCATACTATACCTAGAACCATTATCTTTTCCTATCATAGATTGTAAACATTTCGAGCCACTTGTGGGTTTTTTTTCGTGTTTACATTTATGTACAATATATTGTTTCACTATTTGCATGGCACCATTCACTGATGAAGAGAATGAACCAAGTTTCTCAGTTTCAGAAATAATACATGGTGTCGTTAATAACTTTACTTCAGACTGTAAGTACTTTGCAAGCTGATCCTGTATGTTAAATTTGTTCTGTAAAATAGTAAAACATGAATGTAAAAATATGTAAGAACAACTATAAATAAAGTATAAAAACGAGTAATAAATAATGCTTACTAACCTCTAATGCGGCGAGCGCAAATGTACCATCAATAAGAGCTTGAAAGGGTTGATGAAATTTAAAATTATTGACATAAAATCCAATATTCTTTCGAGCTTTTTTATGTCGCGAAGTTTTCATCTTAAATAAGTTAATTAAATTTGAATCTCTTTAAATATTCTCTTTCAAATTAGAGTCTAACCTCTTTAGAAAGAAAAGCTTCCATTCATTCATTCATTCAATATATGGCTCTGGGGCAGAGTTATTACACTCGTCCTCTTACGCCAATCGCAACGATTTTGGAAATAAAAGAGAAACAGGAACAACGCGTACATACGCAGTCCCCAAGATCAAAAATATGCATAGTTACGGGAACCACATCCAACCGCCGCGAAGGCGAACAAAAGACTTAGGCTGCGTTCCGATATTCACTGCCAGTACTGAAAATACATAGTTTGCGTCACGTATACTATAGATTTTTAGTGCTGACAGTGAATATCGGAACGCAGCCTTAGAAGAAAAGCTTCCATTGGATATCGTTCATCACGGTTCGCTTCGGTATATGGTTTTAGGTAGAAAGGTGTACCCATACGCCATTCTCCAACTGCGTTTAAGGGAGGATTATAAGGGAGGATTAAATGGATTGGTTAGTGGATATAAGGAAGTTAGCTATCTCTTTAAATACGTTTATGTTGTGATTGCTAAAGGCCGCTGCATAGAGATTCCCTGTAGCAGTTGCTCCATCCGTGTAAAACAGTCGGAGCAACAAAGAATCTGATTCTTTAGCGAAGATAGGACATCTGAATAAGATGTGCTCCAGGTCTCTATTGGACCAACCACATTCGCATGTAGCATCATCAATAATGTTTTATCCTTAAAGCCCGTATCAGACTACGGATTGGGATTGAGTATTGGATTGAAATTTAACCAATCAGGAGTAAGTTTACTATACTTGAGATTATTCTCTTTTTCAATTGGTCAAATTTCAATCTAATCTCAATCCCAATCCATAGTCTGATACGGGCTTAAGGTGTAGTCCGGTGGCGATATGATGAGATCTTAACCTGGCTATAAGTGTTAAGACGCTTCTGTTTACTCCTCTTAGATCATCAAACCAAGGACCTTGAAGGATTTCGTGGCAGAATCTTCTGTATCCGCTGCCTTTGTGTGTGAAAGATTCTTCTAGTTCTTCAATAGCTGAGTTAAAGCAGGCATTATGGTGTAGGTGAATAATATCTCCAAGCATAAGTTTACAGTTAGTCCAGGGAAGGAGGTTCGGTACTGAGGGCTCCTAATTTTGCTAAATGATCTGCCCTATCGCTCATCACGTCCGGTATGCAACGGAGATTAAATATAAAAGTGTTAAAAGTGCAAGCAACGCGAACAGATCTTAAGACCACATCCCACTATAGATTGCGATTGAGATTAGACCTGTTCGTTTTGTCTGCATTGCTGAACTGGTGCATTAAGTTAAAGTCAGACAAACGTAGGTTTTCTCACTTCAACTTGTTGCACCAGTTCAACAAAACGAACAGGCCTAATGGCAATAAGTTATACTTGTCTTACTTGAACTTACTGCACTTCAGAAAGTTTAAAAAAGAATCTATTATTTGAAAGAATGTCCTATTTTTTTCTTCATCATTTAGTAATACATAAATATACAGAATATGTAAATCAATCGTAAAAAATTATAGACCAAATAAAAATTGTTACATATCTTCATTGCAGATATCGAGATATATTGTTATTAAAATATTGAAATACGATCGGTAGAGTGATCGTAACAGAGAAAATAAATCGTATAATATAAATAAAAAATTACATTTAACCTGAATCCACTTATATATGTGTATATATATGTATATAAACGTAACACCATTTATTAGTATATATTATTAAAAATAGCATATTAAAATTAGTTTGTATGTATAGCAATTTAGTGTTTTTATATATAATATTTCGTATTATAACTTCAAACGATATTACCAATATTTTTATTCTATGTTTTTCTCATCCGAAATATTTGATGTATTTAAGATTTATGTATAAGAAATTTATTTTTCTTTGACTTGAGTACAATTAGTAAAGTCTTCAGTCTTGAAATGATACATACTGGACTTCAAACCCTGTAAGTAAAATACATATATAATATTCAATCAAAACAATATACATATGTGTGCATAATATACTTACAATTTCCCAAGCATAAAAATGCATTGATGTAAGTTTATCTGAAGGATCCTTCATGTGAACATTTAAACATTGCGATTGATCAATAAAAGGTCCACGAGCAGCCGCCATCTCAAAAATTCTTTTTTGCGGCATTTCCCAGGCAGTTTTATAAAGTAATTTTAAGTCGTCAGGTATGTCATCAATATCCTATGAATATAAGCGAAAATTTTATATAACAGCAACCTACCAATTTTTTAATATTTCTTATTGAGTCACATAACTTCAAAAAATATTTGAATAACAATTATATACTAACTTGTATGGAACCGCCGTTAGAAATTATTTTATTACACATGTCTTCACTCCAAAGACCCTTTTCAATAAGATCTCGTAATAAATGTTTTTTAACATATGGAAATAGTTTAGACGATGCATGCATTGTGCATATGTTACTCGTATATGGCCCAACTGATTCATTGTTTCCTAACATTTGCGCCATGAAAGTATCCGATGTTTGTGCTATTAATAAAGAATTCCGTACTCCGTATTTTGCAATTTTTGCCTTTAAAGTATCCCAATCCCATAAATCTGTCGGTTTTGCATTCCACATTTCATATTGCAAAATCTACAAACAGAAAAAAAAGACTGCACGAACCGCTCACCTAGTTTTAATTAATTAGTATTAGTTACATTTAACAGCCGATGAGAAAATACTTTTAACGACTGCATACTTACGCCTTTACTAACTGGACTTCCCTCATAGGTCGCGTATGGTCCGTCTTCAATAGCCATTTCGCAACTAGCTTCCAAGGCACCATAATAAAACGTTTCAAAAATCTGTACATTGAGTTTTTTAGCTTCTTTACTTTCAAATGGATATCTCATTAAGATAAATGCATCTGCCAAGCCCGATGCACTAATACCTAAAATATTTTAAAAAACGATCTTAAAAATGTTTTATTCGGTAGATAAATTACGTAGGAAATATAAACTTACCGATAGCTCTTTGTCTATAAGCAGAAAATGTTACTTCTTCAAGAGGATACAAATTGACATCTATCATCTTGTCTAAATTGTAAGTAACAATTTTTACTACTTTCTTGAGCTTAGAGAAGTCGTAAGTTTTTGTGGTAGAATTTACAAACATGTCGACGGCAATCGTAGCTAAGTGACACGCAGCAATCTCATCCGAAGCCGAATATTGAATAACTTCAGTGGAAAAACTACCGCAATTAATTGTACCCAGGTTTTGTTGATTTGACTTGAGATTACAATGATCTTTATATACTATGTATGGTGTGCCTGTTTGAATTTGTAATTGAGTTATAAAGACCCATAAATCTCTGGCTTTAACTTGTTTCCGGTAACGGTTTTCCTCCTCATACCTAAATGCCCATTTCTTTTGTAAAAAATCTTATAACTATATAATTTAATTGAAAATAAAAATATATAGGCTATATGCGATTAATTACCGGATATACAAAGCTTCAAATTCATCACCCCAGACATCAATTAATCCAGGACACTCATGTGGACACATCAAACTCCAATCAGCATCATCAAAAACACGTCGCATAAATATATCTGGTGTCCATAATGCATAAAACATATCTTTAGCTCTCAACTGTTCATCACCTGTAACATTTGTTATTGTGAAAGCATATATTTTTTTTCTAAAAATGTGTATAGAGATAACATAGCAAAAAAAAAACCAATGTCTCTCTTGAGCTCCAAAAATTGATATATATCAGAATGCCATGGTTCCAGATACACAGTAATTGGTCCTTCAATGTTTTTTCTGCAAACAGTTGGGATAGATGTGTTGTATGCTCTTAGCATAGGAACCAAACCGTTTGATACACCCCCTGTGCCACGTATAGGAGTGTTCTTTGCACGAATGCAATGTACATTAAAACCAATGTCACCATTATGATGACATAAAACAGCCACTCTTTCTAAGGAATCCAATATTCCATCTATGCTATCTTCAGACATTGTCAATAAAAATGAGCTACAAAAGATATTGCTTATTTAACATTGCATCATTATATTACTTATAACTCTTCTCGATAAAAATGGTTACCTAGCCATTTGCTGTTTAACAGTACATGCACTATTCAGCGTCTGTGCAGCATGTACAATATATTGTTTTGATAAAAGATTGTAAGTCTCAATAGCATTATCAACATCATCATTATGAATGCTGACAGCAACTCGCATCAGCATATGCTGTGGCCTTTCAACCACCTTTCCATTCAATCTTAATAAATGTTTGTTTTCAAGAATTTTAAATGCAGTATAGCTATAATTAAAATCCCTGTCGTATATTATAGCAGAATTTAATCTATCTGCATGTTCTTGAATAATTGTGTAATATTTTTCAGAAATTCTGGGCAAACGTCTATTCATGATGGATAGATTTCCATGGTATAATTGAGTTATTACTTCTGTAAAAAGTAACAAAATATCATAATGAATAAATTATATACTGATAAACAATGCACAATGTTAAGATATCTTACCACTGAACACTTTCTTCGTTTCCTTATGCAGATTGGATATGGCAATTCTACCTGCTAAAATTTCATAGTCCATGTGCTGATTGACCATACTTGCAGCAATATCAGCTGCCAAAGTATCTAATTCGACCGTTGTCATTCCAGAATAAAATTCAGATATGACTCGATGAGTAATGACAGACTGTAAATAATACCAGAATTATAGTAAATATCGCGATGTGTCTATCGTATTAACAAAAACACGAGGTGTCTCGAAGTAAACATAAGTATGATGTAACTTCAGTGTTACTTTGCTGCCTAAATACATATATGAACGCTTACAGGATCCACATAATTCATATCTAAACCGTAACATAATGTTACAATTCTTGATGTTATTTTATCAAAATGAACAGCCTGCACACGTCCATCTATTAACAAAAAACGATGTCGAGATTAAAGGCGGGAAAACAATGTGCGATCTCAGAGTACCCAAGATCCTTTATATCGTAGGATGAGAATGTCATTTTTTTTCAATTACCGCGTTTGATTACATGCATGTTTCTCCGTCGAGTATCTACCAAGTGCTAAATTCTCACAAATACTTCAACTTTTGATCCGTTCTCGCTCAATTCTGCAACAGTTAACCAATGACGAGAACCGGTGACAAGCGAACGATATGACTAAACTTGATTATTATTAGCATTCCAACCGCCAAACGGAAGTATGGAAGACGAATTTATCACGTGCAGCTCATGGCCAATCACGAAATCGTTTTGTACGACATATTTCCGCCACTGTACATTTTATCTTCGCGCGACATTTTAAAAATTCTACGTCAAGAAACGCAATGTAAAGTCTCTTTGGTAAACTTTCTGAAAAGTTACACAAAACTTATACAGTGGATCATCTAGAAAGATAATTTGGCAATAAAAATTGGGCAATTAAGATCAAGAATAGATTAAAAGTTAAGGGCTCAAATTAAATTTATTAAGGCTTGTATTCATGACAGAACTCGATTCAGGAAAAGTTAGATTGTGAGATCATCAAATAAAGACGAAAATATCGAGACAATTTTCCCACAAGCCAAATATCAAATCAAGTTCTAGAGTATTATTCTGGACGTAGAGCGAGTGCCCTATGTTCTTTTCTTTTCCAATTTTAAATTTAACTTCATCTATACAAATTTCATATAAATCTTTTCGTTTGACTTTAAAGTCGGAAAGGCATATTAGCGTTCGTGTGTCCGACATACAGTCCTTATTAGTCGTAGACGCAAACATTCACAATGAATTTGCGCCTTTTACGCACCTCAAGCCGGATTTATATCACGCGATTTCGCGCCGATACCTCTCATGCCCAGCTCACTCCGTGGACACTCGATATTCTCGCTCGGTTACATAGTTCAAGACCGATTCAACGAATCGCCGTCCGTCGCTTTTTCCAGATCATGATCACGCCTATGACATAGAGAAAGAGGGAAATGTTGATTGAGCAAAGTTAGACGGTCAAATCACGACACGGCCGTCGTGCGGCGATCGTGGGAGCTTGGAAAAAAGTCGGCCGGCCGTGTGGGGTATATATCGCGCGCGCGTTTATGTGCGAGCACGACTTGAAGCTGCTGCAGTCGACCGATAGTGGAATGCTCGCCGAGGGGGAGGGGGGTGACACACGTTCGCCGTCGCGGCGAGATCCAGCGAGAGAGCGAGATGCATTGCGCGCTATATATGTATGTCACCGAGGTGGTGTGCTCGCGGATCATCCGTATATGCGGGAGCTCTTAAATATTAATAACGCCGCGGATGCTATCGCGCGCCGAAATGATGCGCGAGTGACGGGCCGGGCAACGGGCTGATCACCGATCGCCGTTCCACCGATGCGTCGTGCATGCCCGGGCGCGGCTAGAATGCGTGCCCGTGCTCGCTACGGATTGTACGAATTGCAAATAAGCAGCGCGGATGGACGCGGCCATGTTTCCTGGTAGCAGAAATCTTATCCATTAATAATTCGCTGAACGTGCGAGCCACGAAGTGGAGCGCGGTGCAGAATGCCGAAATGCGATGTGAAGACAAGATATCTGCCAGCTACGTTCGCGTGGACGGTTCTACTCGGCACTACGACACTCTTCTTCTCCTTCCCGTAAGTCGTCGTCGCGTGTGTGAGCACGTCCGTTGTGTTATCTCTCCGTTGGCGAGCGCTCCTCGGCACCGTTTCCATGCCGTTTCTCCGCCACCGCTGCCGTCGGTTTACACATTTGTTATTCGTTTACGCAGGTGCCAATATTACGTCTCTCGATGGGGCCCGTGGGTACCGGTTTTGCAAGGAGTCATCACCTTCTTCGTGCTGGCGAACTTCACACTGGCTACGTTTATGGACCCGGGTGTTATACCGAGAGGTATGCTAACGGAAAGAATGATGATTAAGTTTTAATGTCGATAGTCGGTTATTCCGTCACAAGTGACAAGATGCAGAGCGGTTTGATTCTTGTTGAAGCACCTCCTGACGAAGATCGAGAAGATGATTTCCGAGCACCGCTATACAAAAATGTTGAGATTAATGGTATCACTGTGCGTATGAAGTGGTGTGTCACCTGCAAGTTCTACCGACCTCCACGTTGCTCACATTGCAGTGTTTGCGATCACTGTATCGAAGTATGTCTTTCCCTTGTCTCCTTGCTTGTTGATGCTAGCTGGAAATAATTGAAACACTGATTTAACGGTTTCATGTTCCTTTTTTCAGACATTCGATCATCACTGCCCATGGGTAAACAACTGTATTGGTAGAAGAAATTACAGATTCTTCTTTTTCTTCCTTCTGTCGCTCAGTACCCATATGATCAGTATATTTGGGCTCTGTCTGAATTTTGTACTGAACCGTAAGGAACACTTGAGTGAAGTAGACACTATTGTTGCGTATCCTTTACACACGATAGATAATTTTTAAGATATAGAGTATTATTGTTGCACAGCGTGATATGAGAATAAAATTTACATTTACTTTAGAAAATCCTTAACTTTAGTATAGATTCGTGCTCATGGGAGTGGTAGTGGTCTTATTCATTCCAATACTTGGACTGACTGGTTTTCATGTGGTCCTTGTTTCCAGAGGACGAACCACTAACGAACAGGTAACAGGCAAATTTAATGGAGGCTACAATCCTTTCTCTCGTGGCTGTCTACACAACTGTTGTTACACTCAATTTGGACCACAGTACCCAAGGTATCTTTTGCAAGAAGCCGTACGACATTAATCCTCTCATACAGAGATCACTTGGTTATAATTTGCTATGTGTGTTGCAGTCTAATTAAGCCTGAAAAATATTCAGGAAATCGACGTGGAGCTTATGCATCAGAGATATCTACTATAGGCAGTGAGAACCAGGTAAAGACCTACATGGATAGCAGCAATGGTGTTAGAAATGCCAGTTCAAATGCTTACAATAAGGTAAGAGCTAGTGCAATTTCGCTTGTCTTCTTTACTTCGTACAGGACAATTTTCATTCAGGGTCTAGCGCTTGAAGTTGAGCTTGTATTATTATTATTATGATTTGTACTGTCTCTCTTACTGTTCATCGGCACAATTAGAGAGGTGAATTTTAATCGCAGCTTACACACATGCTGAGCAATCTTTCCTCCGTCGACACGCAGTTTTTCAAGCATGTACAGCACAGCAAGTAGCATAATGTTATTACTATTGTTACACCAGTAAGTGTGTTTCTTGCAAGTAGTTGTATGCTGTTCTCTTAGCATTGGCTTTTTAATACGTTAACACGTTCTTGACGTTTTACTAGGAAAATTAATACAAACACTCACGTCTTTCTTACGATATCTGTAGAGTCTGAGTTACAGCGACGAGACCTCGTCTATAAGTACCATTCAATCCAGAATCCTAAGAAGTCTTTATTGATACCCAATGTGGTTCACGAACATATCCCACCCATTCCAAATTGATCCTATTTTGCATAGGAAGTATATACGTAATGTATCACAATTATATTACAATGTACATATATACGTATATATATATATTTTTTTTTTTTTTATTTAACGTCTTCATCTCCCCTTCTCCTCAACCGCATTTCGATTCGTCTTTACAGTTGTCTCCCGGACGAGACGGATCGGATACAGACATGGAACCGACGGCGTCTCAGTCCGCAGACTGCGAACCTACGCCACCGTTGCAAAGACACGGCTCCAAAAGCAATTTCTTCCTGCCACCTGTGGAGAACAACGAGTCTCCCAGGCATCCTCCGACGGCGCAGCACCGCCATCCAATACTTTATCCTAGAGGCAGTCCACATCCGAGGCCAAGGTACGTGTGTATCAGTGCCGGTAATTTTCGAGGCACTTGAACGAGGTGCTCTTCCACGATGCTCTCTCATCGCTCACGTCCTGTTTGCAGAGGGATGAATGGATCTCGAAGTCACACGCCGGATCCGTTATCACCGGAAACCAGCGGTTCGCCAGCCACAGCGCCTCAACGTGGCCAGGGCCAAGGTGGTGCCAGTCCGACGATGCAGCAACGCATCAAAGCTATCGGAGTGCCCACTCCGCTTGCCATATCCAGCCCTATACGAAGGTACATCACGCTTGTACATTGTCAAGAGAGAACAGAGTATAGCTCAGTATATCTGGAGAAGTGTCTCACTAATTGTGACTGTATAAACACACATCTACATGTGATACAAAGATATAACGGACACTGACCGAGTGTTTATATCCGGTCGGCTCTTGAAGTAATCGGATATACCGATCCAATTTTAGATGTACTACATACTTTCCACTATACGTATATTATACATATATACACTGAGTTTCCAAACGGTTTGAACGTTTTATTTGAGTGCAATTCGGAACGCGGGCGATGATGCAATGAGAGAGCTAGTTTTTAAAAGATTTGTAAAAATTAAGCTCCCTCATTGAACATTTCTTGCGTCTCGAGTCGCATCCAACGAAAAAGAAAAGGCTCAAACGGCTTCGAGATCGCTTTGAAGTGTATATATCGCGATTTTCACGTTGCACAAAATTATCTCAATGTAGAGAGCAAGAGGGAAGCGCCACACTATAGTAATAGTTACATTGCATCTTTTGAGCACGCTGCCAATACAAAGTGAACGATTACCTCTTACGATTATCCCTTCTTGCTACCCTTCGATATGATGTCAGCCTGTTTTGTCAAGATATATATACATATATATCTCCTGCCTTCCCTTCACTGTTGAACACCTTACTCTTGCTCTTCTGTTTCCTCCTCTTCTGTCATCACTACTATTCTCACCTTCCGAATGACGAAGGAACGTGTCAGGAAAGAAAGGAAAATTGCGCAACGTAGCTTACAATAATATCGTAGAGGATTTAGTCTCTCTGCATGTTACATACTACAAGATATATGGTATATAGATAAGTTTGTGTCCCACTGCAGGGGGTGGTAACTGCAAGGAGCTGCTTTCTACCATCATGTTGCAACCTACTGCAGGTAAACACGAACTTCATCCTACGAGGACATACCGTAGTTTTACGATTATGCTTTCTTGCATATATCTTTGTATATATATATTATAGAAAAAAAAAACATGTGGGTATAAAAAGTATATATTGTTCCGTATACATACAGACTACATACACGCACACACATACAACAGACAGACGCAAACAGCAAACAAGGTATACACAGACCCACACGCGCAGCCACACACGTGTATACACATTTCTTAGGTTCGCTGTTTTTTACGTTTCTTGAATAGATGCTAATTTCTTAACAGGAATGATGCGCTGCTCTCTCTCCTGTATGTCTCGCCAGAGCCGTATTTGTATGGCTACAATGCTCAGCACTCGCATAATTCATCTTGGTTCACTGTACTGTGCATTTGTCGATTATCGAAAGCGCTTTCGACGCTCAGCGCCGCGGCACTAAGACCCGCCGTCTCTGTTACAGATCGAACCCGGGCACACCGACGCAGGTACGTCGGCCGGATTTCATAGGCGTGAACGAGGCGCCGACTTACTACGATATGCAGCAGGCAAACACCGGCGGGATCAGCGTCACCGGCCCGGTAGTTACCGGCTACAGTCCGCAGCGACGTTTCCTGTCGGAGAGCGAGCTCGTGCGACAGGGCACCGACCACCCGTACTCGCGCACCAATAACACAGTCGACAACATACGTGAGCTCGCGGGCTCGCCGCAGCGCGGTGTCTATATGTGGAAGGACAATTCACCCAGCAGCTATCCAGGTCCACCCGCCGCCGGGGGCGGCGGCGGCGTCGTTGGAACAGGAGGAGGTAGTGGAGGAGGAGGAACAGGAGTGGCGGTGAGCAGTGCGCCGCATCAGTCACCCTCCCAACGGCCGCACCCACCCTACGACTATTACCGCTCGAATCCTACCAGCCCGACCCAGCAGCCATACGCGCAGCCGAACGCTCCTAGAGCAGCGTATCACCCTGCCATGAGAGGTGGAGTGCCAGTCTTCCCGCCGCATCAGCCGCACCAGTCACCGCAGGTGAAACGGAAAGCCACGATGGTGACGCCGACCACGCCGACCTCGGGAGACGCGCGACGCCGGCCGATGTCGTTCGTCCGGGCCTTGGAGATGACCGACTCCATGGAGATGGTCTCGGCGCCGAACGATCCGAGATCGCAGCGACCGACGACGCCGACGCCGGACCGGGCGAGTGTGTATGACATGAACTACGAGATATCCGTATAGCCCAGCTTTCCGGTCTCCGCACCATCCTGCGGCTGGACGGAGATTGTACAAGAGCCGCCGATTCTGCGCGTCTCTCGCTCCAACGAGGAAAGAATGTACGCCGTTTACGAGATATCCGTCTGAATTCTTCCGCGAGATCGAGGCAGTCACGGAACTTTGTTACAAGCGCGAGCGCACGAGCATGTTGAAGAAGTCGCACGCGAACGGCTCCGGGATTTCATCGGTCGGTCTCTGCTCGGTCTTTCTCTCTCTCACTCGAGTGCGTCGTGAAAACATCGTTGTTCTCGAGGAGCGTGAGCTCTCGGACTCGAACTCGCAGCGAATGAGACGTACGCACGGTCGCGTGCACCCATGCACGGGCTATCACTGGTGATGAACGTGCGTGCGTGCGTGGTGTGTGTCTGTTTATGTGTGAGCGCGCGCGCGCGCGCATGTATCACATCAATTGACATTATCTACGATGGGTCTGTCTCTCTCTCTCTCTCTCTCTCTTTCTCTCTCTCTCTCTCTCTCTCTCTCTCTCTCTCTCTCTCTGCTTTGTCAGCGAGATTATTCCATCGGTGTAACATCCACTGAACCAAACTGGGCAAGTTGTGAATAATCCGGACGGAAAGAGCGATATGTACGCGCGTTGAGTTGTTTTTTGTCCCTTAATTCTTCCTACGACATGCATTGGAATCGATTCTTCTGTGGTACAGCAGCGAGAGGGAGGAAAATTGTGTCCCGCGCACGCAAGACGCACCAAAATGGCACGCGAGTGCCCTGTCGTATCGGCAATATCATTAATTTAGTCATTGTTAGCGAGAAAGAGAAAAAGAGAAGAGAAAAGAAAACGTAATATATTCCATGTGTGTGCGTATGTGTATGTGTATGTGTGTGCGTGTGCGTGTGCGTGTGTGTGATATGTGCGTATGTATACGTGTGTGCGCGCCATCGTAGCAGCGAAATATGTCCGTTTACGTCGAAAGAATTGCAACGTTCGGTCCGACTGACGATCCGAATTAACGAGTCACGGAGGCGTCAACGAAAGTATATATATCTCCGAGCGCACAGAGGTTGACCCTTATTGGGACTTTCGACCGATAATCGGCCCCTCTCGCTTAACAGAACAATTATATTTTTTAGTACACATTAAGGTCAGTTTAGATTTTTATACAGCGACACCGTGACTCTCATCCTCAGCGTAGTAGAAATGCGACGACGAAATCCTATAGCTCTTCGTCTCTTCCGGTTTTTTTCTTCTTTTTTTTCCTCTTTTCTATTTCTAATCTCCGCTCGCGCGGAACGGGAGGAGCATTAGGAATCCACTTGATTAATCCTCGTTAGCTCTTCGGATATTAGAGGAGTCCGTGTCCATTAAAAGAAAAAAAAGAAGGTAAAAAAGAGGGAGTTACTTAACCAACTTAAGTCATTATCGGGATAGAATAACAAATTCTGTGTAAAATAATCGTGAAATGTGTAGCAAATTTTTAATATACATATTTAACAATATTTATACGTAAATGATAAAAAAAATACAAAACTTTATAATTTGACCTGTTTGTTATAAATGATGATTTTATCGATGTGCCCACTAACACATTTTATTTCCATATATAAAGGGTTCGCGAGGAGAGGGAGGGAGAGGGAGAGGGAGAGAGAGAGAGAGAGAGAGAGAGAGAGAGAGAGAGAGAGAATGAAAGAGAGAAAGTATGAGTGTATAGAAGACAGATAACGAGTGCGAACGAGAGGAATGAACTTTTAAGAGAATGAGAAGTACACAGTCCTAGATTTCAAAACGAAAAAATGTATACAGGGATGAATGTGTCCGTGTGTGCGAACGTAAAATAATAATAAAAAAACACTATTTTGATTTTGTTAAAAGAGAAAAAAATTGTAATATACGCATTGCATAAATCCATTGCTGCATCCATCGCTGCTGTTAAATTTGTAATATATCCCGCTTTTATGAGATTGCATGACGGTTTCTCTGTTGTGTATATGTGCGAGAAGCCGATATAATATCGAACTATATTACATTGACACGGGTTGCAAGCGCGATATCAATTGAATTTTTGCAATAAGCACTTGATGACTCATGCGACAAAGCTTGCCGAGCAATTCGACTTTCGAAAGAAGTGTTTTTACACAACAGCACATTTCACACATATCATTTCGACGTCAGACATCGAATATTTCCAGATTGAAGTTTTTGCAATTTGGCGCAATTGTTGCTAGACTACGAGATTTTATATGCATTTCTTCCGTTATCGATACTCTTTGATAAGCTACTTTTAAGATTCGTTTAACGGGTTCTCTCTGTCTCTCCTATTTTCTCTTTTTATGCGTTTCGTTGCATTTCTGTTTCTCTTATCAAAACGACGAACTGTGCCAAAATAATCGTACTTTTCGGTCGTGTAGCCTTGCTTAATAGCATTTAAACGAGACAACGGTACAACATTACGAATTGACTAAGGTAATAATGTGTAAGATGTGGCGAGTGTTAAGTGTTTATAGTTCAGTGTACTTGTACATAAATATTGCTCGTTACACTTCTCTTATTACTTAAATGTGTACATATATATACCATTCGGTACTTAACGTATCGCTGCAGCAATCTACAGAATAAAAATCATGAAACATAGCACGCTGTATTATGTTGTATCGTGGCAGCATTTTTTTTGTGATGTCTGCTTTTTCTTATGCGTATTCTTTGAGTTTGTTATTTTATTAAAAAAGAAGAGAAGAAAAAAGCGATTATTGAATTGGCCGTGTTCCCAAACTCAATCGTCTAATCATACAAGCATTTTTATTTAAGCATATATTTCCATTAAATAAGAATATTGCCAGACATTCATTTAGTATGAAAATACACGCATATTATCCGGTAATGTTTCGTATTAACAAAACAATCTGATTAATAAAAAATGGCAGATTAGTTGACACATCGAGTTATTAAATTATTAAATTCAAATCATTCAACCACGGATACTTGCTTATCCGTTTTGAGAAACATTATCGGGATACTTACTGTATCACAAAGAATTAAACGTTTATATTTACAAACAGAGATCTGTTTAAAAATCGCTGTTCACTCTATTGCTTTTTTCAAATATATTTTACAGGTCCCAGCATCGCTCCAATATCTTCGCTTGTTTCTTTTTTTGTACGACAATTAATACATATCTTCACTTTCCGGGTTCAGATCTTTAACATTTGGAAGTAACGTTAAGTTTTTTATACGAAACTGTAAATTATTTAATATGTACAAGATAAAGAAGTATATCTCACCGTAATTACGATACAAGACACGATTTTTCACACACTCGTTGAAATATATATTTGGATGTTTGAACGGGATATCGTTGAAACAACCATGTTTAATTTCATAGTATTTGTTACATGCTGCTGAATATTGGCCATTTTGCGATAAGTTCATTATTGCTGATCTTTCTGCTCAATCACGTTAATTAGCGGATAAAATGTCATATGTAAATTGCAATTTGCTTGATACTTACCCAATGCGTTGAAACCGCAATTGACGAGTTCGTCTTCGAGTACGTCGCGTGGCATGTGCTTAAAAGGACATCCGTGATAATCTCTAGGACCAACAGTCGATTCCATGATTTTCGAACACTTGTATGGTTGATAATCCCGCCGAGTACCTTCCCACCCGAAAATGAATCTTATCTGATAGGTGTGTTCTTTTTCAAATGCAGCTTCATCCATTATGTTTATGAATTCACTTTTCCAAAAGGTCATCGCGTCAGACAAAGAAATTCCGATGCCCTTTAGAAATAGACCATACTGTATTCTACCACCGTGAGTAAGATGATGATTTTTCCTCAATGCTTTATGAAGTACCCTCATACAACAAGGATACGAACTTCCTGAAAGCTGCAGCAAATAATCAATTTTTATTGAAGAAAACAATGTTTAATTATGTCACTATCAAAGTTAAAAATTTGAATAACATGCACTTACTTCATCCAATTGATCCAACGAAACATACTGTTGTACATCTTTGTCTTGTATCAATATAGTATTTTCTATATGAATACTATTTTCTAGATGATCAAAGATATTGGAAAACCTTTCATCGTTATATATATTAGCTCTAGCTTCACGTGCACTCTAAAAAATAACAACAGAGAAAATAGTAATAGTCACCAATAAGCTTATAGATATTCATACTAACTTCAAAAGCTGATATCAAAATTTTCCTGAAATATGTTGTAAATACAAATCCCATTTCTTCTTCAGGTACAAAAGCTATACCGTGCATAATGAAAACCTTACGCTTTTTAATTAAATTAATAGCTTGAGAGAAAGGTACTTTGTAAAACTGTACACTGTCTATATCACTAATATGCTGAGAAGACATTTGAAGATATTTTCTGATATTTTCTTTCTCACTTTGACAGATCTGGAAATAACAAGGAATATTTCTTATTCTAGATTCAGAAACTATCAAATTTAAAATACAATATTATGTATTATGTAACAAAACCAACAGGTGTAAAATCAAAATTATAAATTTGCATAAAACATCTGATTCCTTCATTATCTAGTGAGGAAAATCTCCACTTAAATAACCTCGCTTCTTGTTTAAAAAACCAGCGTTTTTTGACTGTATTAAAGGCAACCACAGATCTCAATATAACGTGAGACATATGATCTTTTCTCCTGATATGTATATCCATATCTGTATGTGATTTACATCCTGGACTATTGATCAATCTTGCAAATTCGTCTAGTCCTTGTTTGTATAATTCTTCGACTAAGGCAGCTCTGCGTTTTGACACAGACATTAATAGTTTTTGAAAATGTATACGTTCCACCAAGGTAAGAACTACAACATATAAAAACATTTTAATTATGCTATAACATATAATACAAATATATTATAGGTATTATAGAAAAAAATATATACATAAGTAACTTAATATGCTAAATTAACCTTTGAGCCGTGTTTCGCTTATTTCTTGTAACTCGTCCAACATTATTTCTCCAAACGGTGCATTTTGATACAATTGTAAATCATGAGGATACATATCACTAAGATTTTTTGGCAACTGATGGATAAAAATTTGTTGTTTCATCATAGATGTCATTTCCTTTGAGCAGCAAACTTTAACAAAAATAATAACAGTGGATAAAATATTAAACTAAAGAATTATTAACAATCAAAATGATTATTTTATTTGTCGTTTAAATTTTGATAAACACTGGAAACAATACTACATTCAAACATGGCTATGAAATTACGTTTCTATGTCCAATCACGTAACTGTTAACTAGTTAATCAAATCAATTCCTATTTTCTCTTTTATATCATTTATTAAAGTGAAGAAGTTCTAAAAATTATTATTATTTTATGAAAGTTCGAAGGGCTGTTTATAATGAAAAATTCCAGTTTACCACCAATGAGGTAATGGGACTGTTCTTTATAGCTGCACTGCTGAACTAGTGCAATAAGTTAAAATGAGACAACTATATTTTTTCTCATTCTAACTTATTACACTAGTTCAGCAGTGCAGCTATAAAGAGCAGACCCAATAATAAAGGCTATCAACCACAGATATTTATATTATAGATATCTGTAAACGCAACAACAATAAAAAACTTTCACTGTTGTCAATTTTATTTTCTTTACTGAGCCTCAAAATCCTCAAAAAATGTCGCATACAATATTTCATGTTCAATGTCACTAGATATTACGATTCTTAGCCAATTAAATAGCCCCATTAATGAAATATGGCATACAATATTTTGCACATATTTTTGAGAATTGAGCCCCTGATAATGAACATTGAAATACAGTAGTAGTTGATGGCAATAACATTGACAACCAATACGAATATAGCGAACCAAAATTAAAATTGTCTGATTTATTAATTTGCATCTTATTCAAAAGTATATACATATTTACATATACATAATATCAAATGTAACTTATATTTATATTTCTAACCAATATTTATTTCTTCTTATACACTTGTTAACTTAATATTAACATAACATTAATAACATTAATATCTAGTGTGTATTACATATATTTACTTATTTTCTTTATACAGGGTGTCCCATTTTAATCCGGCCCGCTGAATAAAATTCGAGGATATTTTCCAGAAAAAAATGTCAGACAAATGTTGTTCAATTCTAAGGGGGACCCCTTGATTGGATGCCATCAACAATTTTGACCTCGGGTGAAGGGTTCAAGGTCATTCAAGGTCAACTTTTTTTTCTTAAATGGGAACTCCTATTTTTTCACATCGGCAATCGATTCTACGTAAAAAAATGAAACTTTTGTCTGAAGCATTTTTTTTTATAACGCAAACTAATTTTACTTATTCAGCCTTCAAAATTTAAATTTTCAAACTTTCTGAATTTTTTACTCGAGAATGGTGGGGTTTGGGGGGAAATTGCAGAAGATAAAAAGTTCTTGGAATACTGCAAGGAATTCACTCGAATTTTCGCATAGTTGATCGTGCACTTTTTTCGAGGTACCTCCTGACAGGTAGAACATTGGCGGAAAAAAGTGCACGATCAATTATGCAAAAATTCGAGTGAATTCCTTGCAGCATTCCAAGAACTTTTTGTCCTCTGCAATTTCCTCCCTAACTCCACCATTCTCGAGTAAAAAATTCAGAAAGTTTGAAAATTTCAATTTTGGAGGCTGATTAAGTGAAATTAGTTTGCGTTATAAAAAAAAATGCTTCAGACAAAAGTTTCATTTTTTTTTACGTAGAATCGATTGCCGATGTGAAAAATAGGGGTTCCCATTTAAGAAAAAAAGTTGACCTTGAATGACCTTGAACCCTTCACCCGAGGTCAAAATTGTTGATGGTATCGAATGTCCCCCTTAGAACTGAGCAACGTTTGTCTGACATTTTTTTCTGGAAAATATCTTCGAATTTTATTCAGCCGGCCGGATTAAAATGGGCCTGTATATACATGCATATAGTATATGTATATACATATATATATATAAATTATTTAATTTTGAACTTCTTTAATTGCTTGTGAAAATATATACAACATTAACTTACATTGTTACAAATAATGTCGTAATTAATTTTAAATAAAATTTGTCATCGGATCCTCATAGCGTTTGCGTTTCATTTGATATGCTTCTATCTCTTCGTTCGTTGGTTCCTTCGCCTCGTACATGCTATTATACGGACGTTTCCTCTCGTCCATCTTTAATAATTTGTCCACTTCTTCCGTATTTTCCTCCTCTTTTCTCAACGCTTCCTTTAGTTTGTCTTTCTGTTTTTCATTTTTTTTCTTATTCTTACGACTTTCTTTTCTTCTTTGTTTCTTCAATTTTCGTTTAATCGCTTTGCTTTGTCTCTCTGTCTTATTCTTTGCATCTTCGTCATCAGATGAGGATTCGTTGCTTGAAGAATGTTCCTTGTTCGGAATATCCGATAATCGTCGGGATTCATTATCTTCCGTTTCTTCTGTGTCAGATTTCGCAAATATTTTACTTTGTATGTTACTAGCCGTAGCCTCGACTGATTTCTTCCCGCATTCTCCGGTACAATATGAATTTTTAATAAAGGAATAACAGCACTGATAACCCCATTTTCCATCTTGCCAGTAAGAACCCCATATTGATGTATGGTTATTTGGACAAACATCTTCCTCATATTTAGATCGTATCACCTGTCTATCTTGTCCCTTAACTATTTTACCGTATCTTGAATATTCCACATAATGCTCTGTCTGTGCTAACAATAGCATCTTTGGTAGTGCTTCAAGATGCTCTTCACCTCCATAACATTCAATTATATTGTCGCGTGCTTTGTCTTTCAATTCATCCCGCTTCTTATCATATTCCTGTTTTAATAATTCTAATTTCGTAGGTTCAGCAAGTAAGTGTACATCGACTCCTTTCTCATGTGCATCCCAAGCAAACAATTGTGCATTGGCATGTTGCTGTGTGTCACCAGAAAAGCGTACAAAGTTTTCACCTTTATAATTCACTTCGCGCTCAGTGCCAACATAGGGATTATCTCGCATAGATCTAGTTTTAGGATCGTAATATGCGGAGTTTGGATCCAGATTACGAAGATACTTAGCAGTGTCTTCCCGTATACGTAGGTTTCTCACAGTAATACGCTGCTTCGAGTCTACTTTTGTGCCTGGCATATCCACTTCGTCCACATATTTATCCTCATCCTTGTCTGAATCCTGCTCATCATTTTCTTCTGCATTGAACTTTTCAGCACGCATTTGTCTCTTAGCTTCCTCTACTTTCTGATATTCCTCTACTATAGCTCTATGTTCAGATGGATCATAACCAGCCCACCGATCCCTCTTACCATCATAATCCATTGATAACTCAGGTTGGGTAAATTCATCAGGAGCTATCTTAGAATTTGTGTACTTAGCACCAACTTTACGTGGCCTTTCCATGCATTCTTTCCTTTTATGTGTCATCGCACCACAGTTTTCACAAGCACCTTTACGATACTTGACTGCTGTTCTTGAATCATCTACTCCACGACTGTACCATGCATCAATAGCACTGTACTCTTTCTGTTTCTCAGGCTGTGGCCGCTGATGCTTTAAAGTAGGACCTTGGGCACCAAAATACCATGGTGTTGCACTGATATACTGAGGTATATGCGGATTGATGTCCTTTCCTTCTTCATCAACAGCAGCCGGAGCAGTACCAGCCTTTCTCGCCTCTTCGAGTTCCTTTGCCTTCCGCCAATCTTCTCGACTCTTCTTTCGTGGTTCATCTTCAAACGAGCTTTTGTTCTTCAAGATATTCGATACAGTTACGTTCGCTAATGAATTTGCCATTTCAGTAAGAATTCAAAGCTAGATTTCTTCTTTCTCTTATTCTAAATTGTTCTAAATATTTATTTTATTGAGATCTTTGACTATATAACCACAAATCGCTAGCAGTGATTTTAGCCGCGTGTCAATTGACCTTTTTGGTCTGTTCTTTTCAGCTGCACTACTGAACTGGTGCAATAAGTTAAAGTGAGAAAAAATATATATGTCTCATTCTAACTTATTACACTAGTTCCGCAGTGCAGCTGAAAAGAACAAACCAATTCTTTTCAGCTGCACTGCGGAACTAGTGCAATAAGTTAGAATGGGACAACTATATTTTTACAACTTTAACTTATTGCACCAGTTCAGTAGTGCAGCTAAAAAGAACAGACCAAATATCTTCAGCGCCCCCAGTACCAAACAATGGCGGTAAAGCCAGCGGCACACGGTGCTTGTTTTCGTGCTGGATTGCTTGCTGGATGAAAATACTGCGTTCTGATTGGTGTATTTCCATCCATCTCGGAAATGTATCAATCAGAACGCAGTATTTTCATCCAGCAAGCAACCCAGCACGAAAACAAGCACCGTGTGCCGCTAGCTTTAATTATATCTAGAATACGGACCTCCTCACCAATTTCATCGATGAGATAATAGACCTGTTCGTTTTGTCTGCACTGTTGAACTGGTGCAACAAGTTGAGGTGAATACTTCGAGCTATGTTTCATATTTCGGCCACAATATTCCTAAGAAGATGCTAGTCGACAACGGCTGCATTCAGCAGACTCAACAGTTGGACAACATTACTAGATTTTCCACTGAATCTCGCTCCTGATTGGTAAGTACTTCTAGGTCTATGAAGAATCTAAAAGAATGCTCCAATCACAGACAATAATCACTAAGCACTCTCTGATCACTTTGTTCTACTGAACGCGGCCAACGAAGTTTCTCTAGTACGCTAAGGGCCAGAGCACAGACTTCTGCATAACGTACAATACACAACGCATAAGAGAATCAACAAATCAGAGTTCTTCATTTCTGTCCTGAGGAGGGAAATGAAGAACTCTGATTGGTTAATTCTCTTATGCGTTGTGTACTATGTGTTATGCAGCAATCTGTGCTGCATAACACATAGTACGCTCTGGCCCTAACACTCATATTCATAGTCAGGCCTTATATTTAAGACTTCCTTAAATTTATTTTCAGATGATCTATAGCCAATAAAATAATCCGTACAGCATCTAAAGATGGATATAAGGAAGCCTCAAATATAAGGCCTGACTATGAATACGGGTATTAATCCCGTAAGGCAGAGTTGGAGACGATCTGCACATTCGGGCGAAATTCAAGAGGTGACACAAGAGGTGAACTGAAACGCACTCTCGCGTCATATTATCATTAAAATTTTTACCTCGTTTAATAATCATTTTAAAATATATATGTTTATACGTTATTTATATATATATAAAACATGTAAACATATATATTTTAAAGTGATTATTAAACAAGAAAAAAATTTTAATGATTATATGACGCGAGGGTGCGCTCCAGCTAATTTCGTATACAGCGACGGACCTGAATACATCGCGATTGTCGCCTTGGCCGCTGAGCGCGGAGCGTTGGCAAGGAGACGGTGGGTGTCACCTTTTGAATTTCGCTCGAAATGTGCAGATCGTCTCCAGCTCTGCCGTAAGGCCAACAGTCTTTATAGTATCATATAGTATCATATAGTATCTCGTCGGTGGTATTACCATTCTCAGGTTTCTCTCTGATTATCATTTTGTTTCCAAATCTACAAAATTGTAATTAATGCTTTTCATAGTTTCAGCGTATCTTTGATATTTAAATTTCTTCTGTATGTTAAACATTTATTTGAACATTTTCTCACAAAGTAGAACTTACAGCAATAAAAATGTCAAAGACTGACAGTTTGTACACGTCGCGAATGCGAACACGTCTACAATTCAATGTAACTAATAAGCCAGAAGAAAATGTCGAAATTGACATTTCCGAATTAAACGGTATAATATAATCATCTTTCCTTATTGTAAAACATTTCAAATGTTGCATATTTATTGTTTAAAAAATGTATAATGTATGTTTAAGATTGATTTACGGTATGCCCTGAGAGAAATATAGTTTGACATTGACATATATATAGATGAATGATTTACTTAATATACTTTGTTCCAATATTAATATTCACAATATTTGTTATTGGCTGAATGTTGGAGATTTTATAATATAAGCTTGGAACTTTATAAATAATTTGCGGATTACTTTACAGATCTGCTGAATCAAACATGGAACATTTATGCAGCATCTGCTCTATTTGGTTTCCAACATGATGATGTTTCTTTAAAATTATACTCAAAAAAGTTGCGAGAAGAAATAGCAAGACACCTACCTCATGAAGATTTAACTTATGATGCAAATTTTTTTATCATAGAAAATGGTTCTACATCCAATTATGAAAATTATTCAGCAATTAAGGTTAATTAAAAATAAATATATAAATAATATATGACATTTGAAAAACATTTTAAAAAATACTATTAAATAACTATGTTAGAGATGTAGTATTTTATCAAAGTAAATGATAAAATTTGAAATCATTAAATATATATTTATATGTTTTAGATAGAAGTAGTAGCCAAACAGAATAATCATGAAGAAAAATCCATTTACAAAGGAATATTATTATCTTGGACAACAACACAAATTGAACCTGATATAAATAATACTACAAAGTTGCCTCTTTTACTGTGCCGTGGCACACGTAATTGTATAGATGCTGTACATATTGTTATTAGTCATATGTTTGACTGTTTGGTAATGGCATTACCGATTAGTGAGGATGATCTAAATTGGCTTATTCCAATTATAATTGTATTAGTTGACAAGGATGAGCAACCTATAGTATCTGGTGAAGTTCATATGGAATATACAGTATCAGAATTACCAGTTACAGATACTATTAAAGTCAAATTTGATATTTCAGAGCTGAGGAAAATATTAAAAAAGTATGCATATAATATTGATGTTTAATTATACAAGATTACTTGGAATCTGCAATTTATATTTTATATTGTTTATTAATTTATAGCATTATAAACCAAAATAATATGGCCAATATAATACTTGACCATAAACACATAAAACAATTCTATGAAGTTCTATACGTGCAAATGTTAACAATAGGAGGATTACAATTAGGATCATGTACATTGCATAGAATTAACCTGCCTGGAGTAACAATAATGGAGAACAGAGTGAGTTTATATATATATTTTTTTTTCAAATTTATCAAAATTTCTCTCCTGATTTATATTAAAATTCAAACCATATTTCTTTTATAATACATTTATTATATTTGTCATTATTTATATATGTCAATTTATTTTATTTAAAAATAATTTTATATTTGTTGTTTGAAATATATAATTTTTTGTTTTAGATGAAAATAATGAATGTAGAAATTATGAATCATATATTATTATATCTGTGTGAAAAAGCCTTTGATACATTCCATGCAATACGTATAGACATATAAATATGTTTAATTATTTTGTTACTCCGTGATACACATATATTTATATTTGAAAATTCAACTAATGATGTCATATCAAATGTATTATTTTACAATCCTAACTGAAAATAGAAATATATATATTTTTTATTTTTAGTTAGATTTAGTTAGTTTAGTTACATATATATATAACTTATATATATATATATATAACTTAGTTACTAGTTATATATATATATATAGTTATTATATATACATATATAAGGAAATCAAAATCAATATTCAATGTATAATAGTGTAAAACTTACATAATTTTAACTTACATAAGTTTACATAACATAAAACTTATGTTCTATTATTCCTTGTGCTAGTACATATACATGTATATGTGCAAGCATGAAAAATATAAATCTAATTGCACAGTTTTTTCGTATTTTGGAAAAAATATGAATTGAAGAAAATATGATTGCACGCGTCTATTTCGATCATAATTCTTCACAAGTCTTATTTACCTCTCAAACTATATCAATATTATCATATCAATATAAATTACCTTCATTTAAATTTAATGATAATTTATCAACTAATTTATCGTGAATCGTGTATATATATATATATATATATATATATATATATATATAATATTAAAAAAAATATAAATTCAGAGTAAAAAATGCTAACTTTTTCCTCCATATAATGAATTTGACAAATTAATAATTAAGTCTGATATGGTTATTTTGTTAATTGTTAAAAATATTTTTTTATCTTAAGCCTATTTATCTTTCATAAAAATTTTTATTTAAAAAGTCCTTTCCTATCAGCAATAATTATCGAGATATTATAAAGGGGGTGAAAGTTTGTGGGGCACCCCTTAAACCTGAACCATTGCTGATGAAAAAAATATGGATCTCCTATTTTTGGCTACTCTATAAATATACCAAGTTTCGTCGAAATCGGAGACACATTTCGCGGATGTTCCTTGTTTGTCGGTAACCATGTTAACGATTACTCGCCCACAGCTGTAGCCGAAAATTTCTTATACCGTATATATCCGTATATATCTGTGAAATGAGCTTCGGGCACTTGGCAGCTCATTGCGTTGTTGTAAGTCCTTTGAGACGATAAAACAAAATTTATTGGATAAGTTAAATTTCAAAAATCGAGTTCCACTGGTTTTAAACGGATTGTAAAAGACAGTGGCATAAATATATTGCAAGCAATGAAAGTTATTTTGAAAGCAGTCAAATAGATAAATGAGTAAATGAATACTTTGTGTTTTAATTTGCTCTGAAACTTTCTTGAACAGGATAATATCAGGTGTAGTAAAAAGAAATCCATTATTTTTCCAATAGATGGCTTTAGTTATCTGTATCTCGCGTTGTATAAGTCCGATCGGGTTCCACTAGATGACGTTAGAAAGATGAGATTTCGTACTAAAAAAACTTTTCTGACAGTTTTGTGATTAGTTGACTCTAGGGATGGCCATTGCGAAAAAAAATAATCGTCCCTAGAATTATCGATTAGTACAAACATCGTTTTACATATATCGATGTTTTAAGAAAAATATCGATAATTAATCGATTATTTCACAGTTTCGTTCAAAATTAAGCTAAGACTCCATGCATGCGGTGAGCTGCGGCAAATGCTGCGGTGACCAATCAGGAGGGAGGCGCAAGTCCGGTTGCGGCAAGCTCCGGCATGCGTCTGTCTCCTGATTGGTCACCGCAGCCGTTTGCCGGAGCTCACCGCATGCATGGAGTCTTAGCTTTATGGCTCCTGCACACAGAGCGCGGCAACGCTTGTCGCGCGGTGGAAGTTGGAGCGATCACCAATCAACGTCCTGCTTTCCTCAAGAGCTGGAAGTTTATTACGGAATAGCGGCACGTTGATTGGCTATCGTGCGAATTTCCGCCGCGCGGCAAGCGTTGCCGCGTCCTGTATGCAGAAGCCATAAAGATTACGGCACACGATGTTTATTTCCAGTTACGGACTGTTCGAATGTCAACAGTAATTACGAAATATTTATAATAAACGTCATGCCAATTATAGACTATCAATATCGGCAGTGAGTACTGGAACGCAGCTCCAGTGAGGTTCAGTAATATACTAGAAATGTTACATTCTGATTGGGTTCTATTATGTCACTAGATTAAGAAAATAAGCACCGTGTCGCTGACCTAAAAGATAAAAATAATCAGTAATATTCAGTTTCATACTAGAAATGTACCAATCTGAATGAAATGTTTCTAGTATATCAGTAGATTTAACTGGTTTCATTACAAAATGTATAACTACCTATTTGGAGTGCAGTGAAATGTCATGAGGCTATATTCTGTACCCCGTAACAATAACTGTCGGTGTTGGGTACAGGTTAAAGCTTTGTTCTATGTAGCATGGATCGGAATGACGGATCGGATTTCTCACTAGAATGATCAATAGAATCATTTGTTCAAACTTGCACTTTTTATGGAACAGAACTGGAAATGGGTTACACGACTATTTCCATAAAAAAAGAGGGGATAGCGTTGGGTGCAATGAAAATTCTTAGAGTTAGAATTTGGATGAGCAAATTAAAATTCGCATTACCTAGAGGTTTTCGTTATAACCAATGCTATCCCCTCTCTTTTTAAGGAAATTGTAATTTTCGCAGACCAACGCGACGAGCGACGCAATTCGCGATATGCGACGGACGATATCCACTGAGTGTACAGCTCTTTCGGAATACTAGCACGCTCATTGGATATCGCGCGTCGCACTGGCTGCAAGAGTCATATCGCGAATTGCGTTGCTCGACGCGCATACGAAAATGTATAGTAGACGTGACATGAACTATAGGATTTTCGCATACGTATCCACTCATACACATAGAGAATCGTGCCCCTGGCGGTGAATTTCAGAACGCTGCCTTAATAACATCGAAGCAAAATAACTATCGATGCAGGAATAATCGGTTTTCAAAAACATCGAAAAAAACATCGATTATTTCAAGAAAAAGAATCGATTCTAAAAACATCGATCACATTTTGGCCATCCCTAAGTTGACTCAGTTTTGTTTGAGCGCGCGTCAAAGATGGACACTAGCAAAGAGAAAATACGCTATATTTTACAGTTTTTCTTCGATAAAGGCGAAAACGCAAGCCAGGCGGCTGAAAATGTGAATAATGTTTATGGTCTTGATACTGTAACAGCCAATCACGCGCAATTTTGGTTTCGTCGATTCCGTTCCGGTAATTTCGATGTCAAAGATGCACCACGCACTGGAAGGCCAATTGTCGAAAATATCGATAAAATCATGGACATTGTCGAGTCCGACCGTCATGTAAGCACTGTTTCAATTGCCCAAGAGCTAAAGATTGCACAAAAAACCGTTTGGAATCATTTGAATAAGGCTGGATACAAAAAGAAGCTCGATGTATGGGTGCCACACGAGTTAACGCAAAAAAACCTCATGGACCGAATTTCCATCTGCGAATCGTTGCTGAATCGCAACAAAATCGATCCATTTCTGAAGCGGTTGGTCACTGGTGATGAAAAGTGGATCACTTACGACAACGTCAAGCGAAAACGGTCGAATCACGGTGAGCCGGCGAAAACGGTGGCCAAGCCAGGATTGACAGCCAGGAAGGTTTTGCTGAGTGTTTGGTGGGATTGGCAGGGAATTATCTACTATGAGCTGCTCTCCTACGGCAAAACTCTTAACTCGGAACTGTACTGTCAACAATTGGACCGTCTGAAGGAAGCAATCGCCCAGAAGCGGCCAGCTTTGGCCAATAGGAGAGGAATTGTGTTCCATCAGGACAACGCCAGGCCATACACATCGATAGTGACTCGCCAGAAGCTCCGGGAGCTTGGTTGGGAGGTTCTTATGCATCCACCTTATAGTCCGGACCTGGCACCAAGTGATTACCATCTGTTCCTGTCCATGGTGAACAATTTTGCTGGTGAAAAATTTGCTTCAAGAGAGGCTTGTGAAAATCGACTGTCTCAATTTTTTGCCAATAGGGACGAGGGCTTCTATGAGAGAGGCATAATGAAATTACCTTCAAAATGGCAACAAGTTATCGAACAAAACGGCGCATATTTGACCTAAATCGGATCATTCTAACTATGGTAACTAAAGCCTTCAATTTCATGCAAAAATAATGGATTTCTTTTTACTACACCTGATATATGATCATATTAATTTGATATTTTTTTGCTACACAGATTGTGATGTGATTAAAAATAAAATGTTCTGCAGAATATTTTTAGATAATGTCAAAAGAATTATTATTAAGGACTATAATATACATATGTACAAATTTTATTGGAATATGTCTATTAAGGATATTACATATCATAATAAAGAATTTTGTAATGATGAAATATATTTATTTTTGAAACCATGGATTGATAGAGCAGAGAAATATAAAAAAAGTTTTTCCTATCAATGTAAATATTTAAAATATCTAAATAAAGTTGCAAAGAGATCACAGAGACACTAAAGACATTTTAGAAGTATTTTTCAACAAACAAAACATCAGCATTTAGTAATACATTTGTGTGCAAAAAAGAGCTTATGTTAATATTAAAAACATGCTTAAGTCCATAGCAATTTCTAATTTTATCTTCAAACTGCATATACTTGTATAATATTTCATTTGCTTTTTTTAGCCATTATGATAACATGTCTTCTTATTTTATGTAATTTTATGAGAATTGTATGAAATAATTTATAAAATATATGTACATGCGTAATTATGTTAATAACAATAATTTTCCAAAAAAATTTGATACAGTGGTTATTATTTCATATTTTATACAAAATTTTATACGATGAAACTTATATACAATAAGCTCGTACACTGTAACTTTTATTGTACCTTCAAATAGAATAAAAACTTGATCTTACACATATCAAACACTTCGACCTAATACTTGATTCATTGCATCCATCTCTTTATAAGACATAGGTGTTAACATCAAACCAGGTACCGGCGGAATTAATTCTAAGTCACGTAATTCATTTACTTTTATCTTTAAGTCACTTCTTATCTTATTAATTGTATTACTACATTCTCTCTGATCTGTAATACCAACCATTATTGTAGAACAAAAGATATCAAATATAAATTGTTTATTTATAACATTTATATTATACAAATTTAGAACAAATTACCTTTCTCGAGTAATTCTATAGCAGCCTTAGATGACATTTTCAATAGCAATGGACCCACTGTTATCCATGTCTTATCACACGACTGTTTTTCTAATGCTCTCATTCCAACACGATCATAGTTTCTTTGTTTGTCCAACGCGATTAATTCCTCGCGATCAGTGAGAATCTCACCAGCTTTGTGTTCAACTTGTTCTAAATGTTCCAATAATTTTTGTTGATCATTCGCCATCTGTAATATAATTAAACATTTATATATTATCTTTTATATATATTTTTTTCTCTTGCTATATTCACATACTGAAAGCTTCATAGACGACTACATGTATTTATACATAACAAGTTTTAGATTCTTAATATTTCAGTAAAATAAAAATCAAGTCTTTGTACTTTGATTTATATTTTTATTAACAATTATTTGACACAAGATAATATTAATTACAAAAATTACAAAAAAAAACATTAAAAAATGGATATCAACATAAATTATTTTCTACTGCAGAAAGACAATAATAAAAATAGTAAACTTACAAGCATGAATATATAAGAACAATAACAATTATTTTCATTCCATTGAATCTTTAAATAAACGCCACATTCATATTTATAAAATTATTTATATCTATTTTAAGATAATGCAATACGTAAAGCTCTTTCTTTCCTAGCTTCTCTATGAAGTAGTTTTTCTCTGTCTCTTTTTTTCAGTGGTTTCTGCTTGGATGTTTTAGTGCCGTTAATGGCAGTTGTATCACTTGGCTTAAAATGAGTAACTCTGTATTCACTCTCTGCTGATTGTCCTAGTCCTTTACGATCCATTTTCAAACATGTTTTAATTGGATATTTTATTCCTTTTCCAGAAGGTCCAAGACCAGCTTCTTCATCCCATCCAGTGTTTAAAAGCATTTTGTATCCTTTATTTTGCTTTGATATTCCATACATTGTGTGTTTCAATTTAGGCTTTGTGTTGAAGATATGCAAGGTAGAAGCTTCATGTTTCTGTGGAGTTGTCTCTTGAAAAATTGCTTTACAAATTTCACAATAAAACGCTATATTCTGTTGCGACTGTGCTTTTTTTTCAATGATATTGTGGACATCCCTATCATGATCCTTAGAAGATTCTATAGACATTGGTCTCATTGGTAAAGCATTCGTATTATTTGATCTAGATATATTTGCAGATGATTGATTATTATTGTTCACTGACTCAGACTTTTTCTTAAGTAATGCAACTATGCTTAAATAATTTTTTTTCAAAGCTAACTGGGCTGCAGTGAGACCAGACCTATCTCTAGTTCTTTTGTTAGCCCCAAGATTCAATAAAAATTGCACAATCTCCAAATGACCGCAGTAAGCAGCAGACATTAACGGAGTCCACCCAAAATCATCGCACACATTCACATTTTCTGATGTCATATATTTTTGTAGAAACTTCAAATCTTTCTGCTCTACTGCTTTTAGCAATGTATTGATAGTGACTTTTGCCAAAACATCTTCAGGAACTATCGTTTTCTTTGATTGCGCATTAATAGAAACTGGATTTACACCAGAATTATTTTGATTTCCACCAACCTTTGATTTAAAATACTTTAATCTTGTCGCTGTGGCACTGCTATTGCTATTATTTTGATGAATAATTTCTTCATAGGCAGTTTTAGCTTCATTTCCTTGAAAGGCCAACTGATGAATATGTTTTTCTGGGGATTTATCCTGTGCATTGGAAGACTCCCTGATGAAAGTCTTCCATGGTATATCAATATTATGACGTATATGTATCCACGGTTGTAGAGACATCATTTAAATGTTTCTTGTATGTCACGTTGCTCACGAGAAATTCGTACAGAATTGAAGATATAACTGACTGAATTTGTATAACACTCTGCTCTGCTAGCCTGTATTTGTTTTTTTGTAAGTCACGAATAATGCATATGCATTAATTGTCCCGAAACGCGATATTTAATATTAAAAACGACACACATTCACAAAACAATGTCTTGTACTTTATATTTTCACGATAACAAACTTTATCGCAGAAGGTAGAAACTGTTATCGCAGAAAGTAGAACGGAATTGCTATTTTGAGAGATACGTAGCGAACTTATATCTGATATATACCATCCGCAACGCAGTTTGAAGTCTTATTGTCAACATAATGTGTTGTTAACAAAATTTACCTTGATTATTCCGTCCTTGACGTACAATTATTACAAAACAAAGAATTATTTAATTGTACGTGTTATTATTAACTTCCAACTAGGTAGTTAGGTAGCTAGGTTATATAGGTTACATATGCTGTAGCGTATACCATAAGCTCTTTAATCAGACTTGGCAACTTCTGATCTTCAAATACAAAATTACCATTACTATTACTTGATATATTTCGGCCGTGTTCCAAAATTCACTGCCAGCGCTGGAAAGTTATAGTTTGCGTGACACAAACTATATATTTTCAGTACTGGTATTGTGAATTTTGGAACACGGCCCTCATTGGTTGTCGGATAGAAACTTTCTAGAATTCTATCAAAATTTCTAGCAAAGAGAAGCCTAAGAGTGGCCATTGGACTGAACTGCAAGGGATGCTTTTTCCGATGCGTCCCCTGAGAAAATACATGCAAATTACGTCCGTCCTGTACGTACGTTACTGTCCATCTTCGAAAATGTACCAATCACAACGCAATATTTTCATCCAGCAAGCAATCCAGCACGAAAACAAGCACCGTGTGCCGCTGGCTTAAGATCCATCTATGAATACCAGCCTAACGATGGATAAGAAGGTCTCAAATATAAGGCCTGATTATGAATACGGGTATTAATTTACTATTTTTGGCTGCATTCCGATATTCACTGCCAGCACTGAAATTCTATAGTATATGTGACACAAACTATGTATTTTCAGTACTGTTAGTGAATTTCGGAACGAAAAAAAAAGAGAGTAAAGTAGAAAAAAAGTAATAAAAAAAGTAAAAAGAACAAAGTAAAAAGTATTAAAAAAAGTAGAGTGAACAAGAGCCGCTTTGCCGTTATCATCAGGACAGACGTAATTTGCATGTATTTTCTCAGGGGGCGCGTCGGGAAAAGCGTCCCTTGCAATTCGACCCAATAGCTGCTTTCAGGGGCTTCGCTCTGTCTCTAGTAATAAATGATAAATATCTAACAAGTTTTTTTAGCTGGTAAAACACTCGCACGCAATGACTTATCATACGGTGTAGTGGCAATCATCTTGCTTGATGTCTCGTATATGTGATAAGAAATATTTTGCGTACAGGTTATGTATGGCTATTAGAGGGATGTTTTAAGGCGTAGTTAAACACTATAATCGACTGATCGTTCCTTGAATTCCTTTCATTTTGCCCACAACGAAACGAAAATCAACATTCACGGTATTTCGCTTAATCCCTTTAATTTCGATTCGCTTTTGGCGATGTCAAGTGTGATCCGGATAAACACGAGTCGTGAGATATAACTGATTGATAAGAATGGCTGACGAAGTGGTGGAGACAATACGTCTTAATAACGAGGATGCCGAATGTATAGACGCCGAGATCGACGGCGATGACGAAGAAGAGGGCTCCGATGGGGTCATAGTTCCGGAACTTCAGGGTACATTATCCAAATGGACAAATTACATACATGGCTGGCAAACTAGATTTATTGTACTCAAAGATGGTACTTTGTCTTATTACAAATCTGAGCAGGACAGTGGATTTGGATGCCGAGGCTCAATTAGTCTGTATAAAGCCAATATCAAAGTAAGAAGTCTTATATTTTATAATTTTATTTTACATACACAATGTACGATAGAAAAATACATCATGGTACAAATGTTATAATAATGAATTTATGCTAAATTCTATTTGTCTTATTAGGCGCATGAATTTGATGAGTGCAGATTTGATGTATCTGTAAATGACTGCTTGGTTTGGTATTTAAGAGCAAGAAGTCCAGAGGAAAAACAACGATGGGTAGATGTGTTGAAATCTTATAAGGTAATAATTTAAAAATGACTCATTAAACATTTATATATCAGATAATACAAATTTCTGGGTCTATATTTTCATAAAATCTAATTGCTGTATGTACTAATAGAGAAATACTACTAATAGAGTTAAATTATACATACAATGACAAATTAGTTTTTGTTTTGAATAGTCAGAATCTGGTTATGGAAGTGAGAATAGTCTCAAACGACATGGTAGTGCTATCTCGCTTGTGTCAAATACACAATCGACAGCAAGTGCTGGTAGCTTTACCAAACGTGGTATTAGAGGACTGAAAGAAAAACTAGCTGAGATCGAGACTTTTAGAGATATTCTAATCAAGCAAATTGATACATTGCAAAAGTATTTTGATAATTGTGCAGAGAATGCTAAAAATACTTCCAAGAAAGGTAATATGTTTTTGATTAAGTCTCAGATTTTAATTATGTACTATATAAGCTGTAAATTTACCACTTTCAAATATATAATTAATTATAATTTATTGCATAATTATGCAACTTTTATTATATAACAAATAAATAATATAAGATAGTGAAAGAGCCTTTGGATGTCTTATATTTAATTTTATCACAATAAATTTTAGAAAAGAAAATTGAGACAATGTTCAATCCAGCTGAACAGTCAGTGGATTTTAAAGGGGAAGCAATAACATTTAAAGCCACTAGTGAAGGAGTGTTAGCGACTTTACAGCATTGTGTTGAATTAATGATACAACGAGAGGATGCTTGGCGCCGTAGATGGGAAAAGGAAGTTGAGAAAAAACGAAAATTACAAGAACTTTATAAAACTTTGAAAGATCAAGTTGCTATGCATCATACTGGCTCACCAAGATCCAGGGTTCTTATCCATGGAGGCCCTGACTATGAGGTTAATTCTCTATTTTTACTATATTTTTGTTGTCATGTATGATTTCTATATAAAGTTGCTATTTTATTTTGAGGATTCTGAAATTATATAATGTAATTTCATCTGAACACATAATGCTTGCAATTATTTATAGATAACATGCTGCTAAAAATTAGTAAGAATAAATGTGATAATAAATAGATATAAGCAAAAAGAGAAAAGGAGATATTTAAGAATTTCATAGGAGAAATTTTTTATAATAAAATTGCGAAATTTTTTATACTGATTGATATTCAGATATCCACTTCAACTAAAATTGCCAAATCATTGTATTATATAATACTCTGAAGCACATACTTTATATAACTGTCAATAATTCCTTTTACATATAAATTGATAGTTCTTCGGCATACAGAAGAGAAAAGTAAAAAAAAAATTTATAACGTAATTCAAATGACTATATTTTAGATTGGATATTTATATTTAAATTGTTCTTTTTATAAGCAATTATTTTTTGATAAAATGTTCTCAAGATGTTTTCTGTATTTGTATATATATCACTCAACTAATTATCTATCTTTTATCTAATATAATTTTTAATTAATGATCTGTCATCTTATTATTACACATATTCTAATTTGAAGATTGTGATCATTTTGAATCATTTGTTTAAACTTATGTCATATAAAATATATACATTATGTTTTTTTATAAGTAATTATGCGTTTATATACTTAATAGAGAATTTTAAGTGTATTTCATAACTATAAATTGGGCACCACTTAAAGAATCTTATCTGCTTATGTCATATCTGCTAGTATCTTTAAAATTTTCAAAGATTACAGATCACGCATATATATTCTCTTATATATATATATATATATAATTATTTGTGTAGTCCATAATTTTAATGTCATATATAAAATGGAGTTGGAAATCAAATTTTATAATGTGAGTTATTGTTTATATGCTGATACAAGTAAAACCAGCAAAGTATTAGTCAATGATGTTTAATTTTACATGGAATTTATATACATTTGTATGAAATGATTTACTCATTATGAATATCAAAAGAGGAGCAAGTGTGTACTCTCATTACATATTTATCGACTTCTAATAACACTGAAACTTTATTTTCAAGGAAGGTCCACACAGCGCTCTTTGCGATGAAGAATTTTACGATGCTGTGGAAACGGGTTTGGACAAAATCGAAGAGGAGAATCAATTAAGAGACCGTTTAAAACAAAAATCTGTCTCGATTTTAACTTCACCTACTATAACAGCATCTACGCACAGGCTATGGCCAGAGGTTTATCATATTATTTACATTTTGTAGTTTCCTTATTTCGTAGAAAATTCATAATTAATTTATATTTTTATTTGTATCAAGAGAGAATGTTATTACTTTTTCTTTCTTTTGTGACATTTTTTAACTGGAGGATTAAATGAATACGTAATGTTTGTAATTTAATTCTTAATTATTGACGTTAATTCCATACTTGTATATGACAGTTTATTAATAATTCATATAAATATTTTATATATATGATGAAATTTTTTCTTTCGTCATATTCGCAATTCTTACTATGACGTATTAATTTATAGATAGAAAAGATCACGATGGAACAATTGCATTACGCTCGGCTGGGTGTTGGCGGAGCGGGCGGTTGGCAATTATTTGCCGAAGATGGTGACATGCGGATGTATCGACGAGAGGAAGAAGCTGATGGTTTGGTTGTGGATCCCCTGAAAGCATGCCACGTAGTTAAAGGAGTAACTGGTCACGAAGTATGCGAGATATTTTTTAGTCCTGAGTACAGAAGCGGTTGGGAGGCTACTCTCGAAGATATGACAGTGGTTGAGAACATTTCCAAAGACACACTACTATTTCTGCAAACGCACAAACGCATTTGGCCGGCGAGCCAGAGAGATGCATTGTTTTGGTCGCACATGCGCCGTGTATCGGACGATCAAGATCGCGACGCTCACGATCTGTGGATAGTCTGTAACCACAGTACCGAACATCCTGATTACCCGGTAAGACATGGTTGATACAGAAAGATTCTTGATCATTTCTTAATAATGTATTACGGATTATTAAGTGAATCATTTCAGCCGAACGCAGGTAAATGCGTAAGGGTTTACTTGACGGTTTGTCTGGTATGCCAAACGTGTATCGATCCTCCGAAAGATGAAGAGGAAATAAAAAGGGAGAACATTACGTGTAAAATAACATATTGTTCAGTTGGTGAGTATTGCTTGTGCTCGACATAAAATATTGCCTTGTGAACAAGTTAGATAAAAGACCTGAATTTATTCAAATTTCCCGCTATATATATATATATATAGTGAAAGTGGCACCATTTGTAAACAAAATGATATAATTATTTTATGTCCCCCTTGAAACCATACAACTTTTGTCTGAAACATTTTTTTATTTGTCTAATATTTTTTGAGATATTTAAGGAAAACTTAATTTTTTCAATATTTTACTTACGATATCTCGCGAACTATTTGTCAGAAAAAAATAATACTAATGGTACTTTTTTACTCTATTTGTTTTGAAGAATATATTGTTACAATAGCTCCTTACTTTTGTTAATTTAATGATTTTGAAATTTCCATACATATATATATATATATATATTTATTTATTTATTTACCGACCTTTGGAAATTTCAAATATATATATATATCAATAAATCCGAATAAATATTTGGACATATTTTATTTTGGATTTTAGTGAATCCAGGTGGTTGGGCTCCGGCGTCTGTTCTGCGTGCCGTTTACAAAAGAGAGTATCCAAAGTTCCTTAAGCGTTTCACTAATTTTTGTATTGATCAGTGTAAAAGCAAGCCAATCACATTCTAAATGTGATTAAAATGAAACTTCAATGTTTTCCATCCAGCTCCTTATTCGCTATTTCAAAGTGTCTTCACATGATTATTGTAAAAACAATTTGTATTGTTACATACTGTAGAAGTTATAGAAGGGCTATTACGATGTAAGTGAAACTGTTTTGTATATTACCTTTTTTTTATTTGCTTAAGATAATCGACTTATATAGCTTGCGAATGGGAAGACGAGCTATGTTATATTAAAGGCCATTTAAAGTATATAAATGAGTGTATAGCTATCTTGTACACTTAAAAAGAAAAACATGAACAACTTTTTTCATGACATAACGAGGCACGCGTGGCTACAGCACCGTTACGATTATCTTTTCCTCTTCAAATAACAGTCTGTTATTTGTACAGAATGCTATCGCAAATGAATTGTACAAATCTTTAATAAAAATTGGATACGTATACATTTATTTCTTGTTATATTACACCTAATTAACTGCTGACTTGTATGATACAAATTATGTTACTTTTATACAATATTTATGCAATATAAAGGTCATATGAAAAACATAATAAAGATTGTTGTAAATTTATTGTAAATTATTATTTCTAACTTATCATTTGTTAACCTTCATTTTAATCTTCGTACAATAAGATTTTTTCTTTAATTATACAGACAATTATGAAAGTGTAAAAAGACATTTTCCTTGTGAAATATTTATAATAATTAAATATCTTATTTTTCATATTCAATGGGAACTAAAAAAATTACTCTAAATCGTGTATGTACAGGATACTCTTCTTTCAAAATTACATTCTTAACCCTTTGCGGTCGATGCCGCCACAGTGGCGGCATTCGCAAGTCGTCGTAGAAGTCGGTGCCGCCAGGCTGGCGGCATGATGTCATTCATGATCGCCTGGCGCGCGGCACGGCGAACGAAGCTAGCGATAATGAAAGAAAACTATCCTCCCGATGCTAGATTCAAATGTTTAGATCAACTTACAGATATCAATGTTTATCGATCCCTTCGGAGAGGGGAGATTTCCAGGCAGTCAGTTTCGAATGATCTCTCGAGAAACATTGAGATCAGTAAAGAGCTAGCCACTCTGCACGTCGCACACGTTATTTTATGATCAAAAAGTATTGTATATATCATAAAATTTGTGTTCAACATTTAAGAAATAAACAGTGTAATTCCCAAAAATGGAAGAGTTTAGGAATGATTCTCAAGATAATGAGAGTAGTGATGATGGGTTGGAAGTTGAAGTATTTAATGAAAATATGAACAATTCAATGTATGATTCAGTACCTAACAATGAAAGTGAGAGTAGTGACGATTACATAGTTCCTCCTAAGAGACGGAATGTAATAAGAATTGACAGTGACACGGAGAATAGTGAAGATAATGACGAAGAACATTTAGAACAAATAGAAGACTCAAGTAATAGTGATGGATGGGAGGACGTAACAGAAAAAGACGATTTGCCTTTTAGTTTCACGTTCAAAACTTCTCCGCGAATCATAGGACCACAAATATCTCAGGATATAATAAGACCATTGGACTTTTTCAAATTATATTTCACTGATATATTGATAGATCAAACAGTAAAAACGACTAATGAATATGCACAAATGAAGATACGTGAGAAACAATTGGCCAACAAGCCTATTTGGCATTCGTGGGTGGACGTTACACGTGAAGAATTTATGGCTTTCATCGGTGTAATTCTAAATATGGGAACAATGCGACTTGCAAGCATATCGGAATATTGGACAATTAGGAGCAACAGCAGAATTCCTTTCTATTCGGAGATATTCAGAAGAGACCGATTCCGTCAAATTTTCTGAATGTTACATCTACAAGGCAATGCATCTTCTAATACATCTTTGAGAACCCCGATTGGAAAGGCAAACAATTTTTTGCAATATATCGACTCGAAGTTTGCGGAACATTTTATACCTGGTAAGGATATTTGTGTCGATGAATCAATCGTCAAGTTCAAGGGGAAAATTGCGTTTATAACGTATAATCCAAAAAAACCGACCAAATGGGACATAAGAATTTATGTATTAGCGGATGCGGAAACCGGATATGTATACTCGATTTTGCCCTATTATGGAAGTTTGACAACTGAGGATTTAGAGAAACCAGAACTTCCGGTTAGCTCTCGAATTCCATTGACCCTAGTTAAAAAATTTCTGGACAACATTCCAAATGCTGAGGGCTATCATTTGTATACTGATAGGTGCTTTACAAGTATCCCGCTTGCCAATGAACTTCTAAAAGCAAAAGTCCATCTAATTGGTACAGTAATGCCAAATCGTAAATACTTGCCAGCTGCAATTAAGAAACCGAAATTTTCAACAAAGTCGACTGTGGCTTATAAGAAGAAAAATACATTAGTCCTCGCATGGAAAAGCAAACGAATCGTAATTTTCCTGAGCACCAGCGATGTAGCATCCCTCGAATCGGTTACAACGAGAGCACGCGGTGGTGTCACAATAAATTTATTGAAACTAACTGTGGCTATACATTACACCAAGAAAATGAGAGCAGTTAATCGCGCGGACCAATATGCAGCAACGTATTGTTTCCTTCGAAAATCCTTCAAATGGTGGAGGAAATTATTTTTTTGGGGCATGGAGATGTGCGTCATCAATGCATATATAATGCATAAAATAACAAGACAACAGAACAATGAAAGGCCACTAACATACTTAAATTTTGTGAAATGTTTAGTCGATGAGTTAGTAGGAAATTTCCGGCACCAAACATCATCTAGAGCGCAACCTTCAACGTCATTCGTAGACATTAGATTAAATAATCAGCTTCATATAATTCGTTCAGGAACCAAGAAAGATTGTGCAGTATGTTCCGACAGGAAAACTCCAGGAAAAAGACGAGAAACACGCACCTACTGTGATACCTGTGGTACTCGGAAGCCAGGACTTCATATCGGTGATTGTTTTGCAAAATATCACACTTTGGAAAATTACAGAAATTAAAAATTTATGTTTTTATTTATTATAAGTACTATTAAACACAAGAAATCAGTTTCAACAAATTCTGTGTGTTTTAATATCCATATATTGACTTTAAATCCCGTACGGAAAAGTAACTGCGAAACGCTAAATTTGCTCCGACCTGCTGATACTCCTATCAGCAAAATCTGCCGATCGCAAAGGATTAATATCTACATATTAGCAGAAAAATGTTACATAATTCTTAAATGATGTGAAAATTTTTGTTGTATGAGATACATTTAATCTCAAATAATGCATGTGCGCAACTTAACTTAATCTTTATCGTTTCTCGAGAGAAAAACTATATGAAAACTAAAAAGAACAAAACTATATAATCCTTGATAATATCAAAATATAAATGCATTTTAAGATTTCTTACATATTATATAAAATAAAATTATATATAAGTATATAATATTAATGTATAACTAATAATAACGATAATAATATGAGATAATGATAATGGTTAAAATTAAAAAACCGCGGATCTGTGTGTTTGGGCGTGTAAATATATATATATAATCATCTATGTACATATTTATGAAATATAAAATACAGTTCAAGATGTTTTGCTATACTATATGTACTGTATATGTTGCGATAAACTGCAAAATTAAAAATTTTTCTTAAGATTTTATCTTAAGATTTTCATCTGAAATTTTCTTCTTAAGATTTCATATTGTTTATATTTGGAAAAGACAGTTATGTAAATATTATAACGATCGCACATACATATACGCACGCATGCATAGATACATTATAGATCCGATTACTTAATGTCAATCGTTTCAAATGACAATAAACTAATGACTATTTTTTTACAAGATATTAAGAATTTATATCTTATAACATATAACAAGTATGAAATAATGAATTTAAATAGAAAATTATGTCAATGTTTTTGCAATTCATTGTTGTATTACTATAATAAAAGGATGGTGTTCTATATTGAAGAAGATCGTTTTTACAATCTCAATTATATTTACACTTTTTTGAGAGTTGACTAATACAAATAATGAGGAATGAGTTTTTCTGGATATCGCGTAACAAAAAGTACAAGTTTATCAATATATTGAATATACCTAAGAATTATAAATATACATTAAAGATAATTTCGTATCTGATCAATGTAATATTTCAATCAATAATTTAAAATATACAAAATTTCTCAATTGTGTTAAATTAATATTTAATTATTTTAGAATTGATGTTTTAGTGGAATTACGGTACTCTACTATATAATCCTTGATTTTTAAACTATTTAAATTCTTTAAATTATTGAAATCCTTTACTTGTCAGAGTCAAATTCATATTGTAATTTACGTATAAGCGCAAAAAAAAAAGAAAAATATTACTCTACTATGTATTCTCGACTATATATATAATATTCTTTACCTGTCGTACCTGTCGTATCTGATTATATCATAATTTGTGCATAAACACAAAAAAGAGAAAAAAAAGAAAAATATTTGTTTTAGTATCAAACAGCCAGTAGGTATTTTGACATGTCTTGTTTTTACAATTATACAGTAAATTATCAAACTCTCAAAATCACTTTTATAGATATAAAAACACTTAATTGGTCGTTAAAAAATGTAACTTACGTTACAATGACTTTTTCTCTATGATTCGTAGGAACCTAATTTTTTTAGTACACTAAGACCTTTTTCTTCGTACTCTTCCCTCGTTATCCACACAGAATCTCGGTCCTTCGTTATTTCGGCTAACACGGCACCGCCCATAAAGACCATATCTTTACGTCGAGGTGAGTCTTCAATTTTTATCTTAAATTTCTGTAACATTTTATAAAAAAATATAAATATATATGATACGTTATATGTGTCTACTGAGATTTTTCTACTTATGCATAATATATTCAAATTTTCTTAAATATAATGTGCTTACATTCAATTTAGTGGTATCATTTTTCAATACTCTTTGAAGGTAAAGTTGCTTAATTTCTCGCTCTAGCCTCGATGGAAGTCCTGGATACATTGTACTACCGCCACTCAGAACGATATGCTTATATAGCTCGCTTCTTATATCGATATCAGCTGCTTGAATTGTGCTAAATACCAGTTCGGCTATTCCCTGCGCCTCGACGTTAATCAAATGTGGTTGGAAAAGCGCTTCCGGCGCCGCAAACCTCTCACCACCTACTTTTATTACACGCCCATCAGGAAGCTATTGAAAAAGTATTTACAGTAAATCGTGCATAAATCCTGGATAAGATGTCATAATCACATACGCATAAATATTCTACTTACAGTATAGGATTCCACCAATACAGTAGTCTCAAGTGCCAACTTTTCCTCTGTCTCTATGTTGTAACCGATATAACACAGTTTCTCTTTTAACATCCTAACAGTTTCAAAATCGGCTGAATGATTAAACGCGTAACCACGTAATAATAGCAATTTAATGAGATACATCGTGATATCACGTCCAGCTATATCTAATCGTCTAGTCAAATGCGGTAAAGCGTACTCCTCGAACACGGGACAGATGTGCGTGACACCATCACCAGAGTCCACAACAACGCCGCTGATTAGTCCTTGAGCATATAATGTTAATACTGCTTGAATCGCGATATATGTTCCAGCAAAACCGTACTTTTCAAACATCACCTGGAATTGTTTTGCAAAAACATTTGTACTTTGGTCATATGCAAGTTATTTTATTTTGATTAAATTATTGTTATCGATTGTTGTTAATTGGTATGCGTTACCTCGATCATTTTCTCTCTATTTGTAATAGGATTCATCGGTGGCTCGGTTAAAAGAATTTTACATTCTCTAGGATTAATATTCATCTTTTCCTTGCCGAATGTATAGTCCCACACATGGCACATGTCCTCCCAATTTCTGAATATTAATTATATAATAGTATTAATTATATAACAATTCATTTATCAAATGCATCTTGATACAAATATACATACCTGACAATTCCATTTTGCATGGGATAACTAATTTCTAACATAGAACGAAGTTTACTCGCTTCATCGCCAACCATTAAATCCTACGACAATAATATATGATTATCAAAAATCTGTGCTTATTATGAAAACACATTATGTTGACCATATGAAGGAATATTATTGTTTTACTTGATTATTATATTTGTATATTTCCTAGCACATAATACAGAAATGCTAGGTAATTGGAATAACAATGACTAGCTAAATATTAAAATTAAATATTTAATGAAGTTCTTTTATCACAAGTAATAAAAAATATAGATAATTCTTGGCATATCAAAATCTTTTATACCAAGAATTATGATTGGTAATGTAATTAAATTAATAATTATAATATATATACATATTACTTTTGTGAGTATCAGGTCACAAATATCATGTTTGGGAAATATATATATATATATATTAAATCATAGCTTCCAAGACTATATACCTAAGTATTTTGGAAAAGAGTTTGCTGAATTATATTATAGACACTACTCCCACACCTACAGTCCAAAAAAATGCTTCTTCATCAAATACTGATGTAACAGATGTCAGTATATAGCATCAAAAAATACAATAAACTTACAGGCATGTTAAGCACATCCTACGAGAGCAAATGTAAGCACATAAACACATTAGATAATTATAGGAAGAACATAGTAATGTATGTAAGTACCCATACAAGTACAAATTGCAAATGCATAACAGATATTACATATGTAAGTAGTGACAGTATACACTACTTCATTGAAGCTGATATCATATTGTATTAATAAAAAACTTTCAAAATCTCTCATAGGAGAAATATTACATATGTGACATATCAAGTAGATTTATATTATATAATATATAAAATCATCCACTTAATGATATAAACCTGAGAAATTGTTAATAAACTCGTATAATTAAATACTATAAAAATACTACAAATAATATTCATCTTACATTTTGAATATATATTCCTTTCCGAGATTTGTTAGTAAAAATCATTAATATCTCAAACTGCCTTATTTACATCAGTGGACAAGCGTATAGATTATTATCAATCAGACTTAAGCATCGAGGAAACAGGGGACACACAACATAATACTATATAATGGACTTACACGAACACAATATTCTTGCTGAAAATATAATTGTTCTTATTAATAATCTAAGTACACAATCCTTGCTAAATATATTCAACCAATTCAAGAGACTCAAAGGATTATGTGAACTTAGTTTGTTTTTTATTTTATATTAGAACTGATAATTTAATACTTTTAATAAATATTTATTTTATATGATGATTTAGATTGATATAGTTAAAATTAAAATTTATTTTGCAGTTATAGATATAATTATATCATAGATATTAATCACTATATAATCAATATTAAATTAAAGGAATTTAAACAATATCCAGCGACATTTCAGTAAAATCAAATACCATTGACAATAATATTTACATCGAAACAAAATTATGATTAGTGATCTCGTATCTGACTTTGTGTGAATAAATTCAATTTGAAAACAACAAACATACCTTCACATCGATGTCACCAATTTTATTGACAGCTCTGATTATAGGTCGTCCAACTATAGATGGAAATATATGAGCCGGAAAATTCGCACCAGCGTAACCGCACTTGACGAACTACAATTAAATAACGTGCAATGAACAATCAGATATATTGTTAGTTTAACATATTTGTATTATCGACATGAGAAACGACCTATGAAAACTCTGTATTATTCTTTCTTACCCCCGTGCCATTGTCACAGACGATAATTTTTCTCCCCTTGCTGTCCATCTCGATATTCCTTGAAAAGTTATAGATTTTCAGATTGCTCTCATATCATTAGCTTTATCCAAATGACTAATTCCTACGGATGATGGGGCGTTACCGGTGTGACTTCTAACGTCGGATGTGTCGGACATGTACAATTATCATTGAAGTTACCGTTCTCTATCACAGATAAGAATTCGTACTGAACACGTTGTGCAGTGATACTCGATGCGGATTGAGAAAAAAATCTTAATCGTCGAATGTGAAAACTTACTCGTATACGGCGGACAAGCAAGCGGATTCGAGTAAACTCAAACTGATAGTTGCCACCATTATACAAGAAAAAGTCCTCCCAGTACCTTTGGTCTTACCCACAATATGGGAATCGCGATTTGTTCAGTAACATTTACATTGACAATTCCACGCACTATGACATTAGTGACACCAAATACTACAGAATGATATGCACGAGAAGAAAATCAGGAAACTAATGTGACTGAGAATAGTTGTTTACTTCCGTTCGTTTATCCCTATGTTTATTCTCATAAACATATAACATATGGTTATTCCCTTTCAGTGCAGAAATTGTGACGGTGCAATCTTATTAATTCTCATTAAATCGAAATCTTGTTCACATCGTTGTCAACATCTCACAAACATGCCGATTGCGTATTTGACACGAAAAGAAACGATATCCTGTTCTCATCGTTTACACAAGTATGTAATTAGAAAAGATAAGTTAAATAATGATATAGTTATCTCATATTTTTGATAAATCATCTTTCACTCGTGACCATTTCGAAAAATACTTCTTAAAAAGGAGGAAGATCCAATAAAATAGTCACTTCCATCGAGAATTTAGTGATTGTTCTGTTTCGAAACTTAAAATTTCGCAAATTCTTCTTAAATTACTCGTTTCTTAGAAGTTATCAGTTTATAAACATCAATAACACAAAAAAGATCCTAAATTAATCAAAAGATAAATGAAAGATGGTAAGTTTGGAAATCCTTTATCGATCTAGGTGAGAATTATAATTTTGCGAATCAATTTTAGTGAACACTTGAGTGAGCAGGACAACAAATTAATATACGGAAAATGTAACAATTTTTGGGGACATGGTCATAATTATACGGGTAATTAAAAATATCATTTGGCTTTTGCTAAAAAATTTAATTAGATATTATTTAAGCAATGTGTTTTGATTAGATATTATTTAAGCAATATGTTTTGATAGTATTCTTAATATCAAAGTTCTTGAGAACTCTTAACATCAGATCTTTTGTATTCTTCTTTGGAATTTTTTGAAAACTTTTGTTGAGATATTATTGTATCAATGTTAATTCATTTTTAATTACAGTGGAAATAACTATTCGTGGACCTGTTGATTCAACAACAGGCATGGTTATGAACTTATCAGATTTAAAAGTGTACGTGCAAAAAGTATTGGGTCAAATGGATCATAAAAACTTAGATAAAGATGTGGATTATTTCAAAAGTGTAGTATCGACAACTGAAAATGTTGCTATTTACATATTTACAGAAATGAAAAAACTGATGCCAAAACCCGAATTATTATATGAAATTAAAGTCTGTGAAACTGACAAAAATATCGTATCTTATAGAGGAGAATAATTATCTCCTTTTGCTGAGAATTGAAAATTTAATTTTTTTTAACCGAATTACATAACTGTACAGGTCATTATATAATTGATACTCGTTTAGCATATTTATTATATTTATATGTTATACAATATGCGATTAAGTAATTATAAATATCTTGCGCAAAACCACATGTCAGTACATACAGATTTTAACATTCCAATTTTATTGGAATTTAACATTTTACTAATATAATAGGGAATAATTGTTTACTCAGTATATTGTTCCTTTTCTTTCTTCTATAATTATTATACATGTATTGAGTTGGCAAATAAGTTCGTTCGGTTTTTGTTTCAGTGTAAGTTTCATGCGGATTCGCTTTTCTTTTCTCAGCGCTATCGTGCAAATCGAATACACATTTGAAAGGTTATGTTTCACTGTTTATGTTGTGCTGTGTTTGGTTTGGTTAATGTAAGCGTGTCTCGACTACGAAGTATATTATATGTATAACTGACTTATCGAGTAGAACTATTGTCAGGAAGGAAACTAAATGTAATCGAATTCGTTAAAGAAGAAATAAATGATGGTATATTTAAGACAAAGATCTACAAATAACGACTCGGCGCACGCTATGCAAGAACTCTAAAGTTCGTCAATAACTCGAGAAAAGCTTCGACAGGCAATCGACTATGCTTCGATTGTGTCTCGATAACGACTCTCAGTGAACTCCGCTCGACAGTGAATCTTCTCTCTCTCGCTGCATAGTTGCTAGATGCAATATATTGTGACGCTACAGCGCATGCGTGAGATGTAGAGCTCTACAGCGTGGTCTACAATGGCCGTAAGCAGTAAGAAGAAAGCGTGAACAGTAAGAAATGGACCAACTACAGTTGATTATTTTTGTCATAATCGACTGTGATTGGTTTATTTCTTACCGCTTACGCTTACTTCTTAAGCCAGCGACACACGGTGCTTGTTTTCGTGCTGGATTGCTTGCTGGATGAAAATACTGCGTTCTGATTGGTACATTTCCGAAGATGGATGGAAATGTATCAATCAGAACGCAGTATTTTCATCCAGCACGAAAACAAGCACCGTGTGCCGCTGGTTTTACTGCTTACTGCCATTATAGACCACGCTTACGAAAGCTATGCCAATGATGGCAATAAAGCGCATCGCAGGATCTATGGAGGGGCCTGCGCTATCCGATCAGTTGTCTTCCCGCATAATTTTCCCGCATTTCTTGCGCGAGTGCCTTATCCCAGGTTATGTTGTTCAGTGGATACTAAGTACAATTACGTTACATTAACATTATAATTTCTCACTCGACTATGTAACTGTTACTTGTATTATGTAACTAATACTTGTATTATGTAACAATGACATTGTTAAGTGAAAAATTGTAATGTAGATTGAGAATTACTATCGGACCAATTAAAATAACCACGATTTAGATTATCTAATTTACTCGATTGCAATTCTCAATGCATAGTATAATACGGGCGCTATAATACCTTAAAAGAGATACGATACTGAGACTTTATTCAAACAGCGTGCTGTACGTCATTGTCTCACGCATGCGCTGTAGCGTCGCAATATATTGCATCTAGCAACTATGCGCCCGACCGAGATTAATTCAAGTGACATTGAGGCTGTAATCGATGTAAATCCAACCCAATCGATGCGAGAGATTGCTACGACATTAAATATATCCTACACAAGCGTAAGACAACATATGCGCCAGATGGCATACGTTTCTCGGCATGATGTTTGGATGCCCTATCAACTCAATGAGGCTACCTTGACCAAACGCATATCCATTTGCGAATCGCTACAGAAACGCCTAGAAAACGATCCATTTTTGGAACGAATGGTGACGGGTGACGAAAACTGGTTCGTCTACAATGATGTAACGCGTGAAATAATATGGGGGCACAGCAGCGATTTACCGCTAATACCCTGGAAGGTGGGATTGCATCCGAAGAAAATAATGCTCTTCGTATGGTGGGATTTCAAGGGTATCATCTATCACGAACTGTTACCGTCAGGCAAAACGATTGATTCAACTGTATACTGTTCGCAATTGACGAAATTGAACCAAGCAATCTGCACAAAACGTCCAGAATTGGCACGTCGCAAGGGTGTCGTCTTCCACCACGGCAACGCCAGATCTCATAAGTCATTGACCACTCAGAACAAATTGTTTCAGCTTGGCTGGGATATTTTGCCTCATCCTCCGTATTCACCGGATCTTTCCCCTACCAGTTATCATATATTCCGGCCACTGCGGGACTCTATGGAGGAGAAAACCTTCAATGATGAAGAGGCCATTAAAAACCACGTGGATTGGTTTTTCGCTAATAAGTGCCAGATATTTTACGAAAGCGGCATAACGATGTTGGAGACGAAATGGCAAATGGTCATCGATAAAAATGGCCATTGTATATCTTATTAAAATTTATCTTGTGTATAAAAAAATTGTGTTTCATTCTACTCTAAAAAACCGAACGAACTTATTTGCCAACCCAATATATAGAGATTAAGATGACTAATAAAAGTCTTGAATGTTATCGATTAAGTACATATATATTTTATATATTCCTGTACATAGTCAATACATAAAATATAAAACATGCATTAGTGCACATTACAATTTTCAATAACAATTTACATTACAGCACATTTATAAAAGTTTTTTATAAAAAAGTTAAGAGAGAAAATATGTATCACAATGATTCTATAAATAATTTACTAAGAGTTATTAATACATCTTTATAATCATAAACATTTCCAATTTCATAGTTTCACATTTCATAGTTTTTGTAAGTTTGTCGTTTTATTTGTATATGTTGCTTTTTCAATTTCCATGTACATGTGAATAGGATTAATTATATCGTTTATAATATAAAAAATTGAAATTTTAATTATATATACACATACACACACATCTCTTTTGTAAATTTTAGATTTTCATATTTTCTATTATACCTAGTATCATTAAAAGAAATATTAATTGCCTAGTAGACTATCAAGTGCAAATACTAATTAGATTGCCATAAAAAATAACTAAAATAACTTGGTTATTATAATTTTCATCAAATCTAATAAAAATTTAATAACACATATTTGTTCAGAATTAAAAATTTTTATATTAAACCTTCCATTTAAGTGCTTATTACCATTTAGAGTGTAATTTTCTAAACACGTATCTTTTTTTCAAATTTCTTATAACATGACGTCATATGCATATAATGCTAAAATTGCTCTAAAGTGAACGTAATATTAAAATAAAAATAGAAAGCCCTGAAAATACATTTAAACGAAATTAACATATAACATAATTTCAGCAATTTTTCATATAAAGACTTAATAACTAAATTTTAACTGCAATAAATGCATTATACTCTGATTACAGATTTTAACGATTAGGAGAATACTAACTATATATTTGAATTATTGTCTAATTTAATGTAACTTCGAATAGTCACATACGGTATGCCGAGTTCAAAGTCATCTCTAGGCCAATATCTAAGCATTGGAAACTGCTGCGGCTTTTCCTCCTTTACCGAGAAATAAGCAAACAATACCGCCGCGGTATAACTTGCTATGAAAATAAATAAATGCCACAATGCGTGGAGATATGGAAAATTCAGGTTCAGCCATGTATCACAGAATAAGCGATCATTTAACCAACAAATCACCGCTAGTATCCAAACAGCGCCGCATCGTAATCCCAGTCTGTAGACTCTCATTGAAGTGGTTCTTAAAAAGTTCAATATGCAATTAGTAAATTTAAATTTTTTAAATTAGTAAATTGAATTTTTAAGAAATATCTTTTTCTTCATACCACGTGTATGGTTTATACATAAATATTAGAGCAACTAGTGCATAATAACAAAAAAAGAAATACTAACTAAAAATTTATAGTTAAAAAAAATTATACTCTTTATTCCAAATAGAAATATTTTTGTTTGGACTAAAAATGAGATGTTTATTTATGACTTTAGCAGTTAATATATAAAAATATATTACCTCTTTAATTCTATGATCATAAATCCAAATGCTGGTATACCCAAAGTCATCAGTGCAAAAGCATTTACAGCCGGATGTATTAGTGCCAAGCCAGTGGCAACTAGAGTTGGTAAAGTTGCACATATAGAAAAAAGCTTCCTATTGTTATGAAAAATATTTGGGAAATATCTTCTTGGAAAGAACATGCAGAAACCTGCCATGTATACCCACAAAATAGCTAATTCATCCAATAGTTGACCTGTTGCATATAAAATCAATTATTATCATTCTTATGATAAAATTTCAATAACTAAACAAATTGAGCAAAGTTCTAAGGAACAATAGGTCTATTCTTTTTTGAAGAACTTTAAACTAGTGCACACTAGTGTAATAAATTAGAATGAGAGAAAGTATATCTATTTTACTCCAATTTATTGCACTAGTTCAGGAGTCTTTTGAAAAAAAAAAAACAGACTTAATATATATAATAAAAACCACTATTTCTCGATTATTAATTAATATATTGATAATCATAAATCTTACCTATTAATGATAAAGTAGCATGAAAGTATGCACTGCTAAGTCCTACTATCATCAATAAAAACCAGATTATATGAATTCCTGGATTTACAAAGCGTCCATAATCTCTGAATAGATGCATGAGTACAGGTGGGAGTAACAGGAAAACTATATTACTGAACTGCAATATTTATTAACCATAATTAGTATCAAAAAAATAAAAGATCTGATATCTATAAAACACAATAAAATTTTATATCTTTCATTTATATTTTATATTTCTTTATTTTAAATTTAATTTTAAAAAACATTAAAATTTCAGAATTTCAAAGATATTTGATCTGTTCTTTGTAGCTGCACTGTTGAACTGGTGCAATAAGTTAAAGTGAGACAAATATAGGTTTTCTCATTCTAGCTTATTGCACCAGTTCAGCAGTGCAGTTACAAAGAACAGACCAATTGTTATCTTTCTGTCATTGTTCTGACGATAAAAAAAATCGTACTTAAAAATATATGCAATCTTGTTCAAATTAGATAAGAATAATTTTCAGGAATATGGATAATTTTATGTCAATATCAGCATAAAAATACTCACCTATATTTCAAGTTATATTATTATATACATTATTATATATATAATGTACAAACCGTATTCATAAATTCAGCTATGCTTGGTGAGATGCTGTAATTGCCCTCACACCAATCTACTGGTGAACTGCCAGCCTCAAACGGCTTCCACATGATGTTAAGATGGATTTCTTTTGGATTTCTGTTTTGATATATTTAAGCAGTGATCATCATTCACTTTAAATTTGGTGGAGTCAATGAACACTGCTACTAAAGATAGGAATGCATGCGAATATTAATTATTGAAGAAATATAAATGCCACTTCGTTCTTTTAAATTTAACAATAAATACTGTGTGCAACCAGCGAAATTTTTCAAAAATCGTCGATAAAACAATGACACTTTGTGTTGTCATTCAAATTGAGGAATCTCTATGTTTGATACTTCATTATATACTCCACGATAATCTCGCGATTATAAAAACAAAGAAAGACAATGATACCTGACGAAATGATTATACGATGTTCACGTGGCACACCACCACTGATCTCTGAGCACACATTTAACTCCAACAGCTACTTAAATGACATCGCGACAAATCATGACGTTCCGCTTGTATTATGTATTCGACAGCATACGTCAAAACAAAGCACGACGCATGTGCCATTAACGTCACTGCCATTCTGCGCACGATACAGCGCGTCATTCATATACAGGGTGGGCCGTAATAAAGTGTTACAGCTCAACAGCTCTAAAACGGCCAGATTTTAATGGATTTTGGATTTAATGGATTTTAATGGGTTTTGGATTTGGTCTTCTTGGCGGCTCGAATGTGCCCTTTCACGTGGACTTATTTTCATTTTTCGTAATTATCCCCTTGCGGCGTGGGAGGCACCAACTTCGTTTTTTGAATAGCATATCTCCAAAAAATTTTAACATTAGTGGATTCTAAATTGAAAAAGAAGTCATTTTTGTTCGAAAACATTTTATTCTAAAATCATTAATTTCCGTGTTAGAACCAATTTAAAATATTTCGGGGTACGGAACTCCAAGCGCTCTAAAACGCTTCTAAATTCACTCATCGATTTTCATTAGCCGTTTACTATTTAATGATCGAGTTCGTCTATTACAGATCAAGATAGAGAGTGTAAAGAGTGTTTCGTATAAATTCGGTGGGAATGGCTGGGAATAAAGTATTAAAAAAATCAATTTGTGACTTATTTTAATAAACATCTAAAGCCAGCGGCACACGGTGCTTGTTTTCGTGCTGGATTGCTTGCTGAATGAAAATACTGCGTTCTGATTAGTGCATTTCCATCCATCTTCGGAAATGTACCAATCAGAACGCAGTATTTTCATCCAGCAAGCAATCCAGCACGAAACAAGCACCGCGTGCCGCTGGCTTTAGATGCATATCATGGATTTCAATCATAGATTCGCTGTCCGTCTAGACTCTATCTTATATCACTTGTAGCACGGAACAGAACCTATTCGTATTTACCATGCGGTGAATACGCTAGAGGAGGTTCTCATTTCTGCCGTTGATATTGTGGCTCCGCAATTAATGCGGAGTTCTCGGCAAAAAAAAAAAAATGCGGAGCAAATTCATTGAAAAGATTATGAGGAATTTATAATGGATTTATTTAAGGCAAACAATAACGCATCGAAATACATATAAAATTGTGTAAATATATATAAGTTGTATTTGCAGAAAACGTTTTGTGGAGAACATTCCTTATAAATATGATCTTACAAAGATATTTTTACAAAGATCAAGGAAGATTCATTCGTATGATAAAGTCGAAAGTTTTCAAATTAAAATACAAAAGAATGCTTTATTTTTTGTATCTAACAAAAATTTGTATGTATAATATTCGTTGCCGGTACATCGTATAGGGTAAATATTTGCACGCTAGCATCTGATTAACTAGTACGATCATTTTGCTGGTGATCCTTCGCAAAATATCGTCGATTCGTTTCTCCCGTCTGTTGACTGTGGATATCTGCAAAAATGATTATTATCTGAATATTCTTTTCATCTTTAATCCAACTGTTCATTACAAAGCTGAAAATCTCAGAACGGAAAGTAACGATCAAATCATGATGAGGTTTGTATCATATAATAAATGTGTTAATTACATAATATGGTTTATTCAAAATAGTATGAATTCTTTTATATGTTAACATAGGCAACAGTTAATGTCGAAATTCTTTAGAAAATATCGACGATCATCAATTTACAATATGACAATATCTCGTATTGTAACAATCTAACACAGAATATTCATTTGTCATGTATATCACTTGCTTTCCTCTTCTCTCTCTCTCTCTCTCTCTCTCTCTCTCTCTCTCTCTCTCTCTCTCTCTCTCTCTCTCTCTCTCTCTCTCTCTCTCTCTCTCTTTACATGTAATGTACGTGTATATACACGCAAATACATACGCAAAAAGTAAATTTATCTCAATCTTTTTCAACGGTAATATCAGACATATCTGGAAACGAACATAGACTCAATGTTTTCTCATTCGTTAAATGTAAAAGAGAAATAAAGAAGAGCGGCACGCTCAACGCTTCGACGTTATTCTTTGTCAATAATTTCGGCACCATCTTGTAAACATCGTTGAATAACTTGGGCTCCTTCATGGTGTCCGATTCCGTCTGCTCTACCGCTTCTGCGATATGCGTTTTATCTTCACTATCCGTGGACTTGAGACATTTCCAGATGGACTTTTTTAGTTGCCGCATGTCGATTCTCTTCGCCTTTAAGCAATATGCGATGGATATCTTATTGGCCAATTTCGGTGCCGCGATTAGATTATCACCAGTGAAGCCTTGGGTGGCCAACGCATTATTATCGTCCTCGAATTCGAAGTTACACTCATTCTCATCATTATTATCCCTACCCTCGTCATAATCGCCGTTGTGCACATCGGGACAGTAGTCCGCAGTGTCGTTTGGATTGTTGTAATCATACCTGCCATTGTCAGACACGTCTATGGCATCATCCTTATCGCTGTCTTTCGATTTAATACCCAGATTTTGTAGATACAGTTTACTTGCCAAAGTAATATCGTAGTGAATATCCTCGGGCAATGTCAGTTTCTCGGCATTCCATTCCGTTTTAGCGGTTTTTGCTTGTAGCTTATTGGATTGGCTGAGCGTGAACTTTGATTCTGTCACATCCTTGTTCTCTTCGTATGATAGACTAATTTCTTTTTTTTTCCTCAGCGGTGCTTGCATGCACGCTCCGACAACTTTATCGTCTATGACCGTGTTTACGGGAGGTTTTGAGAAATTGTGAAACTTCCAATGAGCCGGTCCAGCCCAATGCAAGCTTGTACTTGGTAGAACGAATGAATATTCTGATGTGATGATAAACTTGGACGATTCAGCTGTAGTCGCAGCTGGTGTATCCACAAGATTTTCCGTTTGATTTGTTGTAACTTGTCGTTGATGGCATTCATATACAAGCTTGTCGTCTTGCGTTTCAATGTCAAAATAATTGATGAGATCAGGTGGTGAATTCTCATCCTCGTGTTCTACGGTAGCGTCAAGATCGAATTGGAAGCGATTGTCTGTCTGGTCGTCGTTGTGTTCCGTCATTGATGTGTCCGATATTTTTCCGGGCTCATCCTCAACAGACCAGCCAAGAAACTTGAAATTCGAGTACGACGCGCAAATTTCCAGGTTTTGAAAATCTTCGATTGTCGATATGTCGTATTCTGTCGAATTAACTGGACTCTCTGGCTCTACGTCGTCAACGAGCACGTCATTATATAAATGCTGATAAAAGCCAGAGTTCGCATGATTCGGCAGTATCGCTTGGTAAAGCATATCGCTAGTTTGTAGATCGCCCTCACCTATCATCATGGACAATGGTTTTATGATTTCAATGTTACCTCTTAATGCCTCTATGGTGCTGCAGACATTCTGTCTGGATTTTTTCTTTTTCTTTTTCTTTAATACTTCTGGATACGTGTCTGCATTTTCTTGCAGTACTTCCTCTTCTTTTTCCTCATCTTGCACATTTTCAGTTACTTGCTTATCCAATCCGCCAATTATCTTAAGTATTTCTGTGTATACACTGTCCACTCGAAACCCATAAATCTTACTGCTCACGTCTAAAGATGTACTAGCTACTTGCAGATTAGACATATTGTTGTCTTGTTTCTTTATCATATATGTCATAAAGTCAATCATCTCTAAACTAAATGCATTCTTTATACTGATCTTGTTTTCAGCACTCAATTTTATACATTGATTTATGCTTTCGGCCATTTGAGGTACTGGAACATTTGCTAGAAATCCCAGACCCAAGGAATGTCTTCTATTAGATCCAGGTGGTGCAGTTGTAGGTGTGTAAATTTCACGTCGACGTGCAATACGTTCTGCTTCATCATCATTTTCTGAGAGAATATTGGATGGTTGCTTTTGGATACCAGATTTCTTTCGTAACGGTGACGAAGAAACTGGAGATTTGTGCAATGAAGATTCCAGTCTCTTTTGTATATGTATTGATTTATGAGATTCCATTTTATACAACTTAAGATTTTACAATATATGCATATATATGTATATAAATATGTTGTAAATTACACTATAATCTATATTTCTGATCTGAGAACCAATTCTGTTACTTTCCTGAAAGAAATAAAGATATATTGTTTTGACCACTATATGTTAAATAAAATACATACTACTAATATTATCATATATCTACTTACACTACAAATTATTAAGAATATACTATACATTAAATAAACTTTTAAAGGATCTCTTAAAGGATTTTAAATCAATATAATTATTTCTATGCAAATATATGTTTTAAATAAACTATTTAATATTATTTTTAAAGTTATTTAAAACTACTTATTGATTGATTATGATTTCAAAAAGCTACTAGTTTTGTTCTTAGACTGATACTAAAATTTCTCAGTAATTTTTATTAATTTAGCAATAGAAAATCTTATTTTAGTTTTGGAGGCCAACAGAAAGTAAATTATTTAAAATTACTAAAAATATTTTATTTTATAATGTAACATTTGTTTTAAAAGTGGAATATTGATCATTAATAGGTTAGGTTTCATGTATGTATGTGTTATATGCATTCTTAAATAATATTACATTGTACTCACCACACAAAGCAGTGAAATTATTTGCTATTTTCTCCAGATCTGTTCTCATCAAACGAAGTAGTGTATAATATCGTTGCAATTCATTGTAAGTTTTCTGTAGAACTTCTAGGTTTCGTTCGCTATCTTGCGGAGGAAACATTAGGTGTCACGTATCCCACGACAAATATGTATGACAATGTTTGGATAATATTCGGGTGAGAATATGAAGGATTTTTGTTTATACGCTTTATCTAATGTGTACTATTACGTATTAACCTTGTGAATAACAAGGAAACTGATAATAGAAACTTGACACTGGACGCCGTACGTTACACTGTATTTAAATCTTTCGCAACGTTGTGTAACATCTTGTGCGTTTCTAAAGACAGTAAAACGGAATTTACAATAAAAGACGTAAAAGCTGCGTTCCGAAATGCGCCGATAGTAACAGTACTAAAGATGTGTTCCGAAATCGCTTTTAGAAACTTTAGTTTTAGTTATAAGATTGGTATGCCTTAAACCAGAGAGGAACGTGAGAGCGGCCAACACGGTGTTTTTTTGGGCTTTTTTTATTTCGAAAATAAAAAAATATATACCAGGGTGAGATTTCATCCATGACAACATCAACGTGATTTTCTTTGATGTTTTTTTTAAAAGTTCAAATATTTCGTCGACTCGCGGGATATTTATAATCGGAGTCTCGTCGCGTTAATTAACACGTGTTCCTTCGAGCGGATCGAATGCTCACCGACGGCCACTATCAGTGCCACGAGCGAATGTCCGGAGCGGACGGGATGCTGAATTGAGAAGCAGGACGAAGGGAACGAGACGCGGGCAATGATAACATCATGCGTCTCTAGACATATCAAATCGTTTATTATAGAGGAGACTTTGATACAGCAACATGTATTCGAAGATTTAATATTTAATACATACTTTTATTTTTTCTGCTCCTCCCCCCACCCCGCCGCTCTTTTTAGACGTAGGGCCAGAGCATAGCTTCTGCACAACGCATAAGAGAATCAACCAATCAGAGTTCTTCATTTCTATCCTGAGGAGGGAAATGAAGAAAACTAATTGGTTTATTCTCTTATACGTTATGTATTATGCGTTATGCAACAGCCTGTGCTCTTGCCCATAGGGCATAGTCTGGTACAGAAATGGCAACTGTGATTGCAACACGGATATAAACCGCCTGAAAATGGATGTAGCACGGACTTCCACCACATGCAGATTTTACCACCGAGACCTGGGGCTCGATTCCTGACGGCGTGCGAGTAAGATGCATATGCGAAAATGTACAGTTTACGTTACATATAATATAGATTTTCGTATGCGCATCTCATTTGCATGCCGTCAGGAATCGAGCCCCTGAAAGTGGATGTACCGTCGTAGTTCTCAAAATGGATGCAGATGGCGTCCTGTCCCAGTGCGGAAAATCGGTGTCGCAGAAAATGTCGTGTTGGCTGCTCTCAGGTGTCTCTCTGCTTAAACTAATTTAAAAAGGAACTGCATGAGATATAAATCATCGAATTTGGCTGATTTTTTGTAAGTAGATCCAAAATTGAAAAATATTTGATCTTTGTTTTATTATTTGCTCAGACATTCGATAGTTTTGAAGTTATTTAATAATAAAGTTTAGGCAATTAAAGATATGGCGTATTCGAATAGCATTTTAATCCACCCGGGGTCGATTAATGAGGTCCGTTTACGTTACCTGCACTTTTCTAACATTTCTATTCTAACACACTTTTATACCTCACACCTGTTGTACACTGGCTTCTCTTTAGAAAAAATAACTCTCACTGGATATTATTCATCGCAGCCAGTATGCAACGGGCATAGATACAAAAGTGTCAAAAGTGCAAACAACGTAAACAAATTTATGATGTCAAAACTCTACTAGCCACTCTACTATCACAAAGCTTAGGCCGATTGTACACTGGAAAACAAAACAACAGTTTTGTTTCCACGGTTTCCAAGGTTTCAATAGTTTTTTTCTACTGACATTATCTTCTTTTCGGCGAACCCCCGCGTCGCCAGGTCGCCTTTCTAATATCACTATTATACGTATGCATACGAATAAATAACAATTGGCATTATATTACATTGCGTAATTTGTTTTAATTTCGTTCTATAAAATAAATATGTTATATATGATATGTACATAATTTTATTGTTATTTTATTTAATATTTTATATGTGTATGTATGTGTATATATATATATATATATATGATAAAATGTATAAAATAAAAATTATATATATATAATTATATATTATTTTTAAACTTTGAAGCAAAAAGAAAGGAGGAAGAGAGGAAGAGATAGCCTCTTGAGGTTTATAGTTAACATGTATATAGGCTTGAATTGTTCGAACTTATTAATTCCGGTTTTATTTTTCAATTAATTTTGCTTTGAAGACAGTTTCCTCCGAGATAGAAAATATAAAATTTTCCGGAATAAGTCTAATGCTGGATTTTTAGATAAAAATCTATACACACATACATCTACACGTACGCACGCGCGTGCACACACACGTGCACATGTGTGTATTAGCCGTTTATATTTTTATTAATATCTAAAATTATAAAAGATTATCGTATATGTATTTGTCGAATTCGTTTAACGCCTTCCGCATTTCAGAATATTTCGCCAGATCACACGCTTCTTGCAGTGGTAACCATTTAAATGCTTGGTGCTCGTTCGATAATTTCACAGATTTATCAGGATTGAGTAACTCTGCCAGCCAGTAAATTACAATCTTCGGCACTCCATTTACCTGATATGTCATCTCTTGTTTCGCATTATCGAAGATTTTTAGGTCGCTCGGCACAAAACCAGCTTCTTCCGTTGTCTCCCGCATAGCTGTCTCCATGTCGGATTCACCTGAATCGACATGACCTGAACATTGATCGTGCATGATTCAAATGAAAAAAACATTACAAGAAATGGGAAAATGAATAAAAATCTAGCTTTTTCTTTGCTACAATTGTAATTCATGCGTTGACATTCAATAATTAGAAATCTCTTCGTAATATATAACAGGTGTGCCATCTTAGAGTGACGTCCCATGGCACATCATATAGGCTGTGTTCCAAAATTCACTGCTAGCACTGAAACTCTATAGTATATGTAACATAAACTATGTATCTTCCGTACTGGCAGTGAATATCGGAACGGTCTTTCATTTAAAAAACGAAGCATTCACTGAGCGATTAGTGGCTATTGGTCTTATAATCACATAAATATTTAATATTGAATGTGTCATTGAATGTGACATTGCAAGAGGAAATATTAAATATTGGATAAATATTAATATTTTTTGGAATGAAAATGCCTGTACAGTGCAGTACGGTGCAGTTACATTTCTTTCAGGACCTTGTAACGCGCATGCGCGAAATCTGTCTATTAGAAGTCTATGTATTATACTACATCCTCTATCTTCGAAACTACATACTCTATCCTCGAAACTTGGTCTTGCGAGCGGGATCGGATAGGAGCGAAAGCGCGGTTTCCACGCCTCTAATTCATATCCATATATTTCTCTTTACAAATTTGATTTTAGTTATTAATTTTGTAATATCAGGTAAAGAAATTGATAGATTGTTTATTATTTATTATCTTGATAATTGATCTGTTGATCAATTACGGAACGTATCTAAATTAGTTTTTAAGGTTTACCAACCTTGTGAGTAAAAGCAAAGTTACCGAAATCGATCTCGGAGCAAGCCTAATATAGGTGTCTAATTAAACAAACTGTCCAAAAATGTCCAGCTGTCTAACATCATTATTTGGCGCATATGAAATGAAAAATAAAATTTAGTAAAGTACCATTGTTGTCGGAGGTTAGAATTCATTACAAACATACTGACCGTCGATGTGCTCGATCATGGGTTTTGATTTTTACGAACCTTTAGGAGGCGTCCAGTGATGTTCTCCATATGACGTCTGCATCAACAAATATTGTATAGTATTTTGAAATCGACGAAAAATGACAAAACCACAAGCGCGTTTTTGCACCATGGTTGCTTGACAATCGGAATATTGCTTATATCTAACACAATTATAGAACACGTGACAGTTTGTATGCGACCGTCATGAAAGAGGGAGCCAACAACTGCAATATATCGCGCTAATTGCTGGTAATATCGATCCGATGCCAAGGCGCTATTCGCACGTCCATGAAATATAACTATCTAGGGAATTCAAAATTATATTTCAACCATCTACAACGAAAGAGGACTTGTGAATACGGAAAGCTAACGTTAGCGTGACTCCAGAAACATTGTTAGATAAGATATTATCTAACTAACTTAAGTCAGAGTTCGATAAGATTTTATAGAAAGAATTAATAAGTGATAAGAATTGATAAATTTTATAGAAAGAATTAACAAGTGTTTAAATGTGAATGGTTAACAGTTCGAATATTTAATAAAGTAAAGAAAAAAAGAAAAACAAGAAAACTATGAAATCCTTTATTGAATTTATAGTTTTATCACAATAGTTTGAATGTACTCCAAAGTTTAAATGTTTATAACTTTTGATGTAGAAGCATCTTTCAAACATATGTTCCAAATAAAATTTATTTCTTTTTCTCGTAGAGTCCAAATATGTAACATTATAAGAAGTCCCCTTTGAAATTATTATTGAAGTTATTCCCGCTCCCTTCAATGGGACGAAGTTTTGTTTACATAGTTAGAAAGACTTCTCGAATACATGAAACTTTCTCGTAAACAACTTTTTGATACGACAAATATTTTTCGAGTTTTTGGGTTGTCATACTTCGCGTGGGCCACCCTGTATGTTGCACATTAGTGTTTACGATGGCTAGGTATTTGCTAGCCAACTGCTAAGTCACTTGTTATCTTTGTTTGGGTCTTCGTATTCTTATTTGCTACATAATATTTAGATTCTTTTCTTCCTTGTTTTACGCTACATATAACAGCCACTGGACCAACATGTACGAATTTTGAATTTTTCTTATGAATCTTTAATGCTATTGGCTGAAAAATATCTTTTCTATCTTTTGAATGTGCATATATATTATCGATAAAGTCATATTAACGACTTGTCATTTGCAACGACGTTCAGAATAATTTATATTTATTTTTGTCGCTCGTGTAAACGATAAATATCATTAATGTACCAAATTGATAATTATCGATAGGTATATACAGATTAGCATAGAACTCCTGGTTCAAAATGTTTTCAAAATGCGTCGGTACATCGTTTTCGTTATCTAAAATGGCTCACGTTTAACTTTGATACACTTTGATAACACGTTTAACGTTGAACAATGATCATCGCTCATGAACGACAAATATCGTTATAAATTTGTATATCTGTATGGAATAGCTTTTCTCGTTATTTAGTCAACCAACACCGTTAAAGACATTAGGAATTGTCGGTACGCGTGAACAGAATAGAAAAAAAATTTACGAATGTATCTCATGAATTTACGTAATACTATATTCATGTTTCACGAATTCAACTGGCACCTCATATACGCAATTTTTTATCTGTCGATATCGAATATGAGCCATCGCCTTTCCTCGGTCAAACCAGATATAGAACAGAGACAATGTACGACGTGAAGTTAGTTACGTAACAGTACGCGGGTTAACATATATTTTTAAATAAAGAAATTGTCGTTGAGATATGAGTAAACGTAGCGAGAGAGAAATATAACACAAATATAAATGTAAAGCACATACCTATATACTCGCCCGTTCAAGCGATTCTTCCGAAGCTTTCAACGCAATGATCTTCAAGTTCAAGGGAATGTAAGTTTTATTTCGCAACATTGATATCGTACCAGCAATATTTGTAGGATTCAACACAATATTTCGTTTTGTCTCCATCAAATTATTCAGCCGTTTTTGTACTCTTGTAAATTTATAGTTTTACGTTAAACGTGGAAGTGAAACTTACATATTAGAGAGACTACGACTAGATATCTGTCATAACAAATTTGCCTGCTTTATAATTCTAAGAAGCGTATGTGTGATCAAACGCGACGCCGATGGTGGGTTCTTTGTCTTTTGAAAGTGAAATTTCTTCCATACTTATATATTATACGTATATACATATACATATACGATGTATACATGTATATATATATATATATATATATACATGTATATAAACACACATATGTATGTATGTATATACACACACACACACACACACACACACATATATATATGTGTGTGTGTATTTTTATTGGAAACGAAAAATTGTGAAAATTAATCAAATCAAATTGAAAATAAAAGTCGTGTATTTTGCACAAATCGCAATAGTTGTTAAATTATTAATTAAAACATTTGGGCCAATGAGCAGACAGGAAACGGTAGACGGGACTGGACAGAAGTATGATGACAATAGACAAGACAAATGACTTACTTCTGGATACTCGTAGGAAAGATAATCAGCTAATTGCATGAGGCTGGTCAATACACAAAATTCTTTCTTCATCTTCAATGGTAGGATGCATTAACACACCAGCTGTACTCTATAGTTATGCACTAAACACCCTGTCTCACGTAACGTTTGCACTGCACGTAAAATCACTTTTCTCTATTTTGCACACCCGGAAAATCGTTCCGCATAAGTTATTTCTTTTGTTCATTGTCATCGTATTTCTGTCTAGTACGCCTCCCGTGTGCTCATTGGCCCAGACGTTTTAATAACTTAATAACTATTGCAATTTGTGCAAAATGGTACGTGACTTTTCTTTCCAGTTTGGTCTGATTAATCTACACAAGTTTTCGGTTCCAAAAGATTTCTGGACACCTTGTATATAGAGTGTATAAAAAGTACCGGGACTGCGAAATATTTCAAAAACTAAGTATTTTAGGGAAAAATGTTTCAGATAAAAGTTGTTCATATTAATTGGCAGAAAAAGATGATATAATAAAAAATTGAGATTTCCATTTAAGAAAAGTAATGATCAGTGAATATCTCAAAAGTGGCGCCATCTGTGGACGAAATAATATAGTTGTTTTATATTTCCCTTGAAACCATACAACTTTTGTCTGAAATATTTTTTTTCTAAAATGCTTAGTTTCCAAGATATTTCGCTGTCCCGGTACTTTTTATATGTTCTGTGTGTATGCATATATATATATATATACATACATACACATATACACACACACATATATATATATATATATATATATACTGTTAATACACACGCTAATTGACAGTATTGTAGAAAAGAAGAATACATCTATCCGCGTTTTCGTGATCGTAAGAATTTCGTATATATGTATGTGTATGTATGTGTGTGTGTGTGTGTGTGTGTGTGTGTGTGTGTATGTAAATGTGTGCGTATGTGTGTAATGATGTTTGCGATGGACAGAACATGATATATATTATAATAATAATCTCCGCTTTGCTAAAAATCAGTAAAAGAAAGAAGGAAAGAAAGAAAATGAGATCGACAACTCGACGTGTCGACAGACGCGTATGACGTTTGACAGGAATCTGAATCGGGAAACAATGCGTGTTACCATTTTATTATAAACGTTTTGCTACATTTTGGCTAGATACCGATCACCAGAGAACACTTAGCAAAGCTGTATGTATGTATCTATCTACAGAGACTGACATGTATGCGTGTGTATATTTTCTTGTTCACTGTTGTTAAGTATTTTTGTATCTCGTATGTGATGTGTATGTATGTATATGTGTATGTGAGTACATGTATGTGCGTGTTGAGTAGTGCACAGCTGTACGGGCGACACACGCGAGAGAAATGTGTGTTTCACAGCATTTACATACAAAAAAATCACAAAAGCTCCACGACCGACGTCCACGTCGAGCTGGATCTACAATGTCGCCCGTGCGGCTGCGGCTTTCTCTTTTTCTCTTTCTCTCTTCTGTAATTGTCTTGATAAGTCCTCCTCCGACATTAAAATCACGAATATCTCTTTAAAATTTTTATGTCTCCTCCCGTTTAAGCATCTCTCGCGATCATTAATTTATACATTTATTTCATAAAGCAAGCGAGCGTAGGGGTGGGTTTATGTATAGATTACGGTATATAATTATTTCGCCTATACGCCGGGGATATACCATTATTTAACGCTATTTCGGGGGCCTTACGTTAACATTAATAATAGTCGCTATTATGGTGTATAACTCTAGCGTCATTTTGTTACAACGATCATTTCCAAATTACAATCTGCTGCTTCTTTTTACCTTTTTGCTCTTCCGTCTCTTCCTTCTTATTCCGTCTCTTTTTTTCTTTACACGATAGCGATATATCGACGTTCGATATTGTACTCGGTACACTAACTCTGATCTGATGCAGGAACAAATGGAAAAAAGAAACTCTCGATCGTAATATTCTCTCCGGTCTAATTTTCTACAGTGATGATTGGGTTTCTCGTATTCGAGGGGTGTGAATAATGTTGCATTTTAACTCTCGACACTTATCTTGTAAATCAATAACATTATTACTCTATCATTATATTACATTATCTTGCTTATTGGTTCATGGAGTAATCCGACGACACGAAACTGCATGGTGATATACGTAAAGAAGATAAGTCCCGATGCCAGTGCTCTGCGCGTTAGTCATTAGCACTTAGAATCATTTTTTTTTTTTTTCGTCAAGATGTTCGGTACAGACAATTGGCGCTGATACTTAGTTGCTATCAGTCGTTTCACGATTTGCAACACGATGTACGCGGCTCGTACATGGTGTCGTGCGCTGAAGTTACTCTGTAGTTCAGTGTAGCAAGTGTTAGAAATGTGAAAAATCATTGAGTTTATAGTATGTAAATAAATTAGTCATTGCCTATTTAGTAACATACTTCATTAATCTTAGGCAAATATAAAAAGTTTGTTGATACTTGAGTTCCGAAGTGTATTTATGATCTCGGTGTGTGAGGCTTTCTCTTCTGCTCTCCCCTATCTCTCGCTTTATTAATTTAGTACCTTCGTAATATATATTTATATACACACCAAGTCTCTCTAGTTCGCCTCTACGTGTTTACAGCAAAATCCCTAATTTTACGTCATTCGAAACTGCGAATACCTCTGCGAATGAAAGGATTAAGTAGTACAGTATAGCCAATTACAATACTTAAATTTAACGTTATCGTTCATCCTTTGTATAGAAACAACAGATCTCGTTATTACTGAATGTAATTTAGATTAGAATTCCAACTCTCTGCATGAATGAAGTACTTGTGTATATTATTCACATGAAACGCGAGTAATAGTTCGATGGTATCCCTAAATTATATTAATAACTCCTGTTTCTACCTTCATATAGCATCGCGCGTACTATATTACTTGTCTCTCGTCTATGATAGAAATAAAAATATTATATTAACAATAATTATTATGTTTTAGTTAATTAGCTAATGTCTATAGTGCATGTGTATTTTCAAACTTATACTACAGATAAAAAAGAAAAGTAAAGTATTGTAAAAATGTTCGAAAAAAGTAAGCGGCTGCACGTTCGTGCAACATTAAAATAATTCAATTCATTACTTTTAGCTAATATGTCGATGAATGAAGGTAGATGCTTAATCGACCGAACGCTACGTATCCCCCTTTCTCTCTCACTCTCACTTTTATTCGCTCACTCTATCTCTCCTTTTCTCTCTCTCTCTCTCTCTCTCTCTCTCTGTCTTTTTTTCTCGACGGATTTTACGAAATACGTCTGTTTCAGAGACCAAACCTGCCTGTGTTGTAAAGTTGTACATATAAAACGTAAGACCAGAAGAAACGGGTAGTTACAGAGTAAACTCTTGACGTTGTAGATGTACTGTCACATTCCTCTACCTCCCGCAAGATGGTAAAATAGTCGCTTTAGTTTATTATATAAGGAACACTTTTCTCGTGAGAAAGGTGAACGACGTAAGTGATGCTTCATTAGGCACATTTGACACTTCCAATTTGAATTTCATTCCTCCGTGAGCAGCATTTTATGACAGAGCAGCACAACGTGCGCGTGCGTTAAGAACGTGTACGAATGCCTCCCGAAGACATACTGATTCGAATGCAGACAGCTTCAACGTCAAGAATACATAAGACAGATAATACTGTTCGGAGAACGAAGCGGATAGTAGTAATAGTAATAATGGTGTTAGTACAGTAATAATAGTAGTGTAGTAGTAGTAGCAACGGTAGTAATAATAATAGTAGTAATAGTAATAGTAGTAGTAGTAGTAGTAGCAGTAGCAGTAGTGGTAGCGATGGTGATGGTAATGATGATGGTGATGGTAGTGGTGGTGGTGGTGGAAGTAATAGTAGTAGTAATGATAGTGATAATGGCGGCGGTGGTGGTGGTGGTACGGTGATGACGGTGGTGATGGTGATGGTGATGGTGATGATGGTAATGGTGATGATGGTGTTAGTAGTAGTATGTTGTAGTAGTAACAGTAATAGTTGGCGATTGGAGATTTAGACTGTTCGAATATCGGGAGGGCGGGTCAACGATTTAGTGATTTTACTTTCGCTCAGGGATGTACGTTTCTCGACTTATCAACAATGAAAACTTGAAACTAATAAACGTAAATTATTATGTCCAAACCCAACTTCTTCGTACGGTCAATGGGTCAGCTGGTCCGTCTCTCTCTTTCTCTCGTTCTCTCGCTCACACACACGCACACACACTTCAATATTCTTTTGCACTCTTGCGTTCTCTCTCCCTCTCTCTCTCTCTCCTCCCTCCTCCCTCTCTCTTTCTCTCTCTCTCTGGAGGCGTTACGAGGACCCGATCTAGTTCTCCATTTTGGCACTCGGGAGTATTTGAATACGTATTTAGCCATCACGGATCACAGTTTCGGACTTTTCTTAAAGAGTCGTTACAGTAGTACCTCCAACGCAGAGGAGATAATGAAGACGCGTTCTCCCTCTCCCTCTCTCTCTCTCTCTCTCTCTCTCTCCCTCTCTCTCTCTCTCTCTATCCCCCTACTTCCCTCTCTCATTCTCACCTGACGACGACGCTCGTCGACTGGGACGGAGGAATCGTTAAACGAATATCTCTTGGGTGTCAGATTCGGAGTCCGAATCCCAGAAGAAACAAGAGTAAAATTCCTCGGTGACTGCCACTTGGTGGCTGCGCTCACGAGGTCGTTATGGATTGGCGCGGGCGGCTAAGGCGCCTGTGGCCGACAGTCACAGCTTGAGCTCGTTCGCGATCTTGCTGGCGATATTTTTGAAACCAATCGACGTGCCGGAAATACGCTTGAACCGCACTCCGTTCAAGGAAAGCCGCGGCAGCTTGCATACCTCGATCTCCCATTGTACTTGGCTGTCTGTCGCCGCTTCGCCGTGCGCACATAGCAAGAGGAATCGCTCGCGTTGTTCATACTGGCATTTATTGGCATCCAGGACCTGGAAGAGCAACGATACGGTCAAGTGAGCCTCCTGCTCTCCGTATTTGGAGCGTGCGAGTTTCTTAGATCGTCATACACGACATGTTGATTCCGCTCGCATGCATTATTAATAACACTTAACGAAACAATGTTGTATGAGCTTTGCCTTTTTTGTAAACACTTATAAATTTAGCACCGCTCGCGACAGATCGCATTCTTCACGAAGAGCTTCACGAACTGCACTTTTACCGAGAAATCATATTGTATTTTAATGGCATGTACAATTCGGTCTCGATGAGATCGAACAATTGAAATTTACTTTACAAGAAAGCCCCATCGTGTCGGCGATAGTCGGAATCGAACATGTCGTATGCCACAGATCCAATATTCAGATTCTTACACGAGAGTCAATCTTGTGCCTCTAATCCTTACAATTTTGCAAACGTATCACCTTTTTTCGTGTTACGTATATCTGCTAATATAAGTACGCTTTTCTCGATACCTTTCGGATCTCTGACATAATTTCGTTAGGGTCTCGACTACTGGTAGTCTTCATACTCCATGTGAAGCGTAGACTGCGTGGTTTAACCTGTTCGTCGTTAGTGGTAGCTCCGCTGTAACAAAAAGATATCTTAAACCCGTCCAATCACCCCTAAGCGATACCACAGCGGTATAGATTTCTTTTTAACGAAATTATTACAATTACACGCACGTACGCGCGCACGCACGCACGCACAAAACCTCGTATAATATCCTGAATATATTTCTACTTGGCAAATATTATTTGTCTAGCACGAAATAACAAAAATTTGCAAATCTGCGTAACTTTCAATAATGAGTTTCATCCTCGATTGGCACTAAACATGACAAAATAATTAAACTTAAATTTAAATTTACATATGTCTTTATCTCTTTTTATATTTGTCTTTTCTATGCTAAAAGTTGAGACACACACGTGTCCGACACGTTAGCGTGTATCAAGCCAAAAATCCTAAATATATCTCGAATTGTGTGAAATGTAAATTTCGGGAGAAAATATGTGGTATATCGAAAAAGCTTGAAGCTTGCGGTTACACAAAAATGTATCCTCAACTCATTCGAGTGGGGGAGGGGTCTCTGTATGATGTAATGCGCTGTGCTATATTTCTTGCAGGCTGCCTGATAGATAAGTTGGAAAATATAAAATGTAAAAATGAAACTTTCTCAAAACCAAGTCCCATAATCGTAACATACATGCGTGACATGCAGTTCAGTTCACTTGCCATCATAACTTTAATTACAACCTCAATGCTGCATACATATATTTACATTTAGATGTAATAGAGAACACTTAAAGTGAGTTACACGAAATTGTTAAAGTTATGTGTGAACGATGTATCGCAACCCTGGATATCTATATACTGCAGAAGATTCTGAAGAAGATACTGAAAAAGTATGATGATAATAATAATAATAATAATAAAATAATCTATGAGAGAAATGCAGGAAACTTGCAGTCTACATGTAATTCATAAAATATGTAAATAGTACTATATAGTAAATAGTAATATGTAAATAGACTATTCTTTCACAAAACAAATTATAATAACAATGATCAGATCAGTAACATTCTTCTTACGTCAAGATGAATAGCGCAGTATTTCACATTGTTCGTTACGTACGATTATGTGGAACAATTTGTCTCTTTCTAAGAACGATTTTTCCTTCTAAATTGCGATGGCAACTAATGTAATTCTGTAACGGAAGTAATTCTCTGCTTCGTTCATGTAGCTGTTTAGAATGTCAAATACTTTCCAGAGTAATTATCGAGCCACTTTACGGAATGTGCATGCTATGTCACAGGGATTGTTTTAACCATTATAGCAGACGTGCACCAAATAATATTGTACCAAATAATGTTGAGTGTGAGTATGCCTCTTCCCCTCCCCCTGCCACACGTTTTCGTTAAAACAAGAAAAAAAAAACAAGAAAGAGAACAAGAATGATTAAGATTGATCGACGAACAGAAGTTGGATGTACGAGAAAATTAAGGAGATGAGAGCGTGAAATTAGAACACGGATCGTGGTATTATGGTATGCAGCAACGTACCTCACTACTGGGTGCTTGGGGGGTACGGATGGGTCCATGGGGCTGAAATAACAAAACAAAGGCAGTTGCTAACAAACACTAAACATGATAAATTAATTAAATTTTTATATGTATAACAACCATCACCGTTCTGTCACCATTGCACACTGGATTATGGCACAGAGAGAATTACGATGTGACATGAATCTATAAAAAAACTCTTTCAATTTTCGGGATGGGGGAGAGATACAGAGTATTCCCTTGATTTCCCTCGATTGTGTACCAATTTTCGTATGTAAAGTAGAAAAAAAAAAGTAAAAGATATGGAAAACAGAGCATATTGCTGATGAAACTTTATCGTGGACAAACGGAAACGTTTATATGCACGATGGGATCGTAAACCTTATTTCACACAGGAAATTAAGTTTAACGCAAACGGCGATCGCAGTGTGTCTCTCTTCTTATTAAGGATAGAGTGGAGTTTTGGATGCGGCGTGTTAAGAGACAAATAATTTCCATATTACCGTGGTTACGTGAAATAATTCAATTTACACATACACTCCTAACGAGTTACATGCATCATAAACGCAGTGCAACGTGTTGTTCTTGCGTAGGCAAAATATTCCTTTTGTACGAGGATTCAGAAATAAATTGATACAACATATACAAGACAGTTTTGACATATTTATTAATGTGAAATTATTACTATTATTGCTCCTTAAAATTATTAAATAATATTTTTATCCTGTTTACACACACACACACACACACACACACACGCACACACACACACACGCACACACAACACACACACACACAATGTGTGTATGTGTGTGTGTTTGGGTGTGTGTATGTGTTGTGTGTGTGTGTGTGTATGTATCAGCTATTTGCCGCCCTCCAGAACGTAACGTTTAAATTAGAATTTCTAAATTAAATTCTTTAAATAATAGATTGACTATATAATTAACTGAATATCCTAAGGATCCTCTGGATACTTGGACGGGCACGTAGCTGGAGTGCAGCAAAGAGCGCAATCACTTAAAGGCATGTTACATTTATATAATTTGCATACAAATATTATTTTCTTTCATATATCTCATACTCTGATGTATTTAAGATGACGTGGTCTAATCGTTCGATAACTCTTTCTCTTCTCGCGTTTCTCAGTTTCATACACATTAGTTCATTGGGTGGCCTTAGGTGTAACATTGTTAGCTTTACAACTTTCTAATATCACTTATATGCATCGAATATCGATAAATACGATGAATATAAAAGAAAAAGAAAGATAAGTCTTACTAATGATGATTTTAAACAACACATTCGTTGGGAATATATTATATGAAGATGCTAAATATTTATATATCAGAATACATTAATTGTGCTATCTCCTGATGTAAATAAAAAGAGGAAAGTTAATTAGAAACATTGGCAAATATGCAGATTACTGGTGTTGCTCTCGATGATGCCTGTGATCTCTATATGTTATCAAGACCCTGAGACATGAACCTGAGTAATCTTTAAAAGATTTTAAGTGGCGTCACCAGCTTATGAAACAGTTGTTAACGAAACAAGTTTAAATACATATTGACCTAGAATATTATTCGTATAAAAGCCAAAATCACAATGACATAGGATAGGGTATTTAAGTTTTTTCGAGGATGGAGGTGCAAATTGCTGAAGGGAAGGTTCCTTTTAAAGGAGTAAGATAATGTTTCCTTACGTGTACCGCATTGATGATAGAATATATGTACAGACAGTACACTTAGGGAGGGACTCTAAAATCTCTTGAAAATTACTCAAAGCCATGATCTTAACAATATCAAGATCAATATATATCAAGATCAACATCGTTGGATAGTGATGTTATTAATATTTATATATTATATCTTAACAGGTATATTCTCCAAATTTCTTCCGTTAATAACTTTTTAGTGAAAATGAGTGCCGACTAAAATCTTTTACTCACGGAGATTACTCAAGGATATGTATCCTTGATGACACATATGCGGGTTAGAGATATCATAGATGATACCAGTAATCTACATATTTATCAAAACATTTCCTATACATCGTACAACAAAAGTAAATATGCAATTTTTTAATAGCCTTTATACACAAGAGAACGTATAAAAAGATCAGCGATGTTTTATAAAATCAGAGATGAATATATAAAGCCTCTCTGATTCTCTCGCTAAGAGTAAAAAATAACATTTTCAAGGTAGCCCAAGGCCACTTTGTAGGATACGCCATGATTTGTTATATAATAAACGTATAATAATGATAATAATAATGATAATAATAGTAATGATGATGATGACGATGATAATGATGATGATAATGACGATGATGATAATAATAATAATAATAATAATAATAATAACTTGCCGTATATAACATGTAGATGCTACTATGTTGACCAGATATTAATAAATGCTATTGGCAATGACTGTGGAAGGATTAGTGTATCGATTTGTCGTGTAACCAAATATTTGAAATATACAATATCAAACAGGAGAAGGCACGTATTTTCGATATCGAGATAACACACACGATCACAATTCTTAAATTCAGTATATATCCAAAGTCAATATCTGTACTTAGTATTAAAACAAGTTTAGACTTAAAGATATTATTCTTTTCTCTATAGTTGCATGCATGTATGAAAAATTGCACATAATATTTCGTTTCTCTAAGTTGAAACATTAAATACGGTGAAAAAGTACATTTTTCTCTAACGCGAGGAGAAACATACATTTCTGTAATAGATAATTCAAGTTGAAAATTTAAGAAAGAGCTAACGTTAAAGATAACACAGTGTATTATTTCATAGAAATAGAATGATTACTGTAGTTCGAACTCTTTTACATATTATATTGTACTAAGCACAGTATTGCTCTTTACGGGAGAAATTTAAAATCATCTTTATCTTTATTTTTATACAATGACAAGTAGAAATATACGTGCTTGAATATTGTATATTTCTAATAATTAAACAATAGTACAATGTAAATTGGGATACATTAATTAATATACAAATAAATCAAGTACCAATTAATTATGGCCTGCCTTGTTCGAATAATGTTCTATTGTATGTCGGTTCTCAATAAATTATACAATACAAATGAATATTTATTAATAGAATAAATTAAAGCAAGGTGGGTAAAATCGAATTGCCGTTCATTGCAATCAAATAGCACTCTAAATCTTAATTTATTAGTCAGTTTTGAGATCAACAGTGGAACAGCGCGTTTATAACTGCAGAAATAAGGAATCTTTCAGTATGTTAAACGTGAAAACATTTCTACGCAATCTGTTGCTATTTGTTTACAGAACACCTCGACAGTGTGAAATCTTTGATAAAAAATAAACTATACTTTAATTCCGTAATCGCATTAAAAGGCGCGTACATTAAACGTAAAGGAAAGATAAAGTGGAATGCCTAATTCTCTACATATCTGTTTTTGCTTCCCATTTGTTTGAAATATGTTTGTATCTTTTCAAATTTGTGTCAACTGAGCATTATATATTCAACGTATATAAATGGTATCGTTATGTTGATACTATTGGGTAGAGAATATAAAGTAAGCATACAGAAGAAATTAATTTAGAAAACAATATAAAAAAGTATGAAGTATGTTGAATCGTAAGACTATCGTGCACTCTTAATATTGTGTAATAAATTGAGTTGATTTTTCTTTGTTTGCTCAAATTCTTTCATTATTTTTCTTTCTTTCTTTCTTTTTTTTTTTTTGCGGAAATGAGACGTTATCTACTCTTGCTTCAAAATTATCCATAAATAACTAAGACGGTAATAAAGCTGTACAAAATATTTTACGATAGAAAATATTGTAGCTATGTCAATATCTATACATTGTATGTATATAATAATATACATATCCATTCGTTCTAAAGGACATATTTCCTCGAATTTCGTTTATATTAAAGAATCGATACAAGGAGCCAATATACATAATAACCAATGATACTATGAGAAAAAACCAGATTAAATTCCACGCTATCTTTGAGAGGAGGAATCTATGCTGGATACCAAAATGTTTCCAAAGAGAAACGAAGAAAAAAATACAAGAAATACATATATATATATATATAATATATCAAACTTAATCGACCGCTTTGTTATTTTTAATGAGTGGCATAGCCAGAATATTGCAAACAATGTTGCATCAAATCAAGCATGAAGATGCAATATAAAAATTTCGATCATTTACAATAATCGAAGTCTCGTCACACATGACTGGTATATATTATACGACTCTAATTTTTGCACCACTTTGTTATCCAACATATTTTCCTAGAAAATGAAAGGAAGAAGAAAAGAAAACGAAATTCGCGCGTTACAATGTTACAAAATATACAAAATTATTCCTAGTCCTCAATATAATCCAGGAGAAACAAGGTGAGAGAGATAAATTGAAACGAAATAAAATAACACATTGAAAGAATTCCGCTTCGCCATTCAATAAAATTTGAAACATTTTGCCATAAGTGTTTGCAATTTCTGCTGCCGTAGCGCGACATATCTGCATGTGGCTCGCTCTCATTTCGGCTCGGAGGAAACAAGGCGAGACCTCAGCCTTCACTTAAAAAAATCTGTCAAAGCACGAACAATCATATATACTCTATTATCGCACTGAAAGTCCGTCTGTTCGTTCGATATTGTGTGTTAGTAGTGTAATTACAGCATCTTCCTCATACTCCTACCACTCACAACGGGATCGGTCGTTACGATCGAACATTCTCTCACGTTAACAAAGCGTCTGTCGACTTTATCGTTTCTGAGGACATTATAGAGAAATGGACACTATAGAGTAGTATTAATATAAAAAAGGAAAAAAAAAAGGAAATGAAGAAAACAAGGAACATGTAAACGTGGTCTCACTGATACGCTATCGCACAGAGACAAAGAGTCGAAAAGTGTATATTGTGTCTGTTCTAGACGAAGTACATAGGGAAGTCTGCGAGAGACTTCCGCGTGCTATTTTTGTATGCATCCACGCGGGATGTACGAATAAAAACTTATTTCATCACATTTGCGGAAGCTTGTCGCTAAACTTCGTTACGAGAGGAAAAAAAAGAGCGATCTATGCCTGTCACACATTCGCCGTTGCACGAAAGTATGTGCTCGGTGCTTAAATGTAATAATAAGTGCCTGGACATATTTATTCTTAGATACTTTAGTCAGCTAGATACACTTTACGTCGGAAGGCATCTAAACTATCACCACGCGATTCACGAGAAATGCTTTTTCGCACTTTTCACTTTTTCGTTCTGTACGAAAGCAAGGAAGAAAAAGAAAGTAGGTTACAGATTCTCCCGCAGTTATGAAAAATGTAGAAAAATAGAAAGAAGAATATCAGGTTTTTTCTTCTCGGATGGACGACGTAAAGTATACATACATTCATTAGAGGCAGGCTGAATTAGGAAAGGCACAGATTCCGAGTGCTATATCTAAGTGCGTAAGGCGATTTCCTGCTTATGTGATTTCAGGAAGACGTCAATTTCTTTTTTCCTTTTTAATAATTATATAACCATGTATATATGTGTATGTATGATATATATATATATATATATATGTGTATATATATATATATATATATAATCTATGTATACATGTACACGCGTATGTATGTTGTGTATGTATGTGTTTAAATTCGATGCGGCGAGATATATCACGCAATTTATACATATACACATACATCATGCGTATGCCTGAAGATAACGAGAGATACTCGTTTATCGACATATAAAAGTCCCTAAAAAAGTAATTACTCGCAATCTTGAGAACCACAGAATAACGGAGCCAAGAGCTTTCTTTTTCTTTGTTTGTATCTCTTTTATATGCATCACAATATCCATTGAGCGGTCGACTGACAACATGGACTCTTTGCCCTACCCGATTTAACATGTTAGATGCACGCCGGGTATACTGCATTTTACTCGACACCGTGGGCACATTCGGCTGTTAAAACTCTCGTGTCTCTATGGCCTTTTTGCTTGTCGGAACTCGAGAGATGAAGCGAAGCTTATACGGTTCACGGCCTGCAGCATATAATAGATATAACCGATATGAATTAATTATTAAAAAAAAGAAGTAAAAAAAAATTCAGGGAATTGTTTTGATGCACCAATGGCTATGGACGCCGTCAATTCGTAATGCCTCACAATTTATTCCGTATTATGTTACTGATGAGTACAGTGACCATATCATGAAAGTGAGAATAACAAAGCGGTTCTCCTCCACCCTCCCCTTCTCTCTTCTTTCTCTATTCAGATTCTACAATACTCTCGTTATTCTGCAGTCTTCCATCCTCAGTTTCAAGTACTTTTATGTACGTGTATACAGTATGGCGCTGTCGTTTTGCATTTGAATGTACGACATAATAATTAGGTCCCATATACGTGTGTGTATGTGTGTGTGTGTATGTGTATATATATATATATATATACATATATATACGTATACATATATATATATGTGTATATATATGTATATGTAAGTAATAAATCAAAGATATGCCTCGCTACAATCAAGTGAGAAAAAAGGGATGCACAATGAGTATGCGAGGTGGCTTGAGAATTTCAGCCGAGCAGTGTTTCATGCTACTTTTGTTACCATCACTTTGAATTGACTCGAGTGAATTTTCATTTTGAGCGCCAGTCTCTTACGACTGTCACTTGAGTGGATATTCTGCATCTCCGTGTTTATTTTTCTTTTCTTGTGATGAACGAATAGTCGATCGAGAAATTGTTCAGGAGGCGATTCTCGTTATATGAATATAGAATACGACTAACTCTCTGTGTAAGAACATTGACGAAGATAATTTCTAATATAGAATTCAGCTAAAGGGTACAATCTCTGTCAAGCAAATATTTATGGGACAAACAAACAATACAGACAGACGAACGCGATACGCTTTGAGGATGAAAAATATGGTATGTAAGTAAATAAAGCTACGGAACAAAATGCAGAAGCTACGTATCCTGTGTCTTTCACTGATAATGGTCGCTGCTGGCTCATCGGATTCGTAATTAATGTTATTACGCATATTACGTCCTTATCAATATGTATCTATGTATCAATATATAGAATTTCCAGAATTACATAGTCATTGTGCATCCTTAAAAAACAGAAACATCATTTTGCATGCAAACAATCGGTATAATTTACCAAACTAAGTCAGTATAATATATATATATATATATATGTATATATTTAAGTATATATAAAATTTTAACATACTTAAATTATTAAGATGCTAAAGCATGCACTGAGGGCCCACTGCAAAGCTACGATGTTTATATGCTAGCACTCTCAGTCTGTACTTGTAGGATCGGATAATGAGAGAGATAGCATGAAATTGTTAAAATATGCTTTCTACTGTTCGATATAATGAGAATAAGTCGATAAATGGATGTGCAGTTAAATAAAAAAAATAAAAAAAAAAATAAAAAAAAAGAATACGAAAAAATAAATTAAACGAGAAAACCGAAGAAAGAAAAGAATTTAACGATACATATGTGGTGCAAAACTCATGACTTTTATAGGCCTTTACGAATATGTGATTATTTCGTGGAGGTGCGATTAACTCAGGTAAGACGCATGCAATTATATATATTTTAAAAGAAAAAACTAGAAAAAAAAAGAAAAAAAATATTTTAATAACTCTCTCCGACGATCTCTAATGCACATACATTTCTCCTCCGAATTAATATCTCTCTGCTATTTATTGAAACAATTGTGCTCAACACACTGAAATTTTATGGGTTACATAGTTTGTTAATGCCAAATGGGAAATTATTCAACCACATGATACATTCCGGTTATATATCATTGCACAACAAGATAATTGGTTCGAATCACAAAAATATGTGACGGTATAGATACACGTTATGGCATGAAAAGGAAAAAAAAAAAGAAGGAAAATATTACTTGTGAACAGACGGTGATTCATATTACAAGTTCGTACATGTGTTAAATGATTAACATGCTGTCAAATATATATATATATATATATATATATATACATATATATATATACATATATATATATATATATATATATACATATATATACTGACGTATCACTAAAAATAAGTCTGATTTGTCATGGAACTTACCGTTTGGAGAACTTCGAAGATAATTTCGAGAAGAAGGACGGCCTCGCTAGAGGGCTAATTGCATTCGTGTCCTGCGTTTGCGTATGACCCTGGAAACAGGATGTTCATTTGAATTGGTCGCGAAGCGACGTAGCGAAGCATAGATGCGTGTCTTTCTTAGATTTCTTAGAGTGCCTCTTGCCACTTTTGTGCCTCTTCAGGTTACTCGGTAAGGTTAGACGGACTCACCTGAGTGTGATTTCGCTGTGCTCGGTTTTGGCCAGAATGGAACGTACTGCGACTCGGAACATTCCGTGGAAATGCTGGTGTAGTGGCTGTAGGCAGTCTATTGCTTGCGGATACACCCAAGCTAACAACAGATAACAATTTCTGCTTTGGTAAAGACTACACTCTGATGAGATTGTCTGTTTGTGTGTATATGTATGGATAATGTGAGATAAAATATGTATATAGATGTGTAATATAATACGTTATAGCGTTGTTTTGTACTGACAGCTTTACTTTCAAGTACTATGCGGCGAATCGTGAGGAACTGTTTGTCGAATGCGCTGGAGCGCATATACACTACGATGTTAACCGTTCGATTTGAGTGAAGCTGGCGTCAAGATGCAGAGAAAACGAATAGGTAGGTAGATAAGTTGTTTCAGTGCTATATGCACATTCCTGGAGGTATCGTTGCAAGTGTTTACTAACACGCAAACAATGTTTTGACAAAACGAAGCTTAGCGGTTAGAGCTAACGAAGCGAAATTGAGAAAGAGAAATAGAGAGACACAGATAGAGGTAAGGAGAATTAGTCTGTACTAATGAAAAGTACGTAACAGGGGTCACGATATGGACGAGTAATCTCTAACACTTGATGTAAAATGCGCATGCATTATTAACAGATTATTTTAAGAGTACAATTGTGTTTCTTTGTAATGTACGTTTTATTAATGCTATTACTATATGATAATATCAGGAGGGAGAGTTTTGTATGACCATGAATGTCGATATGAAAGTAACTCTGATATCAGAACTGCACGATACAACAAAGCTGATGAATAATCGAACTATGTATAAATTAAATTCGAAAGAATGAAGTCAGAGTGATGATATGATCCATTAAATAGATTCTACTAGTAAATTATTATTGATCTCTTACATTCTACTTACAAGATACGGTAACTTTTTAAAGATACCGGAAAATGTTAAGTGGAAGATGTGTGTTACATATATAGAAAGGATATACCAGACATCTATTCCCATGTGGAATCATTGATCAAGTTGGTATAAATGTATTGACATATTTCCCTTCAACAAAAGCACCGACATTACGACGATAGTACGATCCGGGTCGATGCGTCGCCATAATGTTCTATATGTTAAATCGGTGGAAAGTCAACTTGTTTTGCGTTTAATGGAAAATCCCTCAAAATTAGCAAAATGGAGCGTGAGTACGTCGGGACTCTATAATGAGTCGCAATGGAGCATATCATTTTGCAGTGCTGTAATTGAATCTGGATAATTTATTATACAAATAAAAAGGAATACCTGAAGCTGGTGCAATTTAGTAGAAATCTAGCAGAATTTGAATCATGCAAACAAGGGAAGAGAGAGAGAGAGAGAGAGAGAGAGAGAGAGAAATATAGAGAAAAAAAGAGAGAAAAGAAATAATGAAGAGAATGACCAGAAACTATCCTAGAGAAATTTGTGTCGACAATTCACAATATTTCCCACAGAGTAGCCGAAGAGAGACAATTGCACTGTCAAGAACTCGACAGATGACAGACAAGCTTCCTCTCGTCGCTCTGTTCAGACAGGCGCATGTTCGTGAAAGAGTATAGTCAATAACACCTAGTTACCCTAAGAGAGTTAGTGGCCTGAGAAAGAGATAACCAAAATGTAAAGAGAGAACAAATGTATCCGAAATATTTAAAATAGATAAAGGATGCAGGTTTCTTTCTTTTCTTTTTTTTTTCGGTTCTGTATAGGCATTGGGGGCCTGTACCTCTGCCTAAGGGGGTCAGCAGTGGCGAGTAAGGAGTTGTTGCGTGGTTGTGGGTCCAGTAGTGAATGGTCGCTGGGGGGTACGCCACTTGAGGAACGGTGACCTGCGCTGATGCTCGCAGACTTCGTGTGACCCCGTGTTGGTCTAGTGCCCTCGCCCAGGCTGTGCACAAAACTAATCAGCAAATTGCCGGGCCCTATCTTCCGCAAGTTTAATCCTACTTTTTTGGCATTTCTTTTTTTTTCTTTTAAGTAAACGAAGCGGAAATTTCTCGAGGCCGTAAAATAAAAGCTCTAACGGGATGTAAGATTCGCAGGGTTTTAAACGAACGTGATATCAATGATAGGCTTAATTCGTAGATGCCGAGATAAAGAATTTTATCGAAAATTTCCTTCCGTAGTTCACATATTGAGGGATCGTATTGCTATTTACTTTCACCCTGCATATTAAAAAAAGAAAATTTGAAGTTTGTATGTGAAAACGTGTACGTTATATGTGACTTCAGAGATACACATTTTGTAACAGAAACTCTCGTTTAAAGAGGGAGGTGTCATAAAAGGATATCACGAGGATGGAAAGAGAAGAATGAAAATGCTAACTGCAGCTAATATGACTTCGCGAAACACTTGAATGGTAAGATAAAAACAAAATATGATAATACTACAACGTATGGATGAAAAAAAAAAAAAAAAAATTAAATGTATGATAATGTTAATGAATGTGTCTAAAATACCTTCTCGACTAGATCTATAACTTCGAGGTAACAGAGTAATATATATGTGAATGTGACTGTTGTCTGATATCGTTTCAGCAAGCGTCTGTACACGTATAAAACGTTAAAATCAGACTGTCCGTTCGATACATCTGTCAAGCCATAAAGAAAGTGATTCGCAATGAACGATTGGCAGGCAGCAGCCAAAACATGCTAGAGCAATGCAACAAACAAATAAACTCCCCGGAGCTTTTAATGACAGACTTTGTTATTATTCACTCGATTACGAAACTATTTCTCGAGTCGGTTTAGTGTACTTAACACACACAAGTAATCAGTTGTCTACAGTTAGTGAAAGTAAAAGGTGTTAAGTTGACAGAAATCGAAGAAATGTCGTCAAACGAGATGCACTAATCTTATATTACGTATCGTTAACAACTGCGAATAATGAGATACTGGACCATTAATCAGAATCACGATTGCGAATTGAATAACAAGATAGAATAATTTCTTTGATACAATGATAAGGAACAATGAAACTGAACGCATACGTCCAATATCCCACGTGTCTCAAGTGTCTACTATCGAGAAGTGAAAATACACGGAATATATGTCTCAGAGAGGAATATAGACGAGATGGAATCTCGAATTATAACGCGTTGCGAACGTTTTCTGTTTCTTCCTCTACGTAACCTGCATTCCGTGGATTTGTATATTCACATTTGTATATTCGATCTTCATATTTCTCTCGTGAATAAAGATCGCGTATTTCGAGTAAGTAATAATTGGATACCACTATACCTGGGTACTTCGTTGGTTCTTTCAGTGGATGAAGATGACGTTTTCGCTTGATCATAGGAGATGGTACTACGTCGACCAACAGAACCAGGAGCAGGTGAGGTGAGAGGCCGACCACCACCTACCCCTGCGTTCATAGTGTTGCTCTTGCCTACCCTTGCTTTACCACCAGGACTTGTACCCACGCCTAGAATGAACATCGTCACTGCAAGCCTCATTAGATGTGGTTCAACACAAAACAAAGCAACATACTTTAAACTATAACAAATATTGGAAACGATTATTGAAAGGATTCTGAGTTGCCACGCATGCTATATTATACACGTTGAACACGTGTATAATATAACGTCTGACCTGTTTCTATACATTAAAAAAAAAAAAAAAAAAAAAAAAAAATAATCGAGAGCAAAACATAACATCAAATTGACTATCGTTGGTACATATAAACATATCACACAGATAAATAAACGACGCACGCCGTATTTTATACGGATACATAATATGCGGTAAAATTTCGGCAATACGACTGTGTTTTCATTCTTGCAGACATACATGAGAAACAGGCACGACGATTCGAGATTAAAACGTGTAAGATCAGAACTTCTGATAACAATCATGACTGTATCCACAGAAATGACTACAGACAAAAGAATGTGACGTAGGATAAGATAATGTAACATGGGATCCATGTCATTGTAAACACATTGAATAATAACGCAAAGTAAAGTAATAAATTATAACTTTAATCAATTCAGAGCTATTGGAATATAGACTGCTGCGCAACCTTATCCAAAGCAACTTCATCCAAAGTAGTGTCTTTGCTGAAGCGCCACGAAAACACATAGCACAACGAATATATAATCGATAAAATCCGTTGACAAAGAGATCCCTCAATTAGAAAAAATAGATTTGACTCAATAATAAAGTCAACTCACTAGTATCTAATTGCCCGGGACTGTTTTTCGGTGCGGAAGGTCGGCTGGCTGAGACACGAGCGCTATTCTCCTTAATTGTGGCCGCATCCACGGTGTTTTGCCGTTTAAAATTGCTACCGCCGCTTCCAGTTACAGCGCCGCCAGTTACCGCGGTCGCGTGATTGTGATTTGTTGCATTACCCGGACTGGGTGCGCCCCCTAATCAGGAAAGAAAATTATGTAACAAAACCCTTTTGTCTTTGCGACGTAGCGCATTCGGTCATGTCTACATACAATCCTGTAATAGACCCACATCAATATACACAATTCTGTTTTTTTTCTTGTTATCTTTATCACGTCGCTTCTATCAAGATACAAATACGTGACAAACGCAATGGGCACTACTATACACGTCACTAACTATTCACATAGTTATTCATATAGTTACACGGTCTCTCTCCCTTCGTTAAGTAATAATTAATACAGAAATTGTCGCGCACAAGCATTTCATGAATTCTCGACCATGCGGTGAGAGGAACACAAGTGCATGTTTGTCTGTCTTACCCGGATTTGGCAAATGTCCTCTTATCCATGCTTGTCGTTTGACAGTTTAAAGATTTAAAGTGCCGTACTGCATTAAGAGTTACGGTTTGGAACACGATATATGAACACTTACGAAGAGTCTCACCACCAGACGATGCCCGTCTACTGGGTTTTGGATTGCTAGCAGAAATACTTCTGTGAACACCTCTATGCGATGGACTTTGTACCGCACCGCCTGTCCCTCCACTGCTACCTCCTCCACCACCCGAGCCGACTTGAGGCGGAATGTTACGCAGCGACAGCGAGCTACCCGACCGTGACCCATCGCTTTCGGGCTGTCAAGTAAATCAAAAGATGTAAAAGAGACGAACGATTTGCGATTGTGCGATGATCTGAACGTGGTGCAATAGCGCACACTTACGTCTGTCGTTTTCCTGCCTAGGAGTAAATACGTGGCGAATACATCGTCATACTTGGCTTGTCCTAGGGAGTCTTCTATTTCGCTCCGAGTGTATCCTAGACTGGCTAGGGCCTCTGAAACGGAAATACGTGACGGCATAGTCGCATCTACTGGGCTGATCTTTTCGTTTCACACTTATAAGCGTTGAAATTAATTAGGAATAATGCGGAACCAAAGTCAAACAGCTTCGCTACGTATCGCCATAACAGATACTTTGCACGGTACTTTGCAACACACACTGATCATTCTTAAGAGCTATTCGAACTTATCGTCTTTATGACGTACGTCCGCGCGTTCGGCACTTGTTAGATGTAAGTCGGTTTTAATATGGTTTAAAATATTAGCACTGGTTAATGGCTTCATTCTTCCATCCGAGATATCCTCATGCAATAATTCAAAGCGGATCACAGATACGTAGGTGTAAATATATCAGACCAAATTAAGAATTTGGCAATCGAGAAACAAGCTATTCGGTGCTTTCACGCTGTGCGTAAAATGTGCACATTACAAGTCTCTTACTTGAATACAATTTAGTAAAACATCGTCTCTTCGATCGTCATCGTATCGCAAAGACTCTGTGTACTCGCTTCCTGATAGAAAGCTATCGCGTACAATTATTACTAAATAATATTAAGTAAGATCGTCTGATATATTTCGATAGTATTAATAGTGATTAAATACGTTGCACACATTTCCTTCAACTATCAAAGACATCCCGTCATGAATATCCTTTATAGAGAAGATTAGTATCGAGATCTTTGTTATTAAAATGTAATTGTGAAATTATATGTACGTATGTACTGTGAAGCCAGATTGAAATAGACTTTTGTCATTGTGGTTACGTACATTGTGGTACAGAACGTTCATGACAGATGTCATATTATTAAACGTAAAAACGGTAAGTAGTAAGTGTTATGTACATACTGGCAGACTCACCTATCCTCTTGTGATCTCTATAATCAGGTTCAGGTTCTAAGTACGGCTTTAATTCGTCATCCTCATATCCCATATTCATCCATTTGTCTTTCATTATGTTCTGCGGCAATAAATTTCGTTAAGCTGCTGTTTGAACACAGCTGTAGGACGCGATTAACAGGTATCGCTTGTTCCATGTATATAAATAAAGAGGCCGATCGGCAAGTTTTATCGTACAAGATGATAAAATTCAACACAATTCAAAAGAGCTCGGAAGAGTGAACCATAAATATCAAAACGCGACCGCCACGTACCTCTAGTGAGGCTCTCTTTGTCGGGTTGAGCACCAAGAATTTCTTGAGAAGATTTTCACAGTCGGTGGACATATAAAACGGGATCCTATATTTTCCTCTTAATACTCTTTCCCTCAATTCCCTCAACGTCGAACCATCGAAAGGCAGTGAGCCGGATACCAAGGTGTAGAGGATTACACCCAACGACCATACATCCACTTCAGGACCGTCATACTTCTTTCCTGCGCGCATGAAAGTCAATCGTGATCGCAGAGATTCAAGATTCGTTCGCGGGAGGTTCGTGATTATCTCGCGAGTAACACACCTTGAAAGAGTTCCGGCGCCGCGTAAGGTGGCGAGCCGCAGAAGGTGTCTAACTTGTTGCCAGGCGTGAATTCATTGCTAAAACCAAAATCTGCAATCTTGATATTCATTTCGCTGTCGAGCAACAAGTTCTCCGCTTTTAAGTCCCTGTGGATGATCTTCTTTTGATGGCAGTATTGCACAGCAGAAACGATCTGCCTGAACTTCGCCCTCGCCTCCTTCTCCTTCATTCGTCCATGCAAGACCAGGTAGTCGAAGACCTCCCCACCGCTGGCGTACTCCATTACCAGGTACAGTGTCTTTTCAGTCTCGATTACTTGGAACAATTTGACTATGTTCGGATGGTCGAGCATCTTCATTATCCTGACTTCACGGAACAGCTGTAATCAATCGGACGCGTCAGTACATGTGCATCATGTGTGTAAAACATACGCGAGCATCTAATTGACGAAGTTCTACCGTTCAATCATTACTGTGCAATACTTGTGAGTCAAGCGCGATGACCAATCCTTTCTTATGAACAAACTAGCGCGTGAGGTATGAGTCAAATTTTGTCCTTGTAATTAAGACTTGTAATACGGTGCGCGCACCAGGTGTGTTAATATCTTGATAAATTCCGGACGCGATGAGCAATAATTAAATTACATCTTTCACTTTGGTTATCTCGTCAGAAAAGTTCCCCGCTAAGAGGAGAAGAATAACGAAGATACATATATGTGCGGACATTACCTTTTGAAGGCTACCAGGATTCAGTTGAGTCTTATCGATGATCTTGATGGCTACCTCCTTTCCCGTGGGCACATGTTTAGCAAGCTTCACCTTGGCAAAGTTCCCTTTGCCGATGGTCTTCAGTAATTTGTACTTGCCGATGTGAGGCTCCTCGGAGGTCCGGCTCCTCGACGAGAGCCGACTCCCGCTACTCGACACCCCTACGCCATCCCCCGTCTGCAAACAAGCAAGATGTCACGTTAGCTCTCTCTTCCCTTGAAGTACTAGGCAAATATATTCCGCGAGAGATGTCACTCGCTACGACACATCGCAGGACGCGCAGCGACTTCTATCCTTGATGACTTTTTTATCTTCTTATCGCAACGCGCAGGCCGCGACTACGCACGTGAACAATTAAAACTGAGAGAATCAATATTTATCATCATCAAGTGTACAATTCTGGAACGTAGAGGGAAGAATAGGGCGGAGGATGGAATATTTCTTCGAGATTTGAATCGAGATTTCTCTCCGTGGACGTTACAAGCCGAAAATTCGCACGCGTGATGTCACGCGTTGCGTAATCCGCAGCCGATAATCCTCGCGATTCGGCCGCCGTAACTTTCGCGCGGATGATTCTCAAAACGCATCTCTCACGCATCACGCATGCCGACTTATTTCGAGAAACGGGAGAGCGCGCCGTAAATAGCCAACTATTTCAGAAACTTAGGTCGCGTCTCTCCCGCGAGCACGGCATTTAAAGTTGCGGAATGGGGCGAGAGAGAAATACGGGGCAAATGCTCGTTAAAGCGGCGTGCATTCCTCGGGAATGCGCATACGACGGAATCGCGGATCTCTCCTCTCTTTCGTCCCTCTCCACCGCCCCTCTCGCGTACCCAGTACATCGCGTTTATTTACGCGTTTACGCGTATACATACCGAACGTGGCCGCACTTGACACTCCCATGGACGGCCATTGTCAATGGAATTAATTAAAGCTCGTTAAAGCGTACCAGATACAGATTGTTCTCAACGGAACGCGCCGGACTCTCTCGCATTAGTCACAAGGACAACAGCTGCGGCATCGAGCGAGCGATATTCTCCTCATTGCCGTTTCTAATGAAGATGGAAAAATCGATGCGACGGGCCGTCTATCCGTCAAGTAGAGATGTGCGAACTATTCGAATTCGATTCGATTCGAATCCGAATAATCCGAACAGGAATCAAGTACATTATCGTTTGCGTGCATCAGCTAGAAAACGGGCCATCTAGGCCTGTATGCTTGAACCCTTAACTTGTAATTAACTTAACTTATAATTAATAACTTAATTATAAATTTAATTATTTTAATTATTTAAATATATATTTTACTTTAAGATGATATTACAATATCGATATTCCCTATTAAAATCTTCCATCATTATTTGCATGTTTAATAGTCATGTTAAGATTTTTTGTTAAACGATTCGATTCGAATTCGAATTTAAGAAATGAGATTCGATTCGACATAAAAATTTTTGACTCGCACATCTCTACCATCAAGCTTGGGCTACTTGGCCTCACGATAAAACGCGGAAACGCGCACAGGTGGTGCTCCGATTGTCTAAAGAAGTGCTGGGACTCTTGTCATTATTTAAATTATTATCTAAATATTTCGTCTCATGCTTGAGATAGTTAGAATTTGTCGTCATCGTGTTTCCTCAAAGAGGATTCTCGTCCGAAGATCTTCGAAAACCAAGATCGAGATTACACGCGGACTTTTTCGTCGGTGGGTTTACAACGCAACGTCGATTTCTCGGCTCGTCTTTATCTCGATTGTATCAGTAACAATGAAAAAGCGATCGAGCTAAGGAGAGTTTCCCAGGGATTAAGCTCGCTGGGTCGTGCATTACCCGCAGAAGGCCACGCGCGACCATCTTGCGCGAGTTAGCGGCCGCAACCTTGGAGGCCGCCAGTTTGATGGTTCTCTCTTCGTCTGTCGGCCACAGCAAAACGATCGATGACGAATGACCGACGACGATGACGGGATTCCAGCGGCAGATCGCCTCTCCTCGTGCTGTCCAAATCTGACTGTACAGCGGATCGATCAATCGATTCGATCGCTGATAACGGGGGAAGCACGAGGTCGCGTGGGTGAGCTCGCAACACGGCGAGGTGTAGATCTTGCTGATCGCTCGATCGCCACCTGGTCGTCTCGAACCACGATCTCGTCGTTCGATCTTCGTGTCGCACCGTTGCTCGACTCTCCGCTTTCGGCAATGACCGCGACAATGCTCGTCCCTATCCGACGTTTCCGCGAACGAAGGACTTCACTTTCGGCTCGTCGGTGATACCGACGGCCGGGCATGTTTCCTCCCGAGCAGCTGTCGAGTAATTCTTCGTGGTCGATTATTTTGAAGGGTAGACCGATGAATCAACGTGCGGGGCGTCTCGCCGCGCTGGGTCATTTTACAGGGACATGTACGCGATGTCTGCTGCTGAAGACCGCGATTATCCACGCTTCGACGACGAGCCGAACGTCAAGAAGAACACTTGGACTCCTGTCGGAAGAACGAACGAACGAACGAACGAACGAACGTAAACTCCGTATAGATCTATCGCGTCGAGGTTATCTCGTGCCGGAGTTCGTGTTCAAGCGATCCTCTTCGGCTGGGCACTCATCTCGCTCGACGATACGAATCTTCCTTCAGTTTAACTACTAATTGTGGATTCCGTAGAAAATATGGGGTGTAATTTTGCAAACACGCACCGTTGGCCCGATATATCTCATTAGGCAATCTTTGTACTAGCATTGACGATCGAACCGCGGGTCGATCTCTCTGAGACGACGTTGATAGCCGAACTCCTCTTCGTCCTTGGGATTCGTCATGTTCAAGCACCTGGTCCGCCCCTGTCGAGTTCGCCCGAGCAAGTGCAATCGGAAGAACACGTCACTCTGGGAAGCCGTCTAAGCATCTGGCGTGAGTCCTGACGACGTGCAGGTGCGCACAGATCGTCCGTGACATTCGTCGGCGGATTTCCGACTTCTTCTCGGCGATGGGCAAGGACGACACTCCGTTGACACTCGGTCGAAGGCGTGCCACACATGTACGTGATGATCCTCCGAGTGGCCGCGATTACCGATCGCCGGCTCTGGGACAATGGTAGCTGAGGAGGACCATCTCACCGTCCAGCCAACATCGATCCACCGATAGTTCCGTTGACAACTCATCGAGGCACGTCAATTAACGACCACGCGTTACCGAGAGCCACACTCGCCATAGACGCTTTATCAAGGGTGGATCGAATCACACAGGTCACTCTGCAAGTGGAAATCACTCGGATAGCCCGGAGTATATATATCACAACAGCGGGTAGCCCGCGACGACGATGTCCTCCTCGAGGTTTACTTCTGTCTAGAGTCCTCGGAGGCGTTTCTACCAAGGGTAGGAGCAATGTCGCCATTCGCGACGGACCTTTCTCGTTCGCGTGTCATACCGCGTCGTCGTCGAACAACGCCTCTTCCTCGTCGTCCTCCGCCAGGACTGACAGCAATAAGGATCGAGGGCAACGGACGATGACGGCGATGAGGTCGATCGGTCGGTCGGGGCGGTTGCTCTGGTCGTCGTCGACGTCGACGACGACCGTGCGCGACTGCCTTCCCCCTTTCCGCCTGGGGACGAGTCGCCTGAGACGAGGAGAGAGAGAGAGAGAGAGAGAGAGAGCCACAGTCGTGGGATGCGAGGGCAGAATCAATACACGGCGCCGCCGCCACCGTACCCCCCCCCGGTGGAAACGTGGAAGCGAACCACCCTTGAATGCCTGGCCTCGTCGTCCACCCCGCGCCGCCATCCTCTTTTCTCGTCGTCGTCGATCCGCGGCACGCATGCGTCACGGAAAGTGGGAACACACGGGCACACACGCGGCGGAAACACCCACGCACACACACATATACACACAGCTCGCTTCAACCCTTCCTCCCCCGGCGAGAGGCCGACTGTGTGTGTGTGTGTGTGTGTGTGTGTGTGTGTGGTGTATGTGTGTCGCGAGCGACCGAGATAACAGAGAGAACGCGGGCTGGTCAGCTGATCGGACAGGATGTTGCGGAACGGCACGATCGATGAACGCGCTTCCGAGGGAAATGATGTTTTTTTTTTTTACTATTTTACCGGCTATGCAGAAGAGGAAGTTTGTCGCTGATCGATATTTGCCCACGGGTCTCACGTGGGCGCGCTTTATCGATGGCCGACCCCGAGCGATCGCGATGTGCCATTTCGGACAGGTACGTGTTTTCCCTACGATCGACGGCGGCGACGAGAGAGAGCTCTTGCTTCGTCAGCTGATTGAATCATCAATTGCCGACGGACGCGAAAATCATTGTCACGTTATACTGCGGCAAAACTGACGAGCACGTTGGATATTATCACTTCCCGTTTTCCAACATGATAGAACGACGTCGGGGTCGGTTTGGGGAAGGATAATTTGTCGCGCGAGCGTGTTCCTCCACTTCCCGTTCTTCTCTCCATGGAAGAAGTTGTTAGCTCCGCGCTGTCGATGTCGATGCGACACGTTCTTGCGCGCGTCATCCGCGGGACATGAAGAGAGTCGAGCGCATGCTCGATTCGTCTTTTGTAGCGTTTCGGACAGGTAGGCGTTTTTCCTACGATCGACGGCGGTGACGAGAGAGAGAGCTCTTGCTTCGTCAGCTGATCGAATCAATTGCCGACGAGCGCGAAAATCATTGTCACACGTTATACTGACAAGCACGTTGGGGGCATCACCGAGAGCGCGATCAATCGCGAGCTTCGCGAGTGAGAATCGCACTTTCGTTTAGCTGTGTGAAAATAATCAAGATGTAAAAAACTATGTAAGAGCGCTAACGGTGATCTCCAGCTATAAATATACACCTGTGTATACCGTCAGGTGGGAATAATTAGAAAACAGGTCCGTGGAGTATCTCAGCCGCGACATTATGTTCTAATAATATCTTTGTGCAAGATATTAAGAGTGCGATTTGTCTCGTGCGACGAGAAAAAAAGGAAGAAAAAAATCGGCAGATCAGCATCGACTCTGATCGTGACGTTTGCGACGTAGGGGGGGGGGGTTGGAGGGACTGCTCATAAGATACCGCGGTGCCGAGGCTCGCTGTCCTTTTCTTCGTTCGAGAGAGCGCTGATTTCTTTTCCTGTCGGTCACTTAAGACGGGATTCTCAAGAGCGCTGGAGAACTTTTCTGATGTGGGCTACAGAAGAGCACGCCCGA